TCTCGGTGCTGCATATCTAAAACAGATTTTTTGTTTTTTGTTTTTTGGACATGGATATGTAGTAGTATTCCTTAAAATCTTAAACTGCCTGCAATGTGACGATTTTCTTTTTCGGTTGCGTTTGCACAGGCATTACCAATCTTCACATTGTCATTCCTTTTTGCGGCTCCAACAACTGGACCAAAGCCTCTTTGTAAGAAGAGCCTGATTGAATACATCGATACAAATGAAAGCGACTACTTCTTCTGTGACGAAAGTATTAGTGGAGACGAAGCTGGCTTTTATATACAAGACAGCAGGAGTGAAGAGAACAAGGGCTGCAGTGAAGAGGACGATGGCGGCTGTAAGCCACATGGGGACCAAGCTACGGGTGGAACTGATGTTGCTCCCAACAATTTGAGATCTCAATACGCTAAAAGGCGTTACATATTGAGAAAGACGGCCTTTGACCAGCAACCAGTCGATTACCAGGACGAGTTTCTGTTGCCTCCTGCTGATCCTCTAACAGCAAAGCATTACTTTGATATGTTCGTCTCCCGGAACATGATGAGGGAAGTCGTGGAAGAGACGAGCAAATACTACCTGCAGAAACATGGAACTTCTTTGAATCTGCCTGCTGAGGAGCTTGGGTCGGTGTTGGGAATGTTCTTCAGAATGGGACTCGTCGACATGCACAGAGTTCATGCGTATTGGGAAACTGGCAGTCAATACCAACTTGTTGCTGAGGTCATGTCTCGTAACAAGTTTGAAAAGACCACGAGTCATCTGCACTTCACTGACAACGATGCAGCAACTGACCAGGCGAAAGAAGACAGTTGCTGGACAGCACGGCCATGGCTGTTCGTTCTGCAAAACTTGATACATATTCCACAAGAGAAGTCAGCGGTGGATGAAATCCTGATCCCCTTCCGCGGGCAATATCTCCCTCACAAGCCGAAAAGCAAGTGGGATCTAAAAATTTAAGCTTGTGCGGGAGAATCGGGCCTCTGCTACGACTTTGATGCATACCTGGGGCGTTCCAAAGGCATTTCATTTCATTTATTGCTACCAGGAAGGGTACCAGCCGGAACTGGGAGCTGGTGTCGTACTGCAGCTGTGTACAAGCCTTCCCGATCGAGATGATAATCTAATTGTGGCAGACAACTATTTCACTGGCCCTCACCTTGTGGTGGGACTCACTAGCAGAAAGATATCATACATTGGCACAGTCCGTGAGAACAGACTGCAGTCTTGCAAGCTGATGGATGAAAATTCAACGAAAAAGAATGGTTGGGGAGTGTTTGATTCTTCCGTGGCATCATGTGGAAACAAGTCAATGATTGCAGTCAAATGGTTTGACAACAGAACGGTCACACTACTCTCCAACTGCATTGGTGTAGAGCCATCAATCACTAAAAAGGTGGGACAAAAAGACAAAAGATCACATTTTTGTGGAGTGCCCAGCAGTCATTGGTGACTATTACAAGTCATTGGGTGGCATGGATCTTCTAGTTACCAGTTTGCGATGAGGTTCTAGAGATGGTACCTTTACATCTGGCACACCGTCAAGATGGCTGCGGCCAACGTATGGTTTGTGCACGAAAGAATAACTCGGCAACGAGGTCAGTGCTCGATGCTGTTGAGAGAGTTTCTAGCCGAACTAGCAACGAGCTTGGTCCTGTAGCTGAAGCGTCCGGCTGGAAGACTGTCCGAAGAAAAGCTCCCGCCAGCCAAAAAGCAGGCATGCCATGGCAATTCCTCAAGACGTAAGAACTGATGGGATTGAGCAATGGCTCATATGGAATGACAGGCGCAACCACTACAAGGCCTATTCAGGCGGTTGCCCTTTTGTCTTCTGCTTCAAGTGCCAAGTGAACCTTTGCATAAACAAGGATCACAACTGTTTTGTACAGTTTCACAACTAACAAGACAGCTTCTTGTGTTCCTGCATTATTTTTGCTGAGTCATGCTCTATTTCTTTATAATAAATTTGTTAAATAACATGGTTTCTGTCGCTCACTTCATAAGTCACTGCCCACCATTGCAAATATGCAACATCGTAGAACTCTTGCGGCGTGTAATATCTTAGAGTGCAGCTCTTAGGCGCCCGTTTCCGGCTTGAGCGGCGTCGCCGTCGGCGTAACCGCGCGTTGCATTATGGGACGTTTCCCATAATGACGTCGCAAGGTGCCTAAATTTATCGGAAAAATCTTTCTGTTAAATGTAGTGGAAAAATTTCCACACTAAATTTAGCGGAAAGATATCCCACCTAAATGTAGTGAGGAATTTTTCCGCTATATTTAGTGGGAAATTTGGCGAAACTTACCCGCTAAAAAAGGAGGGGAGGAGGGGCGTACCCTCCTTTCCTCCTCCCTTAGGAGCTGTGCTCTAATTTGGCATTACAGAGGATTGTAAACATCTTTCATTTTTTTACATCGTCACTTGCCAGAATTGTTCCTGGGTGTCCTAGGAGCCCCACCAAACAAGTGAGTTCCATTCTGACTACATTTTCTTACAGTGGGAAATACTGCGTCGAAGGGACCCTGACGCCCCCCAAAATTTGTTTATTTTTTGCCAGTTGATCCATTATGACGTCCAAAGACTACCTAATCAATATTTTGCTACAGCGTTACATATATTTTTAATAAACTAAAAAAAAAACAAAAAAAACAAAAAAAAAAAACTGTTCGAGACAAACTGGACTGAGGAGAAAGAAGAAATACAGGGAAGGAGAGGGTTGCTGAAAGTCGTGGTTGTGCAACTATTTTATTTTCCTTCAATTAATGTATTTGCGGTTTTTAAGAAGCCACAAAACATTGGTATCATATTCCTTTTCTATTCTGAATATTGAGTGTGCGCATTTGATGACCCAAAGCTATGTTTATATCTGGTGGTTGTGTCTATTCCATAGAAAACGGCACGTAACCACAGAGAAGAGAGTGAGTTCGGATCACACCGGCCAGTTCCCGATCGGCGGTTTTCGGGTGGAAAGAAAACAAATTTTGAGCTGCAAATTGTGTTCTATGTCATATGTCATGTACAAATGAAAACCTTGGCGAACATAAATACCTTGTCAGTGTTTCTTTAATATGCCTTTAAATTCAGTTTTCTTTTTTTATAAAACATTGTGTTGTTCACGCGGTAGTGAATCTGATTACTTTAACAAACTAAGAATTTCTTAATGTTGACATGTTTGATACTTTTTATTTAAATTTTTAGCATGAATAGCTCCTTTAACAAGACCATAATTTAAGACAGTATCCAAGTAAATGCAATTTATGATAAGAATCTATTGTTTCTTTAGCAAAATTACAGGCGACATTAGTTTTTTTTAATTTTAACATAGATACCTGTTGATGATCCACGAATAACTTTAAAATAAGTGCTACCAATACACGAAAACAACAGCACGCGTCTAGATCTCTGTATATGCAATCGTGGTTCTGCAGCAGTTTTTGCTGTGCCCTTCCCGTACCAGGACTTCGGGACTCTTGCAAGTTGAGTTCGTGGTCGTGTTTGCAATATTTTTGGTCATAAATCTGAGAAGTAACTGCAAAAACGTTACTCTTTACTGACTTTTGAAAAATACTAACCCTGTTATTACAAGTTATTTTCACTAAGACAAGTTAGTTACATGTTACTGAAAAAAGTAACTAGTCAGCGGCAACACATTATTAGTTGCTGCCCAAGACTGCTTGTGGATCAAAAATAAAATAAAAACGGGTCCTCTCCCGGTGTTGTCCTCCTTGACGTGCAATTTTTTTTCAATAGGAAAATAAAAACCTCCCCTCCATGTGGGTTTTTTCGCAGTGGGAATGCGCCTACGGTAGACGCTAGAGTCACTAAATGAGCTACGCTTAGAGTATCGGCACTCCGTTCCCCGATCTGCTAGTGGGCGCCGCCATCTTTGTGCTTAGTGCAGAGGAGACGCAACCGTCATTCACCACAATTAAAAAATGTGATTTCCTCAGCTTTAGATGCGGTGTTAGGAAGCTCGGGTGATGTCATTTTGCTCTGTCGCAAACTGTTTTAACTCTTCTGGAGGCCGTAAAAGTGTTTCCTGCGATTTCAGATAAAGCTTCAGATGACTGGCCACCATGATTTTAAGCACCAAGATGGCTGGAGTAACTCTAGAGCATAGCTTACTTAGTACCTTTAGTGGATGCCTCTTTCGGCGATTGGTCACAAGTGCGTACCTGCGTTTTCGCGTGGCAAGGAGGAAGGCGGGCAGAAAGGCAAAGATGTTTGCAGACGATGTACGCTTTTGGCAGCTCCTCGCAGTCATGGCTTATAAACCACTCTGATAGTTCCACCCCTCTTTCCAATTTAGCAAAGCGAACGCTCGAGAGGAGGTTGCAGCGTTCGCTTTGCTAAAGTGGAAATGAGTCGGAGAAACGAATGTTGCTCTTGGAGGAGAGCGACGAGCACGACGGATCCACCACGCATGCGCCGCCATACAAATTTCCCAAAACTTTCTGAAGTAACGGGTATTGATGAAACGATCACGTCGACGAAACATGTGTCTATGAAAAGCATGTCCACGAAACTTAATTCCACGAAAAGAGTTGACGAAATGATAGGGACCCATAAGGCTGTTGATTTAATGGCTCCCAGGAGGGGAGCTGCTCCTTGGAATTTCATGAGGCAAAATATACCACCAAAATACACGTTTCATTAAAATTTGAGATTGCTATATACAGGCACAAAATCTTCCAGACCCTTATAGAGCTAGCCTGAATGATAATGATAACACCTTTGCACACCTTCAGACAACAGGTGGACTGCAGTGATTTGTCGGTAAGTTATAGCCGGCCGAGTCGCTTTTTGTACCTGATATGAGTGCATTACTCCGACTGCATCCGTAACCTGGACGACTTGCGAGTTACGACAAAATGTGGCCCTACCTTTACCCTGTCTACAATGAGAGCAAATCCCTTTCTGGGAATTTCAACTAGAGCCCAATCAATGAACAATGAGCATTGTTCGCACATTATCGCTTTGGATAGAGGACAATGGCTCTATGCAGAGTAATCTTAGTGACGATGGAGAGAGATTAGAAAGCGTTCCCACAGTTATGTATAGCTCAGTTCTGAAACTTCTGCCAGACAGGCTGCATTTAGCATCCAAACAAGATATACCACAGTGAGTATACCATTCTGCAATGTCTTGCAAATTTTACTACAAGTTGCGCACTCTCCATTGTAGAGTTGTACAGGGAAATCGAGGTTCCACCTGAACCAAAGTGCCCTTTTTTTTAGAGCAAAACTGCAAGAACTGAATGCCAATTGAAACTAATGAAAAGAAGTCAAAGAAGCCATTTTCATTTCATACCGTCCCAGCAGTAAGATACCAAGTATGTTTGACAAATGGTAGTCTGTCCATACCTTCCCTGCCATTGAACAGTGCTTTAGTCCCTCCATTGGTGAATGCACGACAGTGAATATGTACACAGCCAAATTCAGGTCAATATGAGCACCCTCACCCCTGTTGTGAATGAGGGGGTTCATTTCTTGACACCTCACTCAAATTTTCTTTGTGAAACAATCAGTAACGCCAGAGAGTTCTTTATCAAGAGGATGCAGTCAATCTGACGCATCACTGGGGCTGGTCCCAGGAAGCCATGCAGACGAAAAGCCTCATTCTGCTGGTTGCCCTGGCAGCTGCAGCCTCGGCCTTTGTCTGCCTGCCCGACTTCTGCAAGAACGTCAAGTGCAAAGAGATCACGGCAGAGAACTGCGAGGGAAGGGTGAGCACCAAGGGAAGCCTCTGCGGCTGCTGCGACAGCTGCATTCTTCAGCTGGGTGAGGCCTTTCACTACGCATTCTCACCATGTCGTCCAGCATGGTTGTCAATCACCCGTCAATGGTGCCAGCCAATTGTGCAACTTCGAGCTCTGCTCGACACCAACTTGACTTAAGGCCCATTCACACTCTTGCGACCTATTAAAACTGGGTTCCTTAAAACCTCTTGCAACCGGAGGACGCACTGGTGCCATATATTGGGTAGCAGTGTAAACTTGGCAGTCCAGTATATTTTCTATTTCTCTCGCGCATTATCCTTTCTTTCTTTGCTCGAAAAACTTTTGTCAACGTTATAAACGAGCCTTTCTTATAGGCGTTACGCACATTTGACCTTGGAAATCCCGCGAAACCTTCGCTCTTGTGAAATACAGTTCCAGGGTCACCGCCTAGATGGCGCCAGAGTGTCAATGTGTTCCTTCGTCCTAAGAAATTTTAAGAAGTTGTAACAGATCTCGTCTCTCTCGGTCATACTCGGTTGCAACCGAGTACGACCGAGAGAGACGAGAAGTGTGTGAACAAGTTTTAAGAAGAGGCCGTCAGTTGTCGTGTTTCCAGCTGTCTGTGTGTTACCGAATACAAACTGCCCAAGACTGACATAACTTAGAGGCAAATATCTGCCACCAGGAAGGAGAGTGTGCAGTCGAAGATTCTTCCACAGACAAATTTTTTATGCTCGCCTTTACTTTAAGCGGGAGCTCGGAGCTTTCAGCATTCCTGCCAAGCGTGCGCACTCGTGCGGTGCAAACTTTGCCCAGGGCAACATGCTCGTGCTTCGCTCACACATAATGCGATGCAAACTTGCACCGATGCCTCATGAGCCGACATTCTGGCAGCCTTGCTGCCGACATCCTGCAGCTTGCATTTTGCACCATCCAATTTGTTTTTCTCGGCAACCCAAAATGGGGGGGGGGGGCCACCAGCACAGGGTAATGACGTCTTGTGGAAGCCACGTATAAAACAGTAGAGGCAAAAAAAAAAAGCTGTTCAAACAATGCTGCAGTAACTGTATTGGTGGTGTCCATGATACCTGCTCTGCCACCCAACTACAATTGAAAAAGTAGCACATTTAGACGAAGATGTATTGCCCCGCACCGGCTGGTGCAGTGCTTGTGTACCAACTGTCCCACAAATAAGCCCTCAACGAAAGGTCAATCTCAAGCTCACCAAAATCCCGGCATGTACACCAACACTCACTAAAATTTGTCCGAGAGAGGGCCCATTTGCAATCGATCAAACTAGCAAGGTGCAGACGTTAAGTTGGCAAGTACGAGTGGTCTCGAAGGCCCTTTCCTATATCCAACGATCCAGGAGCTGGAGAGAGGTGCCTGGAGCTGCTGCCTTTCGGCGTGCCACCCACAGCAGAGTGCAAGCCGGGGCTCCACTGCAATGAGTCGACGCACACGTGCGTGCCTCTGGAAGAAAGCAGCTTGTCCCCTTCCCAAGTCGCCGACGAGGACACCCCGAGGACAACGAAGGAGCACTAGTACAGATGAACTTCAAGTTTAACATCAAACTGAACTTCAAAATGAACTTCAAGGTCAGCAATGCGCCAAGGAAATGGTTTCACGAGTAATGTCTACGACAAATTTTATGTAGGGGGTGTTGGTACAAAATGACCTCATCCTAGTCTTTCGAAACAATAATTAAACAACTTCCAGGAAAAACAATCTAGTATGGTTTCTTCGTAGAAGTTGCGCCTTTACTATATACCTAGGGTTCCGCGTTTTCGGTTTCTATTATTTCAAAATTCGGCGTACTTTTTTCGGTGTTTATTTTAAAATTCAATTTTCTGTTTTTTTCGGTGTATATTTATGCCCAAAAAAGTTTATCGGCTTCTTTCGGTGATTTAAAATCAACACTAATGGACACCTGATCAGATGATCCTTGTAGCTTAGATATTTGTGATCACTCAAAGATTAACTGCACAGATACATTGAAAAAGAAATCGACACTTTATTTGGCAAATGTGTGCAACTGTAAAAGAAACAAAAAAGATGGAAGTAAAAACAAGTCAGATATGAATCCTATGCCCAAAAAAACATGTAACTTTACCTTCGGTACATCGAGATTACGCGATCTTATTATAGTACACACACATGTACTTTTCCAGGTTTTCTTCGTTGATCCACACTTTTTCTTTTTTGTTAATATGACCCTGAGCTTCGAGAATGCCCTCTCAACGCTAACACTGGACACCGGCGGGCTGAGGAGATGAAGCGCTGCCTAAGCGAAAATCGGTTAATCAACCAGTTGTGACCACCAAGAGACACGGTGCGAGATTTGAAGCACAACAGAACATGCGGAGCTTGCATCCAGTCTTCCTTACGAGTTTGAAAACAGGCTCGTACATGGCGAAGTCATGGGGCATTTCGGACTTCACGTTCCGATCGATGATGCGCACATTAAACCATAACGTCATGATGGCATTCGTGTATCCCATACATTCGGACACGTTTGGTTCGGCACTGTCGTTCCACTTTTTCGACACGGCTCTGCAGTGCGACTGGAAGGTCAAAGTGACCTTTTCCGGTTAAAACTGAATTTTAGAAAACGCATTTGACGTACTTTTATCGGTTTTTATTGGTTTAAGTCGAAAATGGCGAACCTACAACTTACCTTTTTCGGTTAAAACCGAATTTCTGAAAATGAATTCGGTGTACTTTTATTGGTTTTTATCGGTTTAAACCGAAAACTCCGAACCCTATATATACCCCATATTATACCTAGAATTCCATTTTCGGAGTTTTTTTTTTGTTTTTTTTTGTGAAATTCGGAGGGTGTTTTTAGGAATTTATCGCTGGAAGTTCGGGGTTTATCGGAGTTTATTTTAATATATTCTCGATTTTTTTTAAATAAAAATAATGTAGGACACCAAAGTACACTAAATTCATAGAAAAATCACTGGTATTGGAAGGTATTTCTGCATTTGGCATTGGCGCCCTTGCTGTTGGCAGTATTCACTGTCCCATAAGTCTTGAAAACAAGTCCTACTTCAATAAACGTCGGTACTTTGAAATAGCCAAACTCCTGAATGTAAATGCAAATTAGGGGGTGTACGTGCCAAACCAACGAAGGGCATCTGGCACGCCCCAGCGGAGGACTGAGGATTTAGACCACCTGGGGATCTTGACGTGCAACCGAAAGCTCGGTTACCATGACACCTTTTCTGCAATAAGCCTCCACAGTTTGTGGCCACCTTGGCCGGGACTCGAACCCACCAACTAGGTATCCGTAGGCCGGTGCTTTTCCTTGGTGCCACCGAGGCAGCGAAAAAAAAACACGCATTCACGCATATAATTCCCATCTTTCACCATTATAAAAACACTATCCCTCTTCCCTCCGAGACTCGCAACTAGTGTGGTTCAAACAGGAACAGGGAACAGTGGCCCTTGTTGTGGTCCAAAGTCCATTAGCCCATTGTACTTAGTGAATGTCGACAAGATGAATGAGAAACTAGCTTTTGTCAATAGTTCAAGAGGAAGAAAAAAAACAAAAAAAAACAGACCTTTTCTCAGAGCCTCTAACCCTGTGCTCTGACAAACTTTATTCGTAAGTCTTTTTAGGGGCGAAGCTCCTTAGGGTCTAGCCTTGTCCGGCGTCCGTCCTCGTATCGATTGCCATCCCATGTCTTCTTTAAAAAAAAAAAAAAATGTTTGCGCAGTCGACAGGATTCGAACCTGTGCGGGGAGACCCCAATGGATTTCTAGTACATCGCCTTAACCACTCGGCCACGACTGCGGGACGAGTAGGGGGCTCCGAGATGGGGTAGTAACTCAAGAGCTGAGGATGTCATGGATGAAACGTTGCATGTAGCCGCTCAACGTCTACACAGGAGAGGGCGCTGCGGTCAAATGCGTATATAATCGCGCTAAACTTTGCATGCATTGGCTCAACGTTTATAGACGAGAGGGCGTTGCGGTCAAATGCTAAAAAAATCAGTATCATCAGCACCACCAGAGCTTTGCCCCAATCAACATCATTCACCACGTGGAGATGCGGTCATTTTTTTCATATTTATTTTGCCAGCATGACCTTGAAATTCAGTTTTTCAGATAAATCTAATTTTACCGGCGAGCGTTTTTTTTTTTTTTTTTAGGTTATCGAACTTACTCGAAAATGCAGAACACTATATTATACCACTAAAAGAAAAGAGAAGCATACGATACTGTCAAGAAGCACGACTAATTCAAATGGGGTTGAAATAAATGTTTCTTTGGCATTTCCATACTATTCCTGCACGTCTCTTACGAGAGCACTGTGTTATATAAGGCATCATTCCATTTAGGCAAGTTGCCTCAAGCACCTGGACACTTGCTCTGAAAGAGTTTTCCCTTGATGTGCTGGATGCACAACCATGAACATGTCAATAAACCTATAAAATGATGTAATACCTACAAGAATGCTTTCAGGTTTTGAAAATATTTTCAAACTAGCTTAGGGGTAAAAGTGAATAACTACACTGGCCACTAGCAAAAAAAAAAAAAAAAAAAAAAAATTGCAATATAATCACGATATTTCTGGCCCCCTTTTTGTGTACTTATGCAAACACCTAGGTGAAGCACTAAGAAAGTCACAAGGGAATAGGTTGTACGAGGTTGTGTAGACTTATCTGTATACCGATGATACCAATATCTTCCTTTTTTTCAACATTCACATGTCTTTTGTGGCACACAAAAAAAGCTGCTCACTATTTCTGAATAGACAAATGCTCCATTTTACTACTGAAAAAGTATGCTTTATTAACCAGGCAAGCAGAATAACAGAATGCACGTTTACGACATGCCCCATGAGAAAAGACTTTCTGAACGGCTCATTTAGACATATACGAAAAATTGCACACAATTGACATTTGGCAAGGGTTGAACCATGTTGAGTCCGCCTCTTGTAACACATGTCGTCGTGACGGAAGCACCGCTACAAAATCCTAGACATCCATTTCTTCAGGCGACCACTTCGCATCAGTTGATCTGTGGAAAAGCCCAAAAGTGGCTGCTCGCACGCACGAGTCTCCGTAAAACTTTTATAAAAAAATAAGTGATAGAATTCTAGGCAACAAATTAGTACCAGACGCCAGTTGCCAGTTGCCTGCTGGTCCCAGCTTTGGCACCACCGGGGGGTTGGCCTCAGTGATGGAAGAGCCGGAGGCCCGAGTGGATCAGGGTGATGCCGTACTCGTCGCACGCCTCAATCACTCCCTGGTCGTTGGTCGAGCCGCCGGGACTCACTATGTACTGCACTCCACTCTGCAAACAAAGGAAGACGTCGTCACAAACGCCACATTTTGAGCTCCCAATGGAGACACCGTGCAGAGAACACACGGACGGTGGCATCATGCACATTCAGCGAAGCGGTTGGTTTAGGCTGCTCTGCAGGACCACTGAAGGCTATTCCAAAACATTTAAGAAACTGTTTTTGTGTCCCGTGGTCTTAATATATAACCCAATGTTCTTCAACATTTTCAGACAGATAGTTTGTAACAAACAAAATAGGCCTGCCAGCACGACGTAGGGTTCGGCGACGACATCGAACAAGATGATCTAGCTCGGTAGAGGCGATCGGCTAAACTTAAAACAACACTGAAATGAAATAAATGAGACGCAAATCTTACGAAATCCTCTCCAGGGAAAAAAAGAACAAACACATTTTGTAGCAATATTTACGTTGCTGGATGCAAATTAGGTGGGAAGTAGCCCAGGCCCCCCACCCCCCTCTCCCCCACACCAAAAACAAAATATGATGCCGATACGGGGCGTAAAAAAATAAGAATCACGAGTTTCCCTCAACATCCTAAAAGCCAAAAGGACTGCATATTTATTTTGCTGATTGTTCCTTGTCCTTTCGGTCGCTTTTTAACGCACTTCAACAGGTGCTGACAGACGTTTGTATTGGACTGTGGCTTTTGCATTATGGAACGCTAGAATGCCCCTTTCATGTTCATGTCTTGTGGGTGTTGCAGACGGTGGTAAATGCGGTGGCGGAATAGCAGACGAATGTAGGCGATGGCGAATGCTAACGTGACACTTTCATGGGTGTGTCTTGCAATCGTTCCAGATTGTGCAAGTCTGTTCTAACGGCCAACGATGCAATACGCTGCCCCGCATCTGCTCGCATGACTAACAGGCGGTGTCAGAAAGCAGAATAGACGCACCAGACGTCTTGACAAGGAAACACTAGGCTTGCACATCGGTTCGGCCGAGCAGCCAAGCCAACCCAGTAGTAATGGACGGGGCCATCGCTCTGCGGGCAGAGCCTAGCGCAGGTCGCAATCTCCACTTAAATGGACTATCGTGGTGTATACGAGGTGTGATCAAAAAGTTCCGGGACTGATTTGGAGCGTAAAAAGAGAGGGCAGCACAGTGATGAGCACGCAGCAGTCAAAGGAAGGAACCTTCACGTCACGTCATACCATCGTCACAAAAACATGTTACACGAGTTTTTGTGACCATGTGCACGGGCACAATGGCGATTTCACAATAGACTGCAAACCAGAGCGACAGTGAACATCAATTCTGCATCAAACTTGGAAAATATAAAACGGAGAGCTCTGAAATAATCTAGCAGGCTTGTGTCAAAAAGCAGTGAATTTTACAATGTGTTTTAAGTGGCACTCGCGCTTCAGGAACAACAGAACATCGCTGGAAGACGAAAAGCGCAAGGGCCCACCTCATCCGACCTCTCCTTGACTTCAGTGACGTTCTGCCATTCTTGAGGTGCGAGCGACACTCAAAACACCTCGCACACCTCATTGCCTTTTGGCATATGAGCCTTTTAGATCATTTCAGAGGTGGGTTTTAGACATGCCCGGTTTGACGCAAGATTGATGTCCGCTCTCGCTCTGGTTTGCAGCGCACAGTGAAATCGCGATTGTGCCCGTGGTCACAAAAACTTGCGTGGTGCAGCGCCAAATGTTCTCAGAGCAACGCCCTTTGGTATAACAAAACACGAAAGCCCCTTCCTTCGACTGCTGCGTGTGCATCACTGTGCTGCCCTCTCTTTTTACGCTACAAAATCAGTCCCAAACTTTTTGATCACACCTCGTATATTGCGCTAAAAACTTTTTTCTTTTGTAATCCCTTTTTTTTTCAAATTTTAGTGTCCTTTTAAGCGAAAAGCAGAAGCTATTCCTTCATTTCTAAATGCCCAAACAGACTAAACGATCATGCAGTTTTTACATAACATGAGTCAATGGTACTTGCATTTTCTTTAATCCTAAGTACTCACTTTGTCCTTATTTGCAACTCTTATCTGCCCTTATTTGCTCTTACCTGAAACTCAACTTCTTACACCATACCACAGAATCCAAGAGAAACAAAGCCGATCTGTGAAATGCCCACTCTTCATAATACGACTGACAACCGGGCCATTTGTAGCATAAAAACGTCGTAGATTGATTCAAACGGGTCACTTCGAAGTTCACTTGGATAGACGGGCAGTTAAATGCAGGAAATGTTAACTGAACAATACAAGAAAAAAGAAAGAGAACTTGAAAGAGAATTGAGAACCTCACAGGACTACTAGCGTCACAATCTTCAGAAACCAAATGAAGGGGCACACAGACCTTGCCAAGCAGCTACGTGTTGCTTTTTGTCCCGCCTTGGCCTCTCGAGTGAAGAGAAAATAAAACCGATATTCTGACCGGAGCCAGTTTGCCTTTTGCCCTACCTTCTTTCCCTTCAAAAATCTTGCAAAGGGGCCATATTGTTTTAGTAATTGTCACGACAGAATGCTCAATAAAAAGATTGCAGAATGCTAGTCATACTGCAATGACTACATTTCCCTCTATAGTGGTGAAATACTCATACGGCCGTCACGAGGCAGAACGACACCCCCCAGAGGCACGCACAATGTGCCCAAACGTTTACGCCGTTGCCCGCTGGTATATAGTCAGCTAAAATATTCGTTATAGCGCAATCTAGCAATTAGTTTTATTCTTTCTTCTGTTTCTTTAAAAACAATAATAATGTATTTTTTCTTCTCAATTGACCAGTTGCCATTTAATATGAAAAAGCTCTCGTGTGTTTGTATGCACCTAAATTTTACAGGGCAGGTCTGAACACGAACTCTCCTTCGAGGAAATTTTCCGTTCATCAGGTTGAGAGGACTACTTTCGGATATATTTGATCACGAATGTGGAGGGAATGTTTGGAACAGCCTCGAAGCTGCAAGATTTGGTTCACTCTCAATGTGCACACACAGTGCTAAGAGGCGTGCAGACAATCAACGGAGTGCGTGTAAGACGGGCAAGTCACCTGGCGAGCCCGGTCAATGTTGTCCCTGAACGGGAAGAAGGCGTCCGAGCTCAGGGCCACCCCGGAGATCTTGGAGATCCAGTCCTTCTTCTCTGCCTGGGGAGGGGCAGGCGAGTCACGCATTAGCCAAAGCGAGTACCTGTCTCTGGCAGATGCTCTTCAAAAAAGAACCAGAGGTGTTGTTTGCATTCCATCCACTTACAACTGAGTGTCCAGATTACGCAGGCTTCATTACAAAAACTAAAAACTCTATCGAGGTTCTGTCTACAGTAGAAGGTAGTATGCATCACCATTGAATTGAAACATATTGCAACAAATCTCCAGCACCCACAGATTAAAAATAAGGAAGTATATGCAGAGTGTGCCAAGACCTAAAAAAGGTGGTGCACGCTATGCGTGCCAAGGGTTGTTGCTATGGTTACAGAATCGTTTTTGCTGGCCAATGGAAGTGAAGCGCCACCTCGAGGCAGCCCCGTTGCAGAGGCGACGCTATATACGAAAATGACGCCATTGGGTCACGTGACTAACGATGTCATACGTCGTACGAATAATTACATCAATAGTCACGCACGATTAGTCGCACGAACCGGCGACGTCATTTTCGTGATGCTTTTGCACCTAGCTTCGACATCTTGTTTTTGCCCAAAACTTATTCCGCGTTAAAATGAATGGGCTTTATGGACACAAATGAATGGTTTCCACCCACCTCGGTCAGCTGTGGCAGCGGGTTCTCAACAGAGTTGTGGTACTGCTCCAGCGGCATGTCCTGCCAAAGACAGAATCGGGACACAATAAGCAGGGCACACAGCCGTCCCCTTGCAAAGGCCCGAGAGAAACGAGACTACAAGGACACAGCACGGGGCCAGCCACAGAGAGACAAACAATTGGGCTGGGAAAATGCCTGCTAGAGCAATAAAAGCTGCCCGACATTCGTTAAAGAGACAATACACCGAACGTCCTTGAGGTATGCGCGAGACTTACAATGTATTCGCACGACAAAGTTTTTATCCGAGGAGGGGATTAAACGTCGTCAAGTTTTTAGGTCACACGCATCGCGTCGCAGATGTTCTCCAATTCTCCGAAACCCGCGGTGAGTTGCGGAGAATCTGCGACCGGCACAAAAAATATCCCTCGTCCCGAAATGATGGGTCCCCCGTCCTTTTGGGGAAGGATTACGGCCAGCAGAATCGAGCTTTGGGGTGCCTTTCTTTTGTCCCTGCCTTTCGTTCGCAGAGACCACAAACACGTTCACAAGAAGAAAGACTCCGCCGACTGAAGGGCACAACGTTCTGCCGCGCGAATGGTCACTTCAATATTCTCCACCGCCTCCTTGTCATGTCATTTCATCCTTGCAGCTTTGTGACATACTCCGCTTTCTCTGGAAGTAAAGATCTGTCGTGCGAATAAACCTTAACCCTTTGGGGTCATCTGGCAGGTATCTCCCGACAAATAAATATTCCCCTTCTGGACAAGTGCTGCACCGACAGGTTCATTTATCCTTTGTGGTCAAGCGTGGGGTGCCTCCCACCAATTTCAACTTAAAAAAAAAAAATTTGGGTTTTTACGTGCCAAACCAACGACGGGCATCTGGCATGCCCCAGCGGAGGACTGAGGATTAATTTAGACCACCTGGGGATCTTTTGACATGCAACCGAAAGCTCGGTTACCATGGCGCCTTCTCCGCAATAAGCCTCCGTCAGATTGCGGGCACCTCGGCCGGGATTCGAACCCGCCACATGGGGATCCGTAGGCTGGCGCTCTCGCCTCGGAGCCACCGAGGCGGCTCCGACAATTTCAACTTGTGCCATCTCTTATTGGGTATGTACACTATGCATACTTAGTTTCTTGTCTCTCCAACAAGTGCCGCAAGAGGTGAGACACATTTTTTTTATTGCTAGATGTGCAGACGGGCATTTTGCGCACGCTTTTGGGTGTTCAAGGCGGCAGCCTTTACTCCGTCCGCGTTTTACAGACTGTGCAGTCTGGAGTGACAGGGAGGTTAAAAGGCAAAGACATGAAAATGTTTTCTACTGTAAAACCTGGACTTGATACCCTGGCTTGCACCCCGTCATTTGCTTTGAAAATTATCCAATGCTGCACAAATACCGCTAGTATAGTTCAATAATTCGAACGAAAACATTCAGGACAATGCAGAGTTATTTCAAGCTGAATAAATTGATTGTAGTATATTAAAAAGTTGAATCTGAAGTCGCTCATTGATTCTATCTTCTTTCGCTTACATTAATTTGACTAGAGGGGCCTACAAGCGGAAAACTCGCATGACCCCAAAAGGTTAAGAAACGACGGAAGAGAAACAAGGGCGGGCCAGCACCTGACCGAAGACGCCTCCGACGTAGACGTCGATGATGTTGGAGATCTCGGCCCGCTTGACCCCCTTCTTGAACACCATCGCCTTCAGGTTGGGGTGTTGACGCAGCCACCTTTGGGGCGATAAAAGGGTGTCGGACGAAAGTGGTGGGAGTGAAGTGGCAGAAACGCGCAGCATTTAGCCAAGCGCTCCTTACTGAACTCATAAAATGCATAAATGGAAAAAAATAACGGCACCAAACAACAAGTGTCATGTTTTTGCCACTGCAAAAGAACCTAAACTATGCATCGCCAAACACTTAGCCTCCATATAAATAAAGTGCTAGCTGTTCGAACCAGATGCCCAAGTTTCTGAGCTTGCCGTTTTCCAATTCGAAAGTTACGAGAGATTTTCAGAAATTTATGATGGGAAAGCAACACCCATTCCGAGTTGCCAATGCTATACATTGTGTATTTGTGGGTTTCGTTGGCCCCCACAAAACATTTCTCAAAGTTGCTCACAACTTTTGCACGATACTGCTTATGAAATATATACATTAACTAAAAAGTCAATCACTCAAAAGTAACTAGTAATAACCCGACTGTGCTGAACATTACCAATTTTCCTAAATAGGCCCCTTTTTCAAATGCAAATATGCCACGAACATATTTGTATGTGATACATACTTTCCGCAAGGACGACTTGGTCGGTGTTCTGCGAAACCACCTGCACCCTCTTCTACTGTTTGAAATATTAGACTGAACACCACATACGTAATATTGCATAACATCATTTTGAAATGGCGACATCTACAGTTTAGAACCGCACAATTCCCACTATTAAGATACAATGTCTCAGGTAGGAACCATATTTAACAAGCAGTATATAAAGCAGCGCAGCTGTAAAGTGAGCCAGAAAAATTAATGCCTGCAGAAATTTCTATTGACGCCATATTTCGAAGTTCAGTTTTACATCGTGAAATTTCGACGCATTGCTCAGTCCCTCTTAAAATCTGCAAATGTGAAATGGGGGTTCAGATGCAGATACCACTGCTTGCTGTTCTCAAGAGGTGGCACCCTATTTCCTTTTAATTAGTTGGAACTTCATCAGGAGCACATGCTTGCAAAAATAGCAATGAAGATTATCTTTATCTTTACACTGAGAATGCATTAAAACTATTTAGTACGGAGTTTTTTCAAAAAATATCTTCACTGTATTAGTACTACCTCCACTATAACAGTGCCCCATATGCCTGTACATTAAACCTTCGTTAATTCAACCTTGACGGGACCTTGAAATTTGATCAAATTATCCGAATGATTGAATTAAAAAAAAAAAAAAGGAGAGAAAAACAGTAAACTTCCTTTTATTGACCAAAGTACTCACGGATGGTCTGCTGCCGTCTGCGCTTAAAACGTGCTTCCAAAAGCATGCTCCAGAGAGCAGCGTAACTAAACGTCACATTCCCCAAAAAATCACACACTACAAAAAAAAAAGTTTTAAGAGTTTGGCGTTAAGCAGCCAGACCGTCGGCAACAGAAAAAAAAAAAGAAAGGGAACGAGAACCCGCGCTTTCCGGCGCGCAAGATGGACCGCACACTATGCTACAGAAAAGTGCTTTGAGAGCGTGCGCTGTCTCCGCGCTTGACCACGTGCTATGTTCTCCGCGCTACTCCATGCCACATTGGTTGCGCTGGCTCGTGTCATTCGCTCCGGTCGAATTATCTGATGCAGAGTCTTCCCGAGTTTGAACTATCAAACTTTTCCTCCCATAGAAATGTATGGGTGCACGCCGGGACTTTTGAACACGATTAAATTAAACGAAAAGTCGAATTAACCGAGGTCGAACTAACGGAAGTTTACTGTATCAGCATTAAAAGAGTATGCCACGTGACATTAACACCATTTTGTGCTTCGCTCGCACAAGACAGCAACAAGCTCCCTAGTTTACCCCCAAGTAGTCACCCCGAGAGTAACATATTCCACCGTACAAGAAGTTATTGCAATAATTTATTTAGAACAGAAAACCAGTAACTAGCAATTTGATGCCTTTGCGAACTGTGCCGCTCTCTGCACTTTTACCTTGCTTCATTACATTTACATCTCTACTATACCGGTGATTGCTACAAAAAAGCTTTAGTCTAGCAATTTGAACGTGGCACTAGAAAGAAAGCAACCTTCTATAATAATCGCATCGCTGTCGTGCATACAGCCTGCTTTCTTTAATTTGTTTCCGCGAATATTCAAAATTCTGAATAGTAGTCTCGAATAATGCACCATTCATTATTCACTTCAAAATGAACTGCGATATTCATAATTTTCTAAGTGTTGGGGCCCTGAACTTGTCAGTACAAAGTTGGAGCCGAAAGTTTGCGGAGCGCGCCGATTGGACGTCTGCAAAAAAAGTGCCAAGTCATCGTCGTGATAAGCCAATCAGCGCGCTCCGTCGACTTTGGGCCCCAGCTTTGTGTTTGACAAGTTTAGGGCCCTTGATCTCGAGAGGGGGGAAAAAATTAGCCCCTTTGAGTGCGCTTCTTGCACGGACACGGGTGCACTGCGGAGAAGCAAAGTCCGCGAGAGCGAGCTCCGCAGGTGTCGCTTCTCCGCAGTGCACCGGTGCTCAGTAAGAAGCACACTTAACGAAATAACCCTCCGCGATCGACACTTGGAAAAGTAAGAAGATTACAATCGCGTGCAAGGGAAAAAAGCAGACTCTGAAAGCAGGCTGGTGCAGGCGCACGCCTGGTCTATTTAAAAACGTTGATATCTGCATTGCAGTTGAATTTAAAAAAAATTAAATTGTGGCTTTTTTTTAGGAGTTGGGCAGAGATGAACTGACAGCACCATTCATCATTTGTTATTCTTTTCTCAAATTCAAAATTGAAGAAAGATAATTTGCAGCAAGATTTGTAAATCCACTTAATTAGGTATAGCTGGGCATCTCTATAGGATTAATTTTATGTCAGATATGTCGTTTACTTGGCATCTCGATGCATAGGACTTTCTGAGGTCGCAGTCCATGAATATAGTTAGATCAAAATTAGCCCATAAAGGGACACAAGGAAGCTAGGGAACAACCTTCCCGAGTTTATCTTGGTTTTCATTCAAGCATGGCGCAACAGTGGTGAAAAGCTTGGAGAAACTATTCGATATCCGATTAAAAAACATTTGGCCAAAACCACTGCCACTTGCTCCAAACTCAAAATCCACTACCGTCGCAACCATTTATAACCAAGTCGGTTATAATGAAATAGCGAAGCGATCACCATTTCCCATTCCCATTTGCACTTTTTCAGTGTGCTTGTGCGTTTTTAGCGAAGGAAATTCAGCTGCTCCCACGGATACAGCCGAGAGAAATCAACAATTAATAAAAAATAATCAAGTTCTCAAACTTTATGAAATCGCAGACCACCGCACTTTGCTGCCAAGCAGCCACCCGAACGAGCCACAGACGTGTTGCAAAGGCCGCCAGCGGCAGCCTCTGCATTATCAGGCACTCCTTATCTGGGAGGCGGCTTGTCCACATCGCACGCGGAGGAGCCGTCGTGGCGTGCCAGAAGGGGCGTTCGGAGCGCCAACGACAACGTACCTATGACATACCGGTAGCGATGATGGAAAAAAACTTAGATTTGAGAGAGGGAGCAACTCCAATTTAATAGCGGTCACCTCCTGGGCAGATGAGCTCAAGTGCACCTGCATTTGGTTGTCCCGTGGCCAGCGTGGCGAAGAAACCGGGTGGAGAGGTGGACACGTTTGCAGACGGTGAAGGCTTTTGACATATTGCAGGCTGCAGCTCGTTTTGTAAATGCGGCCCAGAAACCACGTGACCCCCATCGAGCGGTTGCCCCCTTTCTTAAATCTAGGCTCTCTAGGCCAACAAAACACGATCCTGAGCGGAAGCTCTGTGCCGTGCGCGCTTGGTTTGCTTCGTGTTCCGTGTCGGCGTCGCTGGTCGGTGTGGTCGCTCTCTGCGCGGAGGTCTTGTGTACCGATTCGGCAACTCGTCGACACTTAACGATGCCGAGTCTCGGCACCGCCAGGCACCTCAACGGGGAAGACGAAGGCAATCTCCTCTAAACAAATGCGAGCCACCATCCTCGACGAAGTGCGCATCGACGTAACGAGTGCCATTCACAGTTGGCGTCCTCCACGGCGGCTGTTGTGGCTGTCGTTAGGGCTCTGGACGCAGTCTGTACATAGCTTGCAGGATTTTCTTTCGATAGGAGTTTCTCGCTGTTGGCAGGAAGCGGTTCTGATCTAGCAGACAGCACGTGCGGGGAAGCTTCGACCGATTTCTATGGTCAAAGCTTCCCATAACAAACCGCATTATCTTTTTTTTTTTTTTTTTTTTTTTTTTTTGCGCATTATTTTTATTAAGTTTAGACAAAACGAAGAAGCGCATATAGCGAAGTGATTTCAGAATCCCATCAACTTCGTTATAACCGCCGGTCTCGACACTGCTTGCACACGACTATTTGTCGGTCGTTGGATTTAGCAACTTGATCAGCGCAGTTCCCGGCGATTTTTGTTCAATAATCTCGGGCAGCAATTTGTGCCACTTAGTACTTTGATTAGACGAAGCTAGGGTGCCGGTAGCATCATCTCTGCTGCCACTCTTCTCTGCACTCCACCCGACTCAAATTTAAGGGATTCCATTCTCGGAGAAACAAAGCGAGGCTTCCAAGAAGGCCTCAAAAATACATTTTCGACCAAGAATTTCAACTTGGTAGGCTCCAGTGCCTATTTTTCTGACTCTTTCTACAGCAGTCGAAATGTCATAAGCGACGTTTTTGGGGCTGACACCCAAAAGATGACAAAGGGAGAAGTCCCTTACCAGTTGTTGGCCTTGTCTCCAGCGAGGCGAGTGCAGTGGATACGTGACTGCTGGCCAGCACCGATGCCGATCACCTGCACACCCAATCGCGCAGCTCAGAGACACTGCCTTAGCTTACACTTGCGGCGGTGCGCACATCCCCCGCACACACCTAAGCACACTGTCACAAACGAGGCTTTCGTCTCAACTTGTGATGGGATGTGCACTAAAAGCCCTGCATTTCAACCGGGGCCTCATTCATTCCTTGTGATCCCAAAATCAAAAAAAGTCAAATTGGACGTTTGAGTGATTTATACAGCGTAAGGTTGGTCTGCCAGTAGGGGCGACACTGGTTTACACTGTAGATGAGCAATTTAGCCAGTGCGGTACAACCGCTAGCCTGGGGTCTTTAACGTGCACCACGCAGTAGTGATACACGACCGCACGCCGGTACGATGCTCATCCAGATCGAAACGGGCAGGGGTGGGGCTCGAACCCAGGATCCCTGGGTTCGGCAGCGCGAGCTTTCGCTCCACGCGCGTCGAGCTGGGTGTGCGCTTCAGCCCACTCGGCCACCGATCCCCCACCTTGTGATCCCATATTTCTCTTTGGATTACAAAGCTCTCTACCTGATGCATCTAGAATTGCATTTGCGAAATTCCCTTCCAGTTTTTCCCTAACTGTTTTAGCCCGATTGCACACCAGGCAAAAGAGAACAATCATTGAGCCTCTTTATGAGCTGAAATATGGATCCACACATGAAGCATTCTTTCATGTTTGTATGGTTCTCAACTCTAACAAATCTAGAAGCAAATTTTCATTTCCAAAACAAAAGTCTGAAGAAATATGAAGAGAACAAAAAGTTCTTTTAGATGGTACCCTTTACCCTTGCAACAATAAGTTCCCCGATGATGCCTGCATAATTCAGTTTTGCAAATTAGCAGTTAGAGAGTACCATATTTACTCGCATAATAAACGCACCCCCCACAACGGGCATCAATATTTTGACTTTCTTTTTTTTCCCCTCCCGTAATCAACGCACCTCCAATTTTCGGATCCGCGAGCCTCGAATTGCGTCCAATTTAGCAAGCCACCAAGCCAGTTTTCTTTTGCCGCCAAGCGGCCAAACCAAGTCAAGCTAGGCCAGGCCGCTCACGTCACACTCACAGTGGCTCACGTTACGGCCGCAAGTGTGTAGTTGCCGTAGTTATGGGAGTGATCAACCGCGAAACCTTGCGCACACTTGACGAAGCTTGGGTCGAGGCATTGCCAAGCCCCTGATATTCTTCGCCTATCGGATGCATTGTCAACAAACAAGCCGTCGTTTGTGGTCCGCTTTCGGACAGTGAAATCGTGATAGTGGTTAGGCCTAATTCCACATACTCCGGGTAAATGAGTTTATTTAATCCGCAGCAGAACGGCACAGCAAGATGCACGTTGCGCTGTAGGCTGAGAGTGTCTGGTAGCCTCTCTGTGAATAAAACTTGACCTGTGCGAGCCGGCTTCGGCGGTTAGACTTCGTACGAGTTCCTGTCTTGGTGAACAAAACTTGATCCACGTGAGCGTGCTTTGGCGGTTGGACTTGTACCGCATAGTCGCAGATTATACCTGAGCGTGCTTGCCGGATACTAGCAATATATATCGCCTAAGAACAGTCGTGGTTGTGCTGCTTCTCGTGCTGAGTGAGCTTCGTAAAGCGCTTTTCCTTTGGCAAAAGGCACCCCTAAAGCACCCTAAAAAGGTTTGCATTTTATAAAGCATGGTTATTGTGGCGCACCACCGACCAGCCATTGTGCGCCTCCATCACTGGAGGCGTGCCACAGTACCTTGCCGTGTCATATTGGCACCTAATATATATGACATTTGCACGAAGTGCGTAAATGCAAAAATTTTACGCCGTGTAATGAACGCCCCCCCCCCCCCCCCCCCCCCCCCCCCCAAATATGTCAATATTTCAGGAAAAAAAGTGTGTTGATTATGCGAGCAAATACGGTATACAGGATGTCGCATTTTAATTCAAACAGATTTTAAAAAAAAAAGAGGCGAGAGTCAAACGAGTGTCCTCTTCACCGCGTATTCACCGTGCCTTGGCAGACATTCAGCGATGGAAGCGGCATTTGACTTTTTGTAGCAGGTTTTGTAGCGGGCAAGATATTGGTTTGGAGTAGCCTCCAATGCTTTTGGAGTAGATGCCTACATCTGTTTGCTCATCACTTGAAAATGAAAAAGTGGTTGCTTGAGTGGCCATGAACTAGAGGAGGGGTAGTGAGCTTAGCAAGCGCTCACGGGCTGCCGCACTGCGTGTCGACGGCGCGAGAGGGCGCCACTAAAGCATGTTCTGGATAGGCTGTATGCAGCGGGCAGCCAGAGCGGCTCATATAGCACTTGCTGCGCGACTGAACACTAATTCGGCATGACACTTCATTGGCCACAAACGACAGCAAACATGGGGTAAAGATCAGTCCAGAATGGAAGCCACTTCGCGCTGCCATACCGCGAAAAGGCCAAACCGCCAGACAAAGCTGCTTGCCGAAGGCCTTTGGAAAGCTCGGAGCCAGTTGGATCCTCCAGTCCCTACGACCGCAGCGCCGCCGCGTGCATCCGGGACCTTTCCGTGTCGGCGCCTGATTTCACTACCACTTTCTAGTATGCGCCGCCTTTTCCACCGCTTGGTGGCGGGTATGTCGACGGGTCATTTCTTGTTTCCGTAGTTTATAAACTGCATTTGTTTCTTTTATGATCTAAAATACTGAACAAAAACTACTTCTATAAATAATTGAAACGGTTTGCGCCACTTATATTTCGTATTTCGACTAAAAAGAAGTTTTTAGTGGCTCTGACCAGTAGTAAGCCCAGGACCAAAGACGTCACATATCGCATGCTTTCGGTACAGCGAGTTGCCCCCGTCGGTGGAGGAGGTTTCCGCGTCGTCCGGTTAAAATATGACGCACTGATATTTAGTTACTCTCCTTGTGCCCGCTGGCTTGCCCGAACCCCAAGAGACGTGGAAACCGCAAAAAAGGTAGACGCTTAATTATGATTGCAGGGCCCCTTTAATCGGTGTGGTTTTCAATAGTAATTGCCATCGATACCCTAAAACCAATAATGAAAAAGTTAATTAGCCAACTTACCATGACAATTATCCCCTGATCTAATCTCCTCCAAGCCTAATAAATACACAAAGATGGCACTTGCCCAACTCTCCTTTTTATAAAAATATGTTCAAATTAAAGTCAGACATTTCATTTTCCTTCCTTTGCACTGATCCAATAAAGAGGGAAAAGGCTTCATCATACAAGCTATGGGCCTTAGATAACCCATCAAGGGCATGAAATAGATGCAGGGGGAGCTCAATCTAGCTCACTGCAGCTCCATGGAGCTAACAAGGTCGTTCATTAAAATTTGGTGGTGTACGTTTCTTTCCAGATATACCTAGCTCGAGCCAGTAATTGGGAAAATGACAAGTTCTTTGGCAATAGACCCTTCACAAGAGCGCGTGCCACCTAGGAGCTGCTGCGAGAATTATCCGGATGTACCGGATGCAAGGGCTGCGTCACCGTTCCCAAGCTGCCAGCGATGCTCAAAATATGGCAACTGCCAATGTTGCTCGAGGGAGGTTGGTAGAAGATCTATTCCATCGTTTTCCTACTGGCAGACGGCCTAACAGGTGGCTGGGCTAGATCTGCCACATCATCGAAGTAACAAATGGAATGCCAAATAAATTTCCTTAATAGTAGATAACAGATAAGATAATAGTATAGAATAGTAGAAAATTAAGAAAAATTAACCTAGTGAAGAGTCAAATGCAACTTTCCTCAGGGGTGCTTTGAAATGGTGTATTTGGAACAGGCACATTTTTAGGGCATAACGTCCCCATCCTACCTTTTCAAATTAAATATAGTTTTTGCCTGCAAAAGGGTACCCAATTTAAGCGCCCGTTTATGGCACCATCCAAAACGGTCTGCCAACTCCACCAAACATTTCTGCAAACTTCTTATTTCGGAGGCCTCCCCTCATCTAACAGGGTACTAAGCTGGGAGAGTTTGTAGAGGGTAGAAAAAATGAGAAAAACAGCGCTTATGCGTGCCCTATGAGTTTCTCTTTTGTGTCTTTGTCCTTGAGCATTGTTTTTCTCATTACATTTTCCTTAGTGACATTTAAATATGAGAAAAGCCTAGTCTATAAATGAATCTAGAATTTACACCTGTTGCTATCTGCAATAGATCTCACAAAGGGCTCAGAAAAATACCCTAGGTACCACTCCTTTTTGCTGTGAAAAAAAAAAGAAAAAAGAGACACAGTTTCAAGTAGTAAAAATTACTGCATCTGAATGTGCCAATTCTGGGTCGCAACAGCATCACAATTTTCCATATCCCAAGGCGATAAAAATTGTGCCTCTTTATATGCCTTTTTCTGGGTTTGTTCAGTTTAGGGTTTCAGTTTAGAAAGCCATGTTCAAAATGCATTAGCAGGCTATTTTTCAATCGCAATACGTGCCAGCAAGCTGCACTCTCACTTGTTCCTAGCCGGCATAAAATGCAAAGATTTGCGGGCGAGAATAAGGAACACAAAGTCTTCTAAGCGCACATTTACACAATATCAATGTAGCTATCCCCAGTCGCTACCGCCAGCTAAAGTGGCACCTGTTACAGTCTGACGGCCGTTCTACAAATGTTCGACACTGAGGGCCGAATTGCGCCGTTTTGAGTGGTCAAAGCAAACCAAGAAGACGTCACCTGTCCGTCCTTGGCGTAGCAGACCGAGTTGGACTGGGTGTACTTGAGTGCAATGGTGGCCACAATCAGGTCCCTCACCGCAGACTCCGGCAGCTGCAGAGGGCAGAGAAGCCAGGTCGCTTAAATGCGCGAAGAGAGGCTGCGAGCCACGCATTGGCGCAGAGGGCCTCTGGAAGGACGGGCAAGCAATCCATCACTCCTAACACCCTCGTTCGCGACCATGCCTGCCATAGGACCTGCCAGAGAAGATCGACTTCCAAGTAAACCAGATAATATGCAAGCAAGCTACTTGATGTTGCAAGCTGCAACTTACCGTAGAGACATAATCGGATGGTAAAGACAAACCATTAAAAATGTCAGTGGGCACAGTTGCTTGATCTAAGATGAAAATTGCACGACCTTACAAATACGGGATTGTTATTGTAAAATGGCACTTTGCATATCTGCCCAATCAAGCTGTCTTCCTGTTCGTCCAAAAGAACCACCCAGGACAGCCCAGATCAGTACTGAAATCCAACAGCCTGTACCTATAAACTAGGTAGAAGGCATTCTTCATTGGGATTTTTTCAAACATACACATCTGTCATCTAATCATCCCTTTGTAAAAATTTGATCCAGAAATGGAAAGAAATTGGTTACTTGAGAGATTGCGGGCTTAATATAAACTGCTTCGCACATTTAAAATACAAATTGCGTTGAGGCATAATACATTTGGCTTGCAACTGTTGTGAAACATGCACTGTTCAACCCAAAAACTTAAAATATTTTGGGCTCTACAAAAGTTCTCGTACAAAACGTTTTGCCTAATTTTAGAAGCTAACATCAAAAAGGTATCTGCACAATTGGGGACCATCTCTGCCTTTTTATGAAAAAAAACATTGAGGACCGAGCTAGCTAGAAAAGAAAAACCATTACCAGTTTCAATTAAATATGACTCAAAATCTTTAAATCAGTCTACTAGTATTTTCTAGCTAGGCATATAAATCTCTACCAATTGCACTTGAAACAACTAATAACAAATGCCGCACCCCCGCAGTGCAGTCTACCGCAAAATCGTGCGAGAACGGCCACCCAGAATAAAGAGATAAATGGTGAGACATGGGGGGGGGGGTGGGGGCGACAAAAATCTTTATAAAAAATTAGCGATAAACACAGGGGTGCCCGCTGCAAACCACGTGACACGGGAACCGATACCGCAGATTGCGAACACAGCAAATTCAAGTTTCATGATGCAAGAAACACGTTGGAATTCGCTACAAACTCCCGTGACACGGGAGAGGATACTGCAGGTTGAAAACGCAGCAGCTTCGCTTTCCATGGTGCAAAGGACCCACAGGAACCCGCCGGGAGCTTTGATCTCACTAGAATGAATACCGCAGATTACGGACGTTCACATTTTATGATGCAATATACACGCGGGAACAACTCTCGTGTCGCAAGAACCGATGTCACACGCGCAGTCAGCGGACAAAAATGCGGGAGCCCGCTACGAACTCGCTTATCAGACGTACTGGTACCGCAGATCGTGCGGTGTATGCGATTCCCGTTGGACATGGCGTGACATCCGACAGAAACTGGGGGTGGGTGACGTTTCTGAATTTGTATGTTACAGATATTTAGCCCGAAAAATGGGATGGGTGATCTCTGGGGGAGGGCGTCCTTACGGCATTTTACGGTATGCGACACTATATTTTATTCAGCTGCAAACAGATTAATTTAGAAGGTTCCCACAAGGTTCACCAGTATCCATGCAAAGACACCTGCGTGGTGACAGCCCCCTAAACATGCTCCCTCCGTCCCTGGAAAGAAAAAGAGCACGCACGTCCTTGTTCTTGGAGACGATCTGGGTGAAGAGGGAGGGGTCGATCTTGGCATCGTTGCGACGCTGTTCCAGGGTCAGGCCAAACAGGGTGCGTGACTCCATCAGGGTCGGCTCGTACGTCGGGTCCATCTGCCAATGCAGACACGCAACGGGTCCATGAGGGTCGTCCTGACCGCCTTGCAAGGCAAAGAGGCACACGCAGCTTCCAATGCCGTCCGCACGCATTTCGCAAAGTGGTCGGGTTCTTTGCAACGCGGCGACTCCTATCAGTTCACATTGCGGGAGTTCTATTTAGTGTCTAGGGACTCTTCTAAATCCACAAAGAGGCACGTGTGGCCCGAAATGGGTGCCTTCCAAAAACTGACTTCCACAGAAGTAGGCGGCCTCGACATGAACCTGAAGGATTCGAGTGTCGTGCCCAGAATAGAAGAAAGCGGCAGAACTTAGAGTGTTGGAATTTGGGGGCACCAGGTTTCCAGGGTGCCACCGATAACATGCACGCCAGCCTTGTGCGTAGAGCAACTAGCATAGCATAGGTTCGGTGGTGCAAGGGTTGCCCAGTCTGCCAACAGGCACTAGGGGGACACACAAACAAAAAGTACCGAACAATCATTCCATACATTTTGAGCGCAGCTCTCCGCAGGGGCATTCTGCATTTAAAGCTCGGAACTGGAAGGAGCGAAGCGCGCGGCAGTTGGGGAACCATACTGTCGGCAGAAAACGCCTAGCGGAGCTGACCGGCGTCTGGGCACCGCTTGCATGGGGCTCGGGCGGACAAGAGCGATCACGAACCAGTACCACCGAGTCACTTCCTGGCTCCCCAGGTTACTAAAAGGTTATTGGAGAAGACAATCTTTCTCAAGGTCACCTGGAGGACGCAGTAGTTTCCACCTTTCTTCTTGCGGAGAATCTCCAGGGCCTCGGCACTGTAGGAAGGGGCAATGACGCCGTCCGACACCTGGGGCGGGAGGGATGCAGGGAGTGGGCACACAGCCAGGGAAACGTATAGGTCGAGCCCAGCTGGAAACTGGGTTAAGTGCCAGCCTAATACATGCCAGCACTTCTAGAGAATTTAACCACTTGAACTTACAACACATGTGGGAATAAGAAATATAAAATATATAGCCAACTAATATCTTTTGTGCACTCCTGCTGCTATACTCTCAACCAGGGTGTCCAACCAAAATGTTTTTCGTTCCGGTTCAGGAAAAGCGGTTCAGCTACGGTTCAACTCCGGAGTGAAAAAATAAAGGTTCAAACCGGTTTGAACCGGTTCGTACTCATATGCTACAAAAACATTTGAGGACAGCAAAAGATGAACTATGCATATTTTATACAAGTGGTACATATAAAAACCAAAGGCCCACATTACTGTGTGGAACGAACGCGCTAGTGCTGGGATATTTCGGGACGTAGGTAAAAGCGCAGTTCAATGTCAGGCAACCGACCGAAACAGGACGTCGTCAAGCATATCCGGGGAAAGACGACACCTCTGACACGATAGAATGAACTTCAAAGCAGAAAAGGCTCGCTCCAAGCTGACCTGGGTAGCAGGCACTCCCAGGGCTACTTGCTCCAACCCGCAGAGTTCTGGATGGCGTTCCCGTCATTCCTTCCAAAACTGTAACACGTTAGCGCGCCTTGAAAGCCGCGGTTCCTTGTCTAGCAATTCCAGGAGCCATGCTATATCAAGTGGTTCAGCTTAGTTAAACATATAAAATAACGCAAAGAAGACAAGAGCAAGAAGTATACAGGACAAGAGCTACTAAGTGAACTACAGGTACCGCGAATGTGCACGCCAGCCTCAAGCTTTCTTTCCTTGAGGAGCATTTCCGGGGCGTCTTCCGGATCTTCTGAAGCCGCCACAGTTTTAGAAGACAGGGTAGAATCTTGCTCGCACTGCAGATTTGTGATCCGCCTCCAAGTCCTTGTCAAATGCAACGTGGCCCAGTACTTTTGCTCAGGGGGGACAAGGAGGCGGTAGCGGGAATCCATGTACGGTATAGACCACTTACAACGTAACCGCTTATAGTGCAGGACCGGGTATAACGCGGCTTTTTTAGACCACCGGTTCGCCTCCCATAGAACTCCATGTAATTACATACCGCTTAAAATGCAGGCGTGCGAAGGGAAATACCGGTTATAGTGCGGTTTCTGGAGCAGCGAGCACGCTTCGCCGACCGACCGGCGCAGCGAGCACGCTTCCCTGTGCGACACCAGATAACGGCGCTAGCCGCAAGCGGCACTCGCGGGGGCAAGGATGGCAAGGATCGAGGTTGCTCGAAGAAGCGGGGAGAAGCGAAGAGAGAGGCTTCAATTGCCATAGCAACGGAGGAACACATGCACGTGTTGTTCACGGCGCAAAGCGTTGGCGAGCCCAACCAGCCGTTCGCGTGCGTTGCATGCCGGTCGCGGGCCGGCTTCTATCCACGAACATGGCGTCGGTTGTGATCGTCGACGTCGACGGCGTAGTGGAAGCTCATCGTTCCGCGTAAAAGCGCTATCCTTGACTGTGAATTTTCGTTGTGTGTCGCTATGATAACCCAGCACGTACTAGAAGGGAAGATCCACGTACTCGTGCGGCAATGTCGTGGCGGCACTCTCAAGACTGCAGAAACGCCCGTGTCGTCGTGTTTGTTTACTTCGACTACAGTGGTGCCTTCTAAGCATTTGTGTTTTCGAACATCGCCCAAATTTCTTATTTGGCGCACTTCATGCGTGTGCTCAAGTTGAAGGTATTACTGGCGCGTACCGTATGAAGGATGCAAATTTTCACGCGTTTTCATCTCCGGAGAAAAGTGATTAGGGTTAGCAATCTTGAACACTCGCAACGTCCGTCCGCAACCCGTGACGCCGTTAAAAGGCTGCGCCAGGCAAAAGCTGCTCATTTCTTTCAAAATGTGCGACACTTGAGAGAGAAGTGTACTAGCCTGGTGAAATAAAGACTTTCCTCAAACTAAGCTTTATTTTTCATCTAACATCAATTCTTTTACGAAGGTAAGTTGTTTCATGGCATGTATTTTGGGCTGAACAATTGATGTTTTGGTTATAGCGCGGTACCGCTTATAGTGCGGATTTTCGCGACTCCCACGACAAACGTTATATGCGGTCTACACTGTACAGTGCTGCAAAGAAGACATCTGTGTCAAGAAGTTGTTGCTCCCTCTTTTTCATTGACTGGACGAAGGCCTTTGCTAACGGCGAGGATATCTTGGAAGTGTCCATGGAATATGTCAGCCATGCTCAGTAGAAATCAGTGATCTGTTCCTTCTGCAACGTCTTTGTCGCCGCTTCTGCCGGGCGAAGCGATACTGCGAGCATTTCGAATTTCCGCCCATACGTCTTCAGTCGCTCCGAAGCTTTCTTCTTTTGAGAGTAACCCTCCAGTGAAGCATATGCGGCGTGGACATCCACCGCGTTCGACAATCAAGCACTGGTTTCTTCAGTCCTAGCTTTCGGATCAGGGACATAACACATTGGATATGTACTCTCAAGCGTACGTCTTTTCCCGGTTTGCGCGAAAATAAGATTTTTTTTCTTTACATTTTTGGGCTACTGCGTTTTTCGCCACACTTTTCACGCAACCTGACTTCGCATATGAACCGAAAACCATGTGGAAAACATATCGGTTCCGCTCCGGAGCGAAAAATATTCTTTTGTTCCAATTCAACTCCAGTTTGAGCGAAAATAACGGTTTTTTCCGGTTTTCGGTTCGAGTTCGGTTCAATACCCCGCTTTCAACACAAATTTAACCCAATTTACTAGAAGCAGCGCTGCAAATACAGTCAAACCCGGATATATTGAATTCAATTGGCAGCCGGCAGTATCTATAAATAAAAGGTCATTGTAAAATAGTGTGGTACAATGATAATTCGATACACGAAAGTGTGGCAACTTAAGCTCCAGTTGAAATTTCCACAAAATTTTGGTAATGCCTAGCGTTGCGACAAACAGGAGCTTATGAAACAGGGCATCCAAAAACAGTCAAATACAGTAAAACCTTCTTAAAGTGCACCGTATTTATTTGAATATAAGTCTACTTTTTTTTTTTTTTTTCTTTTTCGGAAATGTCAAAAATTACAAGTTGACCTAAAATCGTGACCAAAAAATTTCGACCTACATTCGCGACCAAATTTTGCGACCCTACCGAGGGCATGACACTATCGAATCACCCAGCCGGCGTCGCTGTAGGGCCGCGCCGCTTCTTGTTTCAAAAAGCTTTTGGTGCACAATAACAACCAAAACAGCAGCCCCCCCCCCCCCCCCCTCCCCCATCGTGGCCGCCACTCTCGCGCACATCCCTCGGCAAGGGGCTTTCATCGCGCCTGTAGCGTTCCCCTCGCTGGGCAAGGGGGAAGACGAGGAAGAGGGATGCAATGCGCAATGCACCTTGCCCTCCATTCCTCTCCCTCGCAAATGTGCACGAAAAAAAAAAAGTATGGTGGTTATTTTTGTTCGTTGTTTGCGGCGGCTCGCGGCGTTACATCTTTGAATTTGGTCTTTCGTCGCTACACCCCCCGCCTCCACCTTCTTTCGTTTCTTCTTCTTGTCATTTAACAACAATGTCAGTGAGGTATTGTTGCGAATTGGCAAATTGGCACCTTGCATCACCCAGTTTCCCTTCCTCTTTATCACCTTTCCATCTCCCAGGTTTCCTTTCCGTTCCCCATATCTCCCTTTCCATCTCCCTGTTAGCCTTCCCACTTATCAACCTATATTGTCGGGGTCTCGCTCAGGGTGCAATGTCTTTGCCCAAAATAAATGTTGTTGCTAAATGAAAGAAAGTGGTTGTCCTGTGCTTGTCCTCTGCGTTTTATTCTTTCAATTTTATGTATGTCTACCAAACTGATGAAGCCTCTGACAACGATGGCATGTCCGGAAGTTCCGAGGGTGATTACGTTTTTGGCATCGCCCTGTGATTTAGCTGAGAGTGCTGTAAATAAAGGTTTGTTTCTTTCTTTTGCTCAAACTTTCCCGTTCCTAAATAAAAAAAGAAAAAGAAAAAGGTCAACCTTTATTTGAATTATTTTTTCTTTTTTATTCTCGGGTCGACTTATTTTCAGGTAAATACTGTAGTCGGCACCTAAGGGCATGGGTTTTCCATAGATGCCACTTCGAGCAAAAAAATATTGTCACCCTGAGGTAAGGTGAAAGCGGCAGGGAATAAATTCGAAAATCAAAACGAGTATACTTGGGCACGGCAGGGGTTGTGCCAGGGAGTGCGCCCGAGTATACTTGGGAGCGGCACTCAAAAGGTTAAGACCATTATTGCTCGTGCTAGCCTCTTTATGCGTGCCCTGTGGGATAATAAACACATAGAGATTTTTTTTCCCCCATCTATGCAGCTTTGTTTTGCATTTTTAAACGTGTTTGCATTTATTGCCGCGGTGCATGCAGCCATCTTTCATTTGGAGATTCGTGGTTTGGACTGGATGGGACGCGTTTCGTGAGGCTAGCCGTGCTCTTTCGCTCTGCTCGTTCACTTTCCTTCGCTCTTTCAGGGGACAGGCGAGACAACATGAGGTGCAGTTCACCCTCGCATGTACCGTCGTCCAGCTCCAAAATCTCCCTGAAGTGTGCGTGCACGGGCTGGGCCGTCCTTGCGGCCACTTTGAAATTGCGCTCGTGTGATAAAATTATTGCAACTACACACACCTAAGTGGCGCACACAAAGTCCAAAGGTTCCAGAAGTTTACTGCTTGTCATATTTCAGTGCAAGATCTACATTTCGACAATGCAGAGCGAACAATATGCGGACCATAGGTGGCGATTGAGAGAAACTGTGGCAGCTGCATCCTGAAACGCAGACGCCCGAGAGAACAGACTGGCTCTCCGAAGACAACAGTATGCGAATTGTTGCGAGGTTGAAATTTTCATTCTTCGCCGAGTCAGAATTCCTGCGCTAAATGCTAACGCATTTCGTCAAGAACCAGCGTGGTGACAGCGGAGATTTTGGCATCATTTTTACCTCATGAACATTGCGAATAAAACTTTGGGTATTTGTACTGATTCAACATTCAACTTTTTTGGTCACGATTCGATTCGAAGTCGATTAGAACTAAAATATCACTATTTACGCACCTCTAATATGTGATCACATAACATAGTGATTATGTGATCACGTGACATCATATGATCCCTCCCAGCATAAGAGCTACGGAGTTTTTGCAACAATACGAGCACAAGGCAGTTGTAACGACACTCGTCCAAGGAGCAAGAAGTCCGTACACTTGCTCGGCACCCCAGTGTTAACCAGATGCTATCAACGGGCGATAGTGTGTTCAAATTTGTGAGGAATCCTGTGTAGAGGTAAAATGCCCAGCTGGATCTTCGATAAAAAAAAGAATGGCTTATCTTTTGACATTTCCGAAACATGACCAACATGTCCATTCATTTTCGCTCCCGTTTTACTCGAACAAAAAGCACACTCCCTCGCTGCGAGGCAACGGGAGGCCCCATAAAACGAACCTCTCGGGAGACAATCTTGGCGGTGACAGCGTCGCACTCGTCAGACAGGGCCAGGAAGTCTCCAAAGGAAGACATTCGGTCGGCTCCTGCGGGAAAAAAAAGTGCCCCGGTGTCACTCGCGCCACTAACCCAAATGGTCTTTTGAGCCGTTACTTTTGTGAGCCTCTTCCCCCGATCAACATGGGGGAGCGAGATTACACGTGGCTCCGATTTGCCCATGCCATCTCCTATACCTCCTAAAACCATACACCTCAAATGAGCTGGGCAGTTTGCAACCGAGGAACCTGGGCCAAGATCCCCAAGAAAGCGATTTCAAGGTGAGAGCACTAGCACATTTAACCGCAAGGAACTACGGCACACGATAGTTTCAAGATATTAAGTGACTCAAGCCTCTTTGCATTATAGAATGTGTTTTATATCTTTCCAAGAGGGGCATCTCTGTCGAATCTTTTCATATTGCGATGCGATTTCTCCTAATTCCAAGGAACACTTTGCCTCCTTTAATTGGGCTCTTCCTTCTAAACTTGTTTACATTCCCACAAAGCTTCCCAGTTAAAGGGAATGATTTCCACTGGGAAGAAACTATTCCTTCCCAGCGGTTGGGAAATGCTCTTCCTGTTCACGAAGCAAGGGGCAAGTGTCTGGTTTCAAGCATAGTTTTCTGCTGCGACCCCTCGAACGAGGCTAAAGAGGTTCCCTCCTCCTCCGCTGCTCCCTCCCTGCGGCAATTTAAACTCCTAATGTGCACCAGCTGGGGACTGCTGCCGAGGCAGGATTGTCATTTTTTAATGCGCACCCTGTCCAGTCACGCTCCCTCAAGTGCTACACGAACAAGTGGAAAAACAAGAAAAAACCTCCGCAGCCAGCAGACCTCTCTGCACCCCATTTTATGGTCCGCTCAGCCTCGACACCGTTCCATGCTACTGCCCTCATTCTACGAGACTCATTTAACATTTCTAACTGCCATGTTGCCTTACCAAATAAAGGAGTTCTTAACCACAACCATTGTCCTAAACTGCTTGTTCACCACCCAGTGCACAAAAGTTTCAAATGTTGGTATTCTAAATGTTTACTATGGCATGTCCTAGGCCTTCCTTGCCACTGCAGACAAATTCACCAAAATGGGTGCCTTGACAGAGCACGATGATGCCAACCTAGAGGCACATTTAAGTGGTTGCATTGGGAAGGTTAAAAGACAAACTGCTCTTCTGTCAAACAAACTGTCCAATTCGTTAAAACTGCAATTTATCATTGGAAATGGAGGACATATGAGTAATTTTGACAGATAACAATTCCATTTTTGAACTCTAGATTATAGTTCTGAGCAAAAATATAAACTCGCTACTTTGAGGCGCTGAGTTTTTGGGTGGATCATAGGACAAAAGCTGTTAGGACAAGGTGTGAACATATCTCGATGCATCTGAATTGATTCAAACGTAAACCTAATATCCTCGTCCCACTAGAGCAACAAACACCAATTTTTGTCCAGAGACACTGCAAAGCTCCGCGTTGCCGATGCTGTCCCACCGTAACAAAAAATACTCCTGACAAATGATCGACGACTGAAAAGCTCGTTTGTCGTCCGACTCGAAGCATAGCGGTCCCACCGAGGAACATCTTTCGGAGACAAACTTACCCTCCTCGCCCTCTTGTACCTCTTGCTGCCTCTCTTCCAGTCATGGGTAAGTTACTTTTAAAAAGTAATTCGTTACAGTTACAGTTACTTTCAGAAAAAAAGTAGCGAAGTTACCTTTACAGTTACCACAACAAAAGAATAACTCGTTACAGTTAGTTACTTTGAAAAAGTAACGACGTTACTTTTCAGTTACTTTTTATAACACAGAAATTAAGGAAAAACTAGTGTTTGAAAGAAACTTAACACAAAAATTAAGGAAAAACTAGTGTTTGCAAGAAAAAAAACATAGACACCAATCAGTCGGGCTTCCACCATATCAGTAAATTCAAACTTAATAATTTAGCTGGAAAATTAGTCAATATTAATAAAAAATAAAGACCAAATTAAACTGGATGTGCTTTCTCAGATTTGAACACAAAGACTTATTGTCGGAGTACTCCTTGTTGCGAAGTTTGCATACTGCGGTCAAATAGTTAGCAACCACCTTCACCACAGAAAAATACTCTCTGTACGCCGGCCATGCTATAGTTCTTTGTTCTCTTCTCATCAACATCCCTATCCTTGGTAGCACTAGCACATTGCTGGCTCGTTGATGGTTGCACTGGGTTCATGGATTCCTTCGATATATTTCAGTTCGTACCCGGCAAACCAGAAACAAGCCCTGCGCAACAGCAGTAAATTTTGCCTCCACCGTTGAAACCACGCCGGAGTAGTGGCACAAATCAAAATACGAAACACGCGCAGTGCGGAGTTGTGGCGCTAATCAAGATACGAAACATACGAAGTTCCCTCCGCGTGTATTGTTGTTTCACAGTTGATTCACCCGATGAAAAAGCGTGCGCAGAAAAGAAAAATTGCAGCAGAGATAGTGCTTCAATATACTAAGATGTAAGTGTTCAGTCACAAAGTACAAGCAAGTGCGTAAAAATAACTACATTCTTCTTCTTTTTTTTTTTTCCATCAAATCTACATGTGGCCATATTCAGATAGTGACTCGCGAGTTTGTGCAAGGCCAACTGGCACTCAAAATGTCGGAACAGACAATTTGGAAAGTGCAAGGAATAGCTAGATTATACTCGTTTAATGATATATTATTCACAAAGAACTGAAAAGCAACGACAAAAGTAACGTCGTTACTTTCATCGTTACCTCAGAAAAAGTAATAGACCTACAGTTACAAGTTACATTCTTAAAAAGTAGCTCGTTACAGTTAAAAGTTACCAAAAAAGTAACGAAGTTACAGTAACGCGTTACTACCCAAGACTGCTCTCTTCCCAACCTTCCTCCCGTCGAGCCACTCGGCCTTAAGAGAAGGCCCTGGTGGCCGCCTGGGCTTCCTACTCGTTCCCGTCCCTCCTTTCCCTCGACAGCTCGTAATGCTCATGACGAGCTCACTGGCGGTCGTGTTGCCAAAGGGAATTTGGTGTGGCTTGTTTTGCTGTTTGTCTGTGCATTTTGAAGTGTTTCGTAGGCAACTCCAGTCCCACTAGGAAACAAGTTTCATTGTCGTCCCCGCATTCTGCGTCGCCAGGTAGGTGGCGGACTCTGACGAAGAGGTCGCGTGTCCGTGTCGTCTGTCGCTTGTTGTCGTTTGTCACTCTAGTGGGATGCGGCTATAAGAAGATTTGTAGCTAAAGGATTAAACGCTCGCACATCCCCTCGCTTTAGCAATGCGCAAGAAAGCAGAAGGAGCGTGCTCACCCCTGGCCCTGGCGTATGCAGTGGCGATGGGGGTGAGGCTGTCGAACAGGTCGTCCACCATGCACAGCTTCGCCTCGTCCCGCGTCAAGGGATTGCCCACCGCCGCACCTGCGTGCACATGGGCGGCATTCAGGCGGGGGAGGATCCACCTCCGCACACACCGCAGGAAAGCCACAACGCCGCAGTCGAGGTCCCTTGACAACGTACACTTTCGCTCTCGCGTCAACGATGCCCGTCTTGCTCACACCTTGGCTGCCATCTGGTACGACAAACCTTACACCGTCACAACCAGTGGCATAGGCAGGAGGGCATTTTGGGGTCGTCTTCCCACGCAGCCCCACTGCTGAGCCTATACTCCGTCATGGGCTTTCCAACCCACCCCCCCAAAAAATTCCCACTTATGTGCCACTGGTCGTTAGGGCTCAAAAGAGAAATCTGTGCGGTAAACTGCAAGAACAGAAAACAGTATAAAGCCGTCGGAAAGGTTCCCGCCACTGTGATGGCTCGTTTATTATTAGTGCTTTAGACGCCACCGATTTGTTTTCTACTGATTATATGTGCCATTACATAGTAATGTATTTTACGTAGCTACCTTACCGTCGTGCCACCCCTAAGAAACCTGCTCTATTATGTTCAATGTATAATGTCAGCGAGATACCTTAAACTACTTAATTCTCACGAGGGTTTAATTTGTACATTAAACCCTCGTGAGTAGTGCGGTGCAAGCATCACTGCGTAGAGGCACCTGGTTCACTGCTCTTGAAGTCTGGACCAGGACGTGAACAGCACGGTCGACGGGCCAGCTTTAGCTAAGGTGACTAGAGACACTACGCAACGAGCGTTTGTCCAAATTTCCTTCCCTTCCATTTTAAGAAGTTACCGCTGACCCATATATGAACATCATTTTGTTATTTTCCCCTATTTGGAGTCCATTTTTATTCGAATAAATAAGGTACAGCAGCCTCGGTAACAATACTTAACGTCTATGGACTATTTTATACTGATCCAAATTTAGAGACTTTGTAGTGTTGTGTCATTTACCCGCAGTCTCGGGGTTTTTTCAACCATGTGCAATGTACACCAGCTCGTTTGCGCCCTTACATTTTGTCCAAAATTTTGTTTGCTCAAAATATTTCAAACGGGGTACCTCGGCAAACTCGCAAGATATTAGTACAAAGATATTCTTTTTTGTTTATGGTACGCGGTATGTTTTACGTCCTACCCTCCCTGCCACCTAGACCAAACGGCTCTTGGCGGTAACAGGCGCAAAGCAGCCAGCTGCAGCACTAGTGGACCATGAGCAAATTTAAGGGCGCCAGGAGAAAACCTACTTTATTATATACAATAACCGAATTAAATTTTCAGTTTATAGTGCTTGAACTTATTTTTACAAATCTGGTGTTATTTTTTATATAACTAATTTTTTCTGTTCTGAATGCTATGCACATGCAGAAAAAACAATGTTCTTGCACACACGTGGGGCATAGCAACGCACCTGAAAGAACCTAGTAAAGTAGCTTAATTTGCTCCTTTTAAAGCACAGAGCGCAATGAACAACAAAAATTATGTGCCCGAGACCTATTTTATTTTAATATCAATGAAAATTGCAAAAATATAATTTTAAAGGGGTGACAAAGGTTTCTCAATTTTTTCACAAATGTCAAAAATAAACATACTATCCGAACCTATATACTTCCATTCTACATATTATAAAGCATATGTATGCCAAATTTTGATGCCCTATGACAATATTAAAAACAAAAACTCTCGCGCACAAATATGAAGATGTTCTAAAATTGCACAAAGAAAAATGCACTCGAATGTTACTATAGATGCGTAATGACACTTTTTCGCGGGAAGAAAAACAATTTTTTGTTAATAAGCTTTTGCGAGAAATTAATACTGCAGAAGACCGCTATGAAGATGAAGCACCTAGGCCTACTTCTCAACGTAAAAGTGATGGCGGGCGACGTCACAAATCAAAGAACCGCGCACACGAAAGTGGTCCAAACTCGTGCCGTTTTGGGTTGCAGGGAGTTCTTGAAATGCGTATTTAACGAATTTCTCAATCATAAAGGCCCGTTCACACTCTTGCGACCTCTTAAACCTAGGTTTCTTACAACTTCTTAAACCAGAAAACACACTGGTGCCATCTATTGGGAAGCAGTGTAAACTCGGCGGTCCGGCATATTTTTTTTTTTATTTCTCGCGCATTATCCTTTCTTTCTTGGCTCGAAAAACTTTTGTCAATGTTATAAACGAGCCTTTCTATGGGTATTACGCACATTTGACCTCGGAAATCCCGCAAAACCTTCGCTCTTGTGAAATGCAGTTCCAGGGTCACCGCATAGATGGCGCCACAATGCCAGTTTGTTCCCTCATTTTAAAAACATTTAGCAAGTTTTAAGAGAACTCGTCTCTCTCAGTCGTACTCGGTCGCACTCGGTCGCAAGAGTGTGAACGAGCCTTAACTTGTCCTCATTATTTTATATAGTGAATATACAGACTTAAAGGTAATAAAACAACAGAAAATTTCAATATCACTCGTTTATAACGTGTTTTTCTTTCCGATTTGCACCTGTCATAACCCTCCCAAGGTCAGTTATTTTAATGGAAAAAAAAAAACAAAAAAAAAAAACAACCCTGCCATACACCAGCTTTTAGAAAGAAATGTCTAGTTTCTGGTGAGGTCCACAAAATAGATGCGGGCAATGCTCGTGATGTCCGAGCCCTACAGGTGCAGTGGACGCACCGGCAGGGCTGACGTGCTTGAAGGAGGTGGCGGCAGGGATGCCCAGGGCGGCCTTGAGCTCCTTCACCAACTGCCACGCGTTGAGGGCGTCACACAGGTTGATGAAGCCGGGGGACCCATTCACCACTGCAGCGGGGAAAGAACATCCTCCCACTGAGCAGGACCCAAAGGACAAAGGCAACTGGTGCTCCAAATCCCTTTTAGGGGCGAAGCTCCTTAGGGTCTAGCCTTGTCCGGCGTCCGTCCTCACATTGCCATCCCATCTGTCTTCTTAAAAGAAAAAATGCTTGCGCAGTCGACAGGGTTCGAACCTGTGCGGGGAGACCCCAATGGATTTCTAGTACATCGCCTTAACCACTCGGCCACGACTGCGGGAGGAGATGGGGGCTCCGAGATGTGGTAGTAACTCAAGAGCTGGGGATGTCATGGATGAAACGTTGCATGTAGCCACTCAACGTCTACACAGGAGAGGGCGCTGCGGTCAAATGAGTATATAATCGCGTTAAACTTTGCATGCATTAGCTTAACGTTTATAGACGAGAGGGCGCTGCGGTCAAATGCTCAAATGCGTATATAACCCCGTTCCATGCCACACATTCTCTTTCTGACATGGACCGTTGATTTAAGCGGTGGAGATGCGTTCCCACGGCTTCTAGCGGATCCAAATTGATCCGCTAGAAGAACCACTGGCTCTCCATTTCACCGACCATAAAGCAGTAATAATAAAGTCGAAACGCAACCCGGAACTCAGCACTACCTATGAGCAATAAAAAAATTCAGCACCATCAGCACTACCTATGAACAAAATCAGTATCATCAGCACCACCAAAGCTCCGTCCCAATCAACATGATTCACCACGTGGAGATGCAGTCATTTTTATATCCCAATCTGTATGTGCTGGAATAATACAAAAAAATACCATCCACATGAGCGTTGGGTCCGTAGGTAAAGAAAACGAATCAAAAGCCTGCTACTTGAGATTTGAACATTCAGCAGGATCATCGTGGTGCCTTTTAACACGTTCACTGCGTTGCAGGTCACCAGTGGGTCGCGTCGCATGAGCCAACTGTGTGGCCTCGAATATCCCGTCCTCCGGCATTGTGCAGGAGTGGTAACATTTACAAAAATGAATGCAAAAAAAAAAGCTTTTACACTCGAATACAATGCTTACAATGAACGTCGGTGCTAGGCAGAGTTGCAGTGACCCACCAAAGACCCTCAACCCATCCTAGGAAAAGCAAATGACACCCAGGGATGCGCGAGTCACGGGTGACCCACGCACCCCACCCAATTTTTCTATCAAAGTGCCAAAAGTCAAATTTGGGGGTTTTACGTGCCAAACCTACGACGGGCATCTGGCACGCCCCAGCGGAGGACTGAGGAGTAATTTCGACCACCTGGGGATCTTTTGACGTGCAACCGAAAGCTCTGTTACACGGCGCCTTCTCCGCAATAAGCCTCCGTCATATTGCGGGCACCTCGGTCGGGATTCGAACTCGCCACCTGGGGATCCGTAGGCCGGCGCTCTCGCCTCGGAGCCACCGAGGCCTATCAAAGTGCCAAGATGGTGTGGCCCTCTTATCTTAAAATGTAAAACTAACAATATAGGCTATGTGTCTGCTTGTATGGATCACTGTGAAACAAGGACGAGCCAAATATAAGCAGATCCAACGTGTTCCGGAGTGACTGGACAGATGGCACCGGCACGCGTCGTAAGCCGTCGCAGGTGGTTGTAGCGGTTTTCATTGCAGTCAAACGCACGAGTGTGAACCAGCTTCTAGACCCCCCTCTGTCGGCTGCACGCCGGTCGCCCACGGTGCCTGCAACGCATCTTCGACAGGCACGTTTACCGCATCTAAAAACGGAGGTCCTTCCACTTCCACCCAACGACGCCGGTCGAGTGCCACGCCGTTGCCGGCCGCGTTGGGGCAACGATGGGGGACGTGGCAAACGACCGTTTTGCCGCGGGTCGCTCTCTGGTTCGATGCTTCACTAAAGCTTCGGCAGACGGGAGTTGAGAAGCTGCGATGACGGTGACATTCGCAGTCGCTTGTGCTTTTCGCCGGCATATCTACGATCGACCGCCAGGATCACGACGTCCACTTTTGCAACGCCGTTCGTTGCCTCTTTGGAACCACTTTCGAGGCGGAGACGAGATGGGACGCTAAACAAACCGGCTGGAGACGCGTTGTGCGTGCCATACTATCGGGGCAGAGTGGGCTCACCGGAGAGGGGCAGGCGGGGCAGGGACGTGCAAAGCTGGGCGGGCGTCTGGTGCGGGTTGGTGCCGTACCGCAGCGGCAGGTGTGCCACGCCCGCCAGGTACTGCTTGCGGAAGTAGTCCGAGATGGCCGCGTCGTACTGGGCCGTGTGCAGGAACGCCTGCGGGCACGCGTTGCCAATCGGGAACTCCGGCCGACGCTTTCCAATATTCTCAGACTTTCGAATATTGTTTGAAATAATGCTGTGCCATTTCAATTCACACTGTGTTGGAAAACAAGGTCGTGCCTCCTAACGCTTTACTAGGATGAAACTGAAAACCGTTTATGCGTCCCATTTTTATTAATTGAAGTTTTTGGCTTCTGGAAAACCAAAAAATAAAAACTATAGTATTATTCTTATTTATTTCTGGAAAAAATCGAGAACCATGCCTCTCTGACGATAATTTACCATGTATGGATGATGACAACTTTTGTTGCAATCAATTTTATGAGAAATTATATAAAAATATAAAAGCTGAGATAAATCTTGTTAAACAAGTACAATATCATTACAGACAAATAAAGTTATCTTAGCGAAAAACACCTTTGAATATGAAAGGAAACTCTAAAAGTACAAAGTTCAACATCAGGTTTCTCAAAAAGGCAACATTTAATTTTTTTTTTTTCGAACAAAGAGTTTTTTAGAATGGTCTAAGACATCCATTACAAATCGAATGTCATATGTATGGATCAGACATATAAATCTGTGCACTCAAACAGGCTATTCCGTGCATTCAAAGAGACAATCTATTTGAAGTCCTGTTTTAAAATGCGAAGCTGTGTTAGCACGTTAACATGCGTTAACATTGTCTAGAATGCTGCTAAAGTTGTAAGAATGGTCTTGTTGCACTCATTACAAATTGTAGAACATGCAAACTTTGTGCCATAGTCTTTGATGTGGATATTGGAAAACGTTGGGCAGGAATGTAGGCACTAAAGCTGAAATTTCCTTAAAATATAATAGGTAGGAAAACAATTGGTTCATGTTTGTGCTTAGTACAATAAATTACTGTAGGCATGAGAATTTAACATAAATTGAATGAGGAAGAACAGCGAAATGTTCCAAGACCAAGACCTCCCTTTAATGGCACTTTTTGGTCGCAATAAATGTTGTGAACTTGCAATCTTCTTGTCAAAAAAAAATAAACGTATATCAGTAGGTTTAAACGAGCCAACCTCTTCACAGGGCTTAAGGCACGTTCACTTACAAGTCGCAGCTGTTGTGCAACAACTTTTACCACAATTTCTATATTCTATAAGCTTTTAATTCTCACAAGACACTTTAAAAACTTCTTTGAATTGCAAATTCCAATTTTAAAAAAATTAATACTATTGACATGCGTAGGAAAACCCTCATAATGCTGCGCGCAGGGCTGAGAAAGCAACACTCGGTCACGGACTTCTAGAAAGTTCTCGTTTATTCTTGCCCCGGACGTAATTTCTATAATTTATTCCTGCTTTGTTGTTCTAGAAAATGTGTGTTCATTCTCGCCCCAAGCGCGCGATGCTCTCTTCAAGATAGTGACGCACTCTAGATAAGAGGTCACCCGCGACCCTGTCGAGTCAGTCCCGCGCCAGCGTTTGATCCTGCTGTTTTGCCACCATCCACGCTTGCGACACTAGCCTTTTTTTCCATTTTGTATTTGGGCACAAGTTCACCCCATTAAACGTTTAGTTTACTTCAGTTTTCGTCGCCTGATCCCTTGTCATTCATGACAATATATTAAACGTAACATCCCATGTAAGCATCGGCTTTATTTCTTGAGCGTTAGATCAAAGCCAACAACTACTTTGACAAAGTGTCGAGAATTAATTAATAGGCACACAGATGATGACAACCAAGCTTTGCATTTTAAAATAGAACTTCAAATCTAACGTCCACTGTAAACGACTTAATTTTCGCGGGCTCAAATTTTCGCGAATCGGGCCAAAGCTGAAAATTTGGAATTATTCGCGGGTTCTAATTTTCGCAAACGAGTGTAGCTTCCGTAGTATTCACATATTGCCCGAATTGTCCACAGGACGTATTTTTCACGAATTGTAGGCAATTCGCAAAAATTAGGTTTCCCCGAAAATTTAGTCGTTTACAGTATTTGAATGTATTAGTTCATTCTGAGGGCTCTTAGTACGAAAAACTAAAAATTAGTTTTAGAAGACTGACACTGAAGTTTGTACTTTTACAGTTTGTCTCATTTAAAGGTGTTTCTCGATAAGTTTATTTGACTATGGTGACATTGTTCTTGAAAAGGCAGTTATTTAAGTTTTCATTTGATATAAAACTTACGCTACAATATTCAATGTACCACAAATTATTATCCCACAAACCAGTTAAATTATCAAATGGGGCTAGCTTTTGTATTTTTAAAAGTGTAAATAAAAACAAAACATTTCTATGAACACTTCGAGCTTTTATTAAAGTTCATGAAACCATGGAAGAAGTTTCTTTGTTGCACAAAATGTATCCAAGCTTGGTGAAGCTCCCGAATATGCAACCTGTGACAATCGCTTAGATCCCAAAATCCTCCTTTGGTCCCTTGAAATAAAAAAAAAATGATAGAACTAAAAACAGGATGCAGAAACGGTTTTCAGTTTTGTCCTATAGTGAAGCACTTGCCTTGCACATATATATTTTTTTAGAAAACTCGAGGCAAGATTTTACTTTTCTGCAGGATTTGAAATGGCATCATCCTGGTGTATTCGGTCGGACCTTTGAATCGCGTAGTAGAATTAAAAATCTTCCAATAGTTTAAAAGAATATTGCATACTTTTTAAATTTTTTATGCAGGAATAATTATTCTGTTGTTTAGTGGGCCTTTTTTGTGTCACGGTCATGCTGTGGCCAAAGTCAATGCCAAATAGGAGGGTTTCTCGTGCCAAACCAACGAAAGGAATCTGGCATGGCCAAACGAAAAACTGAAGATCAATTTCGACGATCTGGGATCTTTTAATGTGAAACCCAAATCTCCGCTACATGGCACCTTCTCCACAACAAGCCTCAGTCAGATTGTGGGCAGCTCGGCCAGGATTATAACCCGGGTGCACAGTCCCAAGGAGACACCTATGACAGGACTTCTAGGGGAAGCAAAACACGGCACGGGGAACGGTTTCATTTGACTTCCCAATGCCTCTGTAAATAAATATGAAACTAAAACCAACCAACAGAGAGCACATTCTTTAGCAGTGTATGCACATCGCAAAGGAAGAGAATGGAAGGGCCTCCTAAGAATGTTATCAGTTATTACATTTTACCAGATCACATTTTAGAGCGCAGCTCTTAGGCGCCTGTTTCCGGCTTGAGCGGCGTCGCCGTCAGCGTAATTGCGCGGTGCATTATGGGAAATGTCCCATAATGCACCACGCCAACCCCTCCCCCCCCCCCCTGGGTTATGTGACCCCCCCCCCCCCCTCTCCGACGCCACGTGATCTTGGAGGTCACGGGACCCCCAGGTCACGTGACCCCCTTCCCCCGAGGTCACGTAACCCCCCCCCCCCCCCCCCCCCCCCGGAGGAGATTCAAGAATGAGGGGAGGAGGAGGATAAGGAGGTGAGGAGGAGGGGTATACCTTCCCCTCAGTACCCTTCCATCCTCCTCCTCAAGAGCCGTGTTCTAATTCGGCGTTACAGGGAGTTGTAAATGGCTTTCACTTTTTTTTACTGCAATCCCCAGAAAAATGTATCAATGGGGTTCTACTCCATCAAGCTTGCTTTCCTTTCCCCTAAAACCCGTAAATAGCATTTCAGTGTGCCAGAACCACTCATTCCATAGCAGCACAGCCAACATAAAAATATGAAAGAAAGAACACCATTCTTTTCGTTTTCTTTCCTTTTTTTCGTCCCGTAAAGCAGTATTGGGGAGGAATCCAAGACCATAAATATGAACCCGAACAAATGAGAATTTAAGCTTGATGCCCCACTGGGAAAAGAACCTGTTCGGAGCCCCGATGCCGCTCACCTTGACGGCCAGACGCCTCCTGGTCTCTAGGGACGTCTGCCTGGTCGGCGACGACAGCATCTCCTTGGCAACCCTGCGAGCAGAGAGCGCAACCACTCAGTACCAGGGTCTATCACTTCGGGAGGTGATAGACCCTGGTACACTCTACATTCCTTGAAATTGTTATTTTGCTTAGAACCGTCGCTTGTTTTTACACACCTGCTGTGGAACACATGTTTGGGACTGAAATGTAGCGAAATTAAAGATCATTTATTGATAAAGAGAAATGTGTTAACTAAAGCAATTTTACTTTTACAATGTTAATCAAGGTACATAGTATACTATTCGGTATGACCCAAATAACCAAAATGATCCCTGTTGTTTTCCGGTAAAGAGACAAAATGCACACACGTTTTCCCACAGGAATGCACAGGAACACCGCAAAAGTAGACTAGTTGCCGTCTGCCTCAATTTGCCTCCCGGAAATCGCTTAGACACTAGCACCAGTTGAACCTTTAGCGTACATTATAACTCTATTTATCTGGCACCCCACAGACAAGTCCAGACAAAAGCGGTCTTGCAGTGATATGCAAAAATGGCAACTCAACACTGACCACTTTCTTCTCCAAAGAAGACCAGTAAAAATGTACTTGTAACTTCAAACCAGCGAAAGTGACTCGCGAGAACTCAATGACAGCTGCAAAGATGTTTGACAATTTCAACTCCCTTCAGTGGCCATCTGTCGTGAGTTGAGCAATCCTCAAATCAATAAGGACCATTGGTTGCTGGGAACCAGTGCAGGTTTGCGAACCAGTATGAGTACTGCCAGTCTAGCATCAGAGAAAAACCAATGGGAAAACTTGTTGAACCACCAACGCACCAGTGGCGGTGCTCCGAGTCTTGCTGTTCTCAGACAGTTCCAACGACATTCTTCCTACGAGCATTTTCTTTGACTTGCATTTAGCACGACTTTAAGCAGTTATCCAGGGGCCCTAAGCTGGACGCTTGGCGAAAACGATGGTGAGAAATCTGGTGGCAACGATTGGCCAACGCCACACTTGACCTTGGCGCCGGCCAATCATAACCGCCAAATTTCTCGCCGACTTTTCTGCCAAGTGTCCAGATCAGGCCCCAGGGTAGTGCAAGGCAGAAAATAGGAACTGCTTGTGCAGGACATTCCTCACGCTGCTCCACTTGCATGGAGATGGAGCTGGATTGCAAGATGCATTAGAGACACTTGTTGGGAAGTACTTTAAGTACATCATACATAAAGTACTACTTCAAGGGGGTTTAGGATACTTGTACTTTATTTGAAATACATATTCCGAGCACATACTTCTACTTTACTTAAAGTACACCCGTGAGCGATATGATGGTGAACAGCCCTCTTCTTGTTTTTGATGCTTCTGTAAGTTTTGGAACAAGCTCTGTTCCATAAGAGGGCTAGAACGCAAAGTTTAGACCCCAAGCCACGTACCATTTGAGACGTTGAGGGTTAATATAGCTTTAGGAAGCCGTAAAACAGGCAAGAAACCAGGTATGGTGTTCACCTTCTTAATGCCGTCATATGTACTTTTTTTATGATACTTTTCGAGGAAAGTATATACAGCTCCCAGCTCCAAAGTACATTCCCCGAATTTGGTCTTGTCAAATTTGTATAACAAAATGATGCTTTATCGACTCTGAAGCCACTTGACTTTATCCAATATTTGCTCCCATTTCCAAAAATAACCGATATGCATTGTTAGAAACAAGCGAGTGTGGGGCTTTTAAAAAGAGACTGAAAAGAAAAACAAAATTTTTTTAAACAGCCTTGAAAAATTACACAATTTACTAAATAAATCTTTAGGAAGAAAAGCGTTTTTTAAAAATTATTTACAGCGCTAGACTTGTCTTAGTTGACAGATTTGAAACGCACGCACCAAAAACGGGTACATACCTTCACCACCACGTCACTACATGTTCTCCATCCTGCCCTTACCTCTCTTCCGTATGGCAAAATCATGTGCGAGAGAGAAAAGCGGAAAGGAAGAGTGCTGAGGCACGCTCAAGAGAGGTAAGAAGAGGTAGCCAATGTGAGAACACTGCCCTTGGCATGCACATGTGGTGACATGGTGATGACGTCATGCACCTGTTTTTGGTGCATGCGTTCGAAAGCTGTCAACTAAGAAAAGTCTAGCGCTGTAAATAATTTCAGAAAAAATATTTTTGTAGAAAATTTATTTTTGAATATCTGCAATGTTTTTACGTTGTTTAAAAAAATGTTCCTTTTCAGTGTCTTTTTAAGAAGTCTGGCTAAGCGAGAAGAGAACCGACGTTGAAGCTCCTGCGCAGCATGCATGTTCACAAACCCTTGCCGGCTACAACAGTAGTGTAGCAAAAATGGCAATGGTAACTTACACATCGTAATCGTCGGGATCGCAGATGATGGTCACCCGTTCATGGTTCTTGGCAGCGGCCCGCAGAAGAGTGACGCCACCTGGGAATACCAGAAGACCCTTATTTCTATTCCCGCTTCTTTGTACTGCTCTTGCCATTATTTTAACTCCATTTGGGAAAAGATTACTCGGCGACTCGCTTGACAATTGGCAATTGAGATAATGCCGCCACCCGCATAACTAAAAAAGCTGCTCTTCGAAGAAATTTTTTTGAATTCCCGCAATGTTACATTAACCTATTAACCGTTTTCAGTCTGGAAATTTCTGACCCTCAACTGCTTAATAGTTGTCTTCAAAGTCAAATTGGTAGCCTTCCAAATCATAATTTTTAGTCACAAACTGAATAGAAGCAAAACAAAAAAATTCAGTGCTGCCATCCGTTGGCACAGATCCAAGCTACGCCACAAGTGAGCCTGGTTTGTCTAAGACAGTTGAGTGCGTGAACAGGGAAAAGTGGATGAGGCATCCTTGTTCTCAACTGTGTCGGGACAATTCCACGTTGCGAGCTAGGCTCGTCCAAAATGGTTAAAGACCGACGACCAGTTCGCACTTTCCACTTTTTTCCCGCTTCCTCCTCCCCCCCTTCTGCCCCATCCACCGTTGCCCGTCCCCTCCTCCCCCATGCTGAGGAAGATCTTCTGCCTTGCAGAATATGGAGTCTGGTCGTCGGCCTTTAAGGGGGGACACTGCCCAAGAGGGTCGACTTTTGAACCTTTGCCTTAATATGGATCAAATTTACAGTATATACTGGCAGTTGCGAGACAGAATGCAGTGCAAAGTTACATATGTGTACATCAATTGTAAAAGAAATTAGTTGTTTTTAGCAGGAAAACTATCGTTAGGAAACTAATGTAATACTACCCAACATTTTTCTTCACTAGATCTGCAGCAGAATGCCTGGAGAGAGCAACTGTGAAAATATTTTCAAAAATTTATTTCATGCTAACATCAGTGAAAAATCAAATATATTTTTTGCCTTTTATGTCGTCGACAAAATTTTAACGTCATTTATAAAAGACATCTATAAAATAAAAAGAAGAATTCCATAGTTGCATTGCCCATAAAATTTCAACTAGGAAAAACAATTTTTGTCCCATTAACAAACAATAGTTTTCCTCAAGTGAAATATATGCCACAAAGTGGAACGGAGAAGAATGTGTTGAGAGCTCCAACCTCTACGTTTTCTTCAGCATCTGTGGACCGAAAATAATTTATAAAAAATTAACTATGCAGTGTAAACTAATGCAATGAACTAATGTGTAAACTAACTTTCTGGGAATACTTTCTAGGTGTTGGTGGATTTTCCAAAATCAACGTCTTTTGCAGAAATTGTTTTTTTCTTGGTAGTGTCCCTCCTCAAGAGGTTAGTGCTTGTCAAGGAGGTTAGTGCTTGTACATGATCACATTTTTATTGCCCTCACACTATTGGAACATGTTAGAAAAGAAATTGCTGTCAAGCTAATCCTGGCAACCCCTCAGGCAAGTATAAATATTCAAAACGTTTGCATAAGGTTCCAAATAAGAAAAAGCAGACAAATGTGAAACTGAAGACATCTGTTTAATCGGGCAAACTTGTGCCTGTAACTAAAACAAGAGGGAACCAGACATCATGCATTAGGAATCGAGGTGCAACTGACCTTAGCTTCTCACAACTTTTTCTCTCCTCTCAGCAGTCTTCTAGGGACGAAACATTCTCGCTTTTCGGTCTCTAGGACATTCAAGAGTCTTACGGGAGGAATGTAGAGTATGCAAAAGACAAGGGGACAAATGAAGCAAATGGGACAAGCACCGACTCACAACGAACATTGTTGAGTCGGTGCTCGTTCCATGTAATCTCGTGCCCTTGTCTTCACATCTTTTGTATGCTACACATTTCTCCTGCAAGCAAGAACCAACTTGCCCACATTGTTACTCTAATTCAGTTTTAAAATCGCCATGTTGTCAACGGCTGGTCGCAAATCCGGGCAAGGGGAGCGTGAAGCAGGCATGCACCTGACGTATGCAGCAATATTATTATATATTTTTTTTAATAACAGTTTTATTTTGGATTTTTTGAGTCGTGGGTGGGCGGGGGCAAAAGGTAAACAATTATTTACCCGATGAGGCACCACCACCCTTGCACATTGCTCAGTTAACACGCACAAAAAACAGGGTGTCTAGCAAATTATTGTTTTGAAATTCCCTGACTTCTCCAGGTTTTCCCTGACAATTTCAGGTGAAATTCCCTGACCACTGTAGAGGTGATTAAATATATAAGGACATTATAACACAAGGCATTGAGCGTTGAGCACTATGACAATCATTTTGCACAGGCTGAATACAACTTCCATATTCCGAAATAGTATTTGGGTTCGTCCACCACAGAGAAACGAGCATCTTCTTGCCCCTGACATCGTCAGCGAAGAGGCCACTTCCGGAAACACAATGAAAACACGACACTCAACCATTTGTCAATAACCAAATAGCCACATGGCCGCCAGATGCACACTTTCGGCTTAAGGTTTGGATTAAAATACAGGCTGCGACTTCCCATTTGTTACTAAATCTAGTAGCTCTAGCTGAACCTAGCCTAGTGTTGCGCCCTCAATCCAATTCAATCCAATCCAAGGCTTGGACTGGATTTGTCGGCTCTTCCCTTTGCATCGGGTAGCATAGTCTACATCGGGTGAGCAGAGCCCGCGCTCCGCTCTAAGCTGAATTTATTCCTTGTTTTCCTGCCCCCAAGTCGTCGAGCCTTTGCTCAGGGAACTCGATGGCGTTTCCGGCTCATTTTCCCTGACAAGGCTCATTTTTTGACAATATCCCTGACAATTCCCTGATTTTTCCCGGTAATTAAAATTTCCCTGACAATTCCCGGTTTTCCCGGTCGCTAGACACCCTGAAAAAATATAATAGAAAGAAAAAAACACGTAAAAATCTTATCAATCAACATAGCATAGTACCATATAGCAAAGAAATGCTGATTTAACAAATTTACAAACACAGAAAGCTAGTAGATTGAGTCAACGTTTTATTTCATTTTTATATTTGATAATTGTACATCTTTTTACAAATTACAATGTAATAGGAAAAACAAACAAACATACTATCGGGTTCGAATGAAATCCGAACAGCGACAAAACTTTCAGCGCACTACAGGCGCAGCAACGAAGCTTGTGTGGTGCAGGCAGAGGTTCAAACACGTCGGAGCAGGATGCGCACCCTCTCGGCGCACCTCACCCTGCAGTTTTATCAGTTTCCTCCAGGAAGCGCAGCAAGTGTCGAAAACCACGCGCTCCAGCGTTCGCATTTCATTCAAACTTTGATAGTGCGTCTGGTTTACTGAACTCTTCCCTAATTCTTCCACACACCTTTCAATAATCTCACAACATTTCGTTTCTACCTAGCGACTGGAAAATTGGTGTAATTCCCTCGCACAAATCTGGTAATAAGCACTCTCCCATTAATTTTAGGCCTATCTCACGAACCAGCATTTTCTGTAAAGTATTTGAACATGTCATTTATACGCAACTCGTTAACTTCCTGGAAACATGTTCGTTCTTTTCACCAGCCCAACTTGGCTTTAGAAAATATTTTTCTCGTGAAACGGAACTCCTCCCTATCACCAACAATTTTCATACCGCTCTTGATCAGGGATCTCAAGTGGATTGCATCTTTTTAGATTTTTCCAAAGCTTTCGACAAGGTGTCACATAAACTTCTATCGCTTAAAGGGACCATGAAGGCAGTTTCGAAGTTTTATTCGACGATTGAAATCGATGTCAGGGCAAGTCCCAGATACCGTTGACCAAGTTCTAGCCCGAACAGAAGTTTGAGTGCCGCACCAATCGAGCAAACAGGAGCGGTAATAATAGCGCAGGGAACGATGCCTGAGACCCCACCGAGGCGGCGGCAGAAAGGTGAACTAAAGTGCGCCGAAGCGTGACGACAACGGGCTCCTCGTCTGGCGATTGGTTCAGACGATAGACGCGCTCCTGGTTTCGATTTCGGTGGTGAGATGTGATGAAAAAAGTTTATTTGAACGTTGGATAATATTTTGAAGTTGTAGTTGGGAATTAATAGGTTTCATACCGTGTATAAAAGCATAATCTGAAGCGATCCCTCCATTTGTCACTGGTTGAACGCATCCCGCACTGCTACCTCGGGCGCGTAACAAGCATCGAGCAACCATGGACAAAAAAAAAAGAAGAAGAGGTACGAGCGCCGGGGGCGGCGGACTTTTGGTTTTGGTTTCGTGCGTCGTCTCGTGTTCGCCTTGCGAACTGGTGTCTCACCAATCATGCCGCGTTTATGTGCAGTAGTAGGTTGCGCGAAAGGTCGGCTAAAGACGTGCGGTCGATCAGGCGACGTTAGTTTGCATAAACTGCCGACCAATGCAGCAATGCGCAGCATTGCTGCATCAGTCGCCAATCCAGAATTCTGCGTCCTTAGCAGCATCTCCCGTTCAGTCGGCGTGAAGTCGTTGAACGGGAGCTCAAACTCGTTTGCGAGCGTGGCGTTGTCGTCCATTTCTTCCAGGTTTTCTTCACAGACCGCCGTGCACTAGAGCGAACCACGGGAACCACACTGAGTGTGCAGTAAATCCTACCGATACCGACAGTGCTCCCTGACGTCACTTCTCTTTCCAGAGGCGAAAAAGGGAAGAAATCTGAATGTTTGTTTCGGTTTCGCAAATTTAATTTACAGGTACAGAAATAAGAGTTACAACGTTTTAGAAAAAATTGTGTGGCATGCCAGGACCCCAATGGCTTCCGAAAACACCTTTTAAAAAAAAAATTAAATTGCCTTCATGGTTCCTTTAAGCAAAGCAAACTTTACATTGACTCTAATGTGTTTAATTGTTTCCTTTTTAACCAATTGCTCTCAATTTGTAATGTGTAATGGCGCTAGCTCCTCTCTAGTATCCGTCTCTTTTGGTGTACCTCGAGGGTCCGTCTTAGGTCCCTTACTTTTCTTTTACTTTATATTAATTACTGCAAGCGACCCAATTTTTGCAAGGACCCAATTTTCGTGAATTTCACGAATTGCCTACAATTTGTGAAAAATAGGTCCTGTGAACAACTCTGGTTAAATGTAAACAGATTGGAATCTATATTGAGATCCCCCCGCATCGCAAAAATTAGAACCCGCGAATTATTCCAAAACCTCAGCTTTGACCTAAATCGTGAAATATTGAGCCCGCAAAAAAAAAAGTGAAAGCCGCTTACAACTCCCTGTAACGCCGAATTAGAGCGCAGCTCTTGAGGAGGAGGAGGGAAGGGCACTGGGGGGGGGGGGGGGTTCAACTAACCAGGGGGGTCACGTGACCCCCAAATGCCGATGATGTCATCACTGACGTCACTGATGACGTCATCAGTGACGATGACGATGCGGGTACCGATGACGTCATTAGTGACGTCACTGATGACTTCACCAGTGATGATGACGATGACGATGTGGATGCAGGTGACGACATCAGTGACGTCACTGATGACGTCATCAGTGATGATTACGATGACGATGCGGATGTCGGTAACGTCATCAGTGATGATGACGATGACGATGCGGATGCCGGTGACGTCATCAGTGATGATGACGATGACGATGCGGATGCCGGTGACGTCATCAGTGATGATGACAATGACGATGTGGATGCCGGTGACGTCATCAGTGATGATGACGATGACGATGCGGATGCTGGTGACGTCATCAGTGACGATGACGATGACGATGTGGATGCCGGTGACGACATCAGTGACGTCACTGATGACGTCATCAGTGATGATGACGATGACGATGCGGATGTCGGTAACGTCATCAGTGATGATGACGATGCGGATGCCGGTGACGTCATCAGTGATGATGACGATGACGATGTGGATGCCGGTGACGTCATCAGTGATGATGACGATGACGATGTGGATGCCGGTGACGCCATCAGTGATGATGACGATGACGATGTAGATGCCGGTGACGTCATCAGTGACGATGACGTCATTGGGGGGTCACGCGACATCGGCGGGGGTCACGTGACCTCAGGGGAGTCACGTGACTTCGGGGGGTCACGTGACCTCGGGGGGGTCACGTGCCCCCGAGGTCACGTGACCCCCGGTGGGGGGCTCGCGCGGTGCATTATGGGACATTTCCCATGATGCACCGGGGTCACGTGAGCTCGGGGGGGTCACGTGCCCCCCCCCCCACGAGGTCACGTGACCCCGGTGGGGGGCTCGCGCGGTGCATTATGGGACATTTCCCATGATGCACCGCGCGGTTACGCCGACGCCGCTCAACCCGGAAACGGGCCCCTAAGAGCTGCGCTCTAATAAGTCATTTATAGTACTTCAACACTTGCGTTTCTTCTTCAATCAAATGCTCAGGTGATGGCTGTGCCATTTACCTTGTTATATCAAGCAATTCAAACTCACAAAAACTGTAACATGGTCTAGATTCAATTTTGCGGCGGTGTGAACTCTGGTCAATGTAGCATGTTATTACCAAATGCAAAAAGATATGTATCACATGTAAGGCTAAATTCTCTGCTACTTATAACCTTTATCACACACCCTTACAGCTTATAGATTCAAACACGTATCTGGGCATTATCATAAGCACCAATCTTTCCTGGCAGCTGCATGTTAATTACGTGACTAACAATGCTAATCGGATGCTCGGCTATCACAAACGTAACTTCTACCTAGCTCCATCATTAAAGTTTTTTCTCTATAAACTGCGGCCTCATGCCTGCGAGGCTGCACTTTAGAAAAGTGCAGCCTCCCCCGCTTGCACTGCAATCTCCCAGAAGTTGGTCCTCGGCCCAGGAGTGTCACTCACCAATGTCCACCTGCTCGACAGCCTCTGCCACAGTCGTGTTTGGCTTGGAGATGGCCTCCACAAAGGGGTACAGGTTGCACACCACCACGCTGGGCACACAGCACATACACACATCAACCCCACAGGCCAGGAAAATACTGGGGCCGTGCCTCAAACTGACTCAGCCTCACTCCGAGGCACGGTGCAAGATATACAGTGTGGACACGCAGCACGGCAAACGCTGCAACGCGATCGACCAGATGAAGTCCCATTGGCGTACGCCCCAGCAGCCTACTCAGACGGCATTTCCACCAACCATACGGTGCAACTGAGAAAAAAAAAAGTGAAAGCCGTTTACAACTTCCTGTAACGCCGAATTGGAGCGCAGCTCTTGAGGAGGAGGAGTGGAGGGTATATTCCTCCTCCTCCCTCGTGATCATGCCTGCTAGTCCTTCTCCCCTCCTGCTCCCCCTCCCTCTCTTCCGAGTACTTGTGTAGCTTGTTTCCTGAAAATAAGTCACATGACTTCAGCGGGGGGTCACGTGACCCCCCCGGACCATACTAGACAATGAGGGGAGGAGGAGGGGGGGGAGGAGAAGGAGGGCAGAGGTCCGGGGGGTCACGTGACCTCGAGGGAACGGGATCACATGACCTTGGGCGGGCCGTCACGTGACTTCGGCGGGGGGAGGGGAGTCACCCCCCGGGGTCACGTGACCTTGGGGGGGAGGAGGGGGGAGGAAGAGGAGCGGAGGGGGACGAGAAGGAGGGGGAGGGGCGACGCCGACGCCGCACAGGCTGGAAACGGGTCATGTGACCCCCTCCCCCGAGGTCACGTGACCCGCCCGGACCATACTACACAATGAGGGGAGGAGGAGGGGGAGGGGTGCGGTTACGCCGACGCCGCTCAGGCTGGGAACGGGCCCCTAAGAGCTGCGCTCTAAAAAAGTGCCTCGTCATGGCACTTCGGCGCGTGCGCTTTCCGCTTGGCACAATTGCTCCGACCTCATCAAACGCTGGCTCGAACACCGCGCCAGAGATATTGTCACGGGTGGTGACCAAAAAAACAGGAAATAAAAAGGAAGAAATAAACTTTTAATGTGGCGAACTTGTGCCAAAAATTGAAGGGTACAAAAGATAATAAGAGAGCGTCGAGGGTGTCGAAGTCGGCGAGACAGCAGAGTCGAACGCTGGGGCGAAACTGACTGTGGCTCGCCATGCGGAGCCCCTTATGTACATGAGTGGTCTTCTGGAATAATCGGCGTAGAAACTTCGACGTGTAGAACATTCCAACTTTGAATCAGCTAGACGGTTCTCGAATTCACTAGAACATCACATTACAGTGTAAACAAAAATGCGTAGCCACGGCCAGGAATCGAATCCTGGCCATTCGCGTGGGAGGCAAGCGCGATAACCGTTAGGCTACGGCCGCGCTGCCTACTTGGCGCGCGGCAATATCTCCACTTCGACGCATTCCTAAAAGTGCTCTTGCCTCCGTTAAGGCACAGAACTAGGGTCAATGACAATGCTCTGTCTAAGCAACAGGCATAGTAAAAGCGCCAAGTTCTGCGTCGTGCAAGTGCCAAGTTCTACATGACGCAGCGCACACAGAAAGAGACTTTAAAAACAAGCGTGTCTTCCATAGAGATGCATAGGAAACCGGGCCCGCAACAGGCTACCACTAGCCGTTCATCGGAGAGTCACTGCTTGCAACTGAGGCGACGAGAGGACTTTAGTCAGTTGCAGTGTGTGCAATGTCCACACCCGTACAGCTTCCACCGTGCTAGAGACTGCCATAGCACACATGGAGCAAGCAAACATTTCGGTCGAACGGCAGACTTTACTGGCCGCTTCCTTGAATACCAGCTGAACGTAGAGGAAAAGCGAAGGAGTTGGTTTTCACGTTCAGCTGGCATTCAAGGAAGCATGTCAAACCAACAGACTCAGCTCCAGGCCGTCACAATTTACTGGCCGCAATGGCTTACTCTGGTCCTAAAGGACAGCCTGGTACGAAGAGGAGATTTAGAAGTTTGCTTTTGTCCGCACAGCACCATCAGACAGCAGCACCAATCCTTTTGACACCGGCTGGGAAGTGAATCAGTAATTACAACCCTCTTCCACCTAACGGAGCAGATAAAAGTTTGTTTTGAAGCTGCAAAAAAGTATTCACTTTACTCATTCATTCCAAAGCAAGTAATATGTTAAGGTTTGTGCATTGACCTGTCCAACTAAAAAATAATGCCTTCACTAGGCATTAGCATTTATTGTACAGCGGTTTTGTTCTATCAAAAACTAATAGCTGTTCAGTTGTGATTAAAAGCACGAACAATAGCAAAAACAATGCTGTGACAAGAACCATTCTTTTGATCTAGAAAAGCCCAGTGCAGTTGTAACTTATGCCAATTAATGAAGGACGTGGCATGAACATCTGTGAATGTTTAATTTACATATGGAATGAGAAGCAAGCCAAATATAGTGTTCCACTGAAATATGGTACAATATAAGTTTGGATACAAAATTTGATGTTTTGTTATGTGGGTGCTGGAGGTGTTTCTCCACCACAGTACACAAATGTGCAGTTTAAAGCATACTTAGTAGAGCTCACTAACCTGCCAAATTAGAATAGAATCGTTTTATTTGCAACATAATACAAAGTTCATGTTTGAAACAAAAACAAATCAAACAGTATGTGATTCGAAACCATAATCGGAAATACTGGAAACTCACACAATCCAGCAATGCAATAGGACCCCAGCTTTTAGTATACCGAAAAAGTAAATTTAACTTTTGGCGCAATGTTGATGCAAGTCGCAGCTAGTGACCCCCCCAGCAGAGGCTGCCTCGTTTCTTCTGAGGAGACATCATTTTTGTGCAGGAGATATCCCATGCGGTATCCCAGAAGACCAAAAGCCCCATTGGTCATCGAGTAAGACTTGCAAGTTTCCAATAAGGCCTGTCTCACAGACAAAACAATTGTGCCCGGCCTACAGCACAAAAGACATCACCATGAAAAACAATGGCCACAGAAGTATAGTACTTGTGTCGCAAGCAAGAACACCTTTACCTCAATGAGTGGTGTTCCAGTTCAAAGGGACAATGAAGGCAATTTCAGACATTTTTTTGACGACTGAACTGGGTTCCAGGCACGTCTCGGGCCACGTTGCCCAAATTTCAGCCGGAACCGGCGCTTGTGTGCCGCGCAGATCAATTAAACAGTCGCGGTAATAATTGCACCGGGATCGACTGGGGTGACGCCCCGAGAGTTGCGGGAGAAGCCAGCAGAAGCGGAGCTCACGTGACCAATGCGGGGCCAAGGAGCGCCACGTCACAAGAGACGCGTCAGCGATTGGATGAAACGAGAGACATGCCCTCAATCGCGTTTTGGTTCGCGATTTCTAGAAATACTGTTCTAATTTCCGCTAGAATAACCATGAAAAGTATAAATCGGACCGGAAATGATTACTAAACCGTAAATAAAGCAGCATAATTGTTTTTTAGGGGCGAAGCTCCTTAGGGGCTAGCCGTCCGGCGTGCCTTGAGAGCTCACGAGCAGGAGCTCACGAGCTCTTGCTCGTAAGTTCAGCAGCGAGAGCAAGAAAAAAGAAAAATGAATAAAGATAAAAAAAAAAAGAAAAAAAAGAAGAAAAAAAAAAAGAAGAAAAAAAATAGGGGGCACTGAGATGCCATCCCATCTGTCTTCTTAAAAAAAGAAAAAGAAAACCACACATTCTTCTATTGACATGAATGAAAACAGCACCATTAGCACTATACTTCGTTTCAGCTTCGGTCCAGACGCAGCCGATGCTACAAGCGCGAGCATGTGGCCCAGAACAGTGCTTGCACTGCACGAGTGCACGTGCTTGCCAGGGATGCTGAAAGCCCGGAGCTCGCGCTTGTAGCTTTGGCTGCGTCTGGACCGAAGCTGAAACGAAGTATACCTATGGCCAAAATCAGTATCAAGAAAAAGAAGTAAAAAAAGGAGTAGGGGGTTCCGAATTGCCATCCCATCTGTCTTCTTAAAAAAAGAAAAAGCAGAAAACCCCACATTCTCCTACTGACATGAATGAAAACGGCACCATCAGCACTACCTATGACCAAAATCAGTATCATCAGCACCACCCGAGCTTCGCCCCAATCAACATCATTCACCATGTGGAGATGCGGTATTTTTTAATCGGACAAACAACACGACAATCGGATCACCTTTTTTTTCTTTGCTACGCTGGACGCGAAACGGCCAACGAGCAACTATGGGCACTTCGGCATGCGGGCCGCTCGTTACCAGCTGGCCGGTCTCCCTCGGGTGATGGCGGAGGCCGCCACACACATACTCCAGTTCCGTTGGTGTTGGGTCACTGAACGGAAGCTCGAACTCGCTCGTGAGAGTGGCATTGCCGTTCATGTTCACAGATTTGACGAAACGACCGCGCCACCGCACTGCTATAACCCACCGCAGTAACCAGGGTCTTGATCTCCTAAATACTACCGATACCGACTATTCACACTTGACGTCACTCCTCAGCTCACCTCCGTTTTTGGAGGCCCAGAAACGAGAATGGAGATTGTTCAGTTTCGGTTTCTTTACTTCTTTCGTAGGCACAGTAATACGTGTCACAAATGTCTAGAAAAAAATTGGGCAGCATGCTATGTTCCCAAGAAGCATAAAAACACCATTTAAAAAATTAAATAAAATTGTCTTCATTGTCCCTTTAACGTTGCTGCTATCTTTGTTTTTCCAACTTTCTCACACTAATAATTCGCATATTGGAAACAAGCACCTGGCAGCCAGAGTAGCATCGCTGCGAAACCACTTTTACACCAGCAAGAAGACTGCTTGATGCTGCTACAAATTAGGCCGATCCAAGCTGAACAGTATGTGTTATTAGCTAACCAAGTGGTGCTACATCCTAACCCACCACCACCAGCACTCACCAGGTCCCTAATGTTGAAACAATTTTGCAAACGAGAAACTGCATAATATAACAGCTTTGAGTGCAGCATTTTATGGCCGTTTCTCATTTCTGGAACCTCATGAAATGAGAAAGATTTGCCTTGAAGCAAGGCAATAAAATGATTTCCAAAGGTGCTGGTGGCAAGAAAATGCTGGACATGGACGTGTCTGCCACGACCCCATAGTGCGCACCAAACACTGCCTGTATGGAGGTGGCTGCCAAAGAGGTTTCAGTGCGCATGATGACCCTGGTAACCAGTCAGACAGCATTGTATCATTTCTACCACTGGAGTTCTAGGTCCGAAACAATGAGAGCGTGATCCTCACATTCCAAGGAAGTTGACTGTAGTTCACTGATCAGCCATAGCAAAACAAATAATGCCTAAAACATTGACAAGAAAAACAAACCACAGCACTAACTTACAACTTTTTGGGCTGGTGTCCATGGTATCGTCGCAAATAAAGGACAGTTGTAAATCAGCGTTGTGCTCTGTTTGTCTTGTGCACTGCTTAACTATGCTTAAAAAGAGACTCAAATCAGTCACATGGAGTGATGCCACACTAAGGGAAAGTGAGCAGCCCCTCTGTAATCTTTGCAATGAAGGTTCCCCCCTGCATTTGAAATGTGGCAGGGGTCCCGCTCACCTCACAAACTCGTAGCCCTGCCTGTTCATGTCGGCGAGATCGCTGTCAATCTTGCGGGCCAGAATGCCTGGAAGGAGAGGGAAGACGATAAAAAAACACTTTATAGACTACTGCCCCGATAGATTTGTTCGCCGCAATTCCAAACCTTCAAAACTGGTGAATACCAAAAGGTTATTGAATTTTATAAGCTTCTTAAGCACACGCAGTCTTTGCTGCACTCCCCGAATAATACGGGAAGCCTTTCCACTTACCACGTATAAAGAACGGAGACAAGCGTGCATCCTAGCCACCCAAATGAAAAATCTCTCAGATCCACAAGTGGATGGTACTATATCAGGCAGAGATAGCACTGCTGTTTCTTCTCCAGTGCTGCTAACCCATTTTGCAGTCTTAGCAACAAATCAAGTTTTTCCAACTGAATGGATGCAAGCCCATTTCATATACCCTTTGTCCAATATAGAGCTTTTGTTTTCGGAAAAACTTTGGTATTCTAGAAAGCCTGCAAAGATCATCAGCTCAACCCGGCGTTCTTTGCCCCACATGGGGGCGGCATTTCGCGGCACGGCCAGCGCGTACCTCCGTGAACTGCAGGGTGCAGAGTCTTAACACGGCCGCCCAGCATCTCGGGAGCCCCTGTGATCTCGGACACATCCCTGCGGTCGAAAGAAAGGGCAGAAAGGCAGTGGTACACGCCGTTCCAGGATGGGTCCCACAACTCCCACCCGCTTAACTACTGTGTACTAGAATACGGGGTAGTGCTGGGACCGGCGTGGCACGGCAATATAGTTCTGAAGTCGCACGCGTAGACAACGTGTGCAGCACTGCAGTCGTCAGAACAGTCCGCTGAGTTTAGCCAAGAGTGTGTCGGGCATTTTCAGCCATTGGCAACTGTGTTCTTTTTGTTGCATTATATTGCCGCGTGCGTGATGGGATTGGCAACGCACGCGGCCACCAGGTGGAGGTACAGGGTTCGAACCCTGCTTGGCCTGGTTCTTTCCTTTTCTCAATTAATGTTTGTCTGGAAAGCTCCAGACCATTCTCAGCTGTCATCATGTGCTGTGGTTCAGAACATTCCTAAACATACCGCATGTAAAAAAAACAGCGGTGACACGCCACTTCAGGTCAGTCTTCTGCCGTAACAGGATATGGGGCAATTTTCTACGCATGTTTATAGGCGATTAAACCTTTAATTTCAGCTTCAAATTCGTCCGCTATTCTATTTGTTAGAATATATTAAATGTCCATGGCATCTACGACCCAATCATGATATCCTAATTCCACATTTAATTGGATTATCTTTCAAATTTGACGCGTTTTTATGGTTGTGCAGATGGTGGACGCATAGAGCTAAAGTCTGAATACCGTTGGCGAGATAGTGATAGAACAGCTACTGGTCTGGCTGCAAAACACACTGCACAGACATGAGGGATCAGAAGACAGGATTTCTTCGCAGCATTCCAAAGTCAAGGCTAAAAGAAATTTGCAAAGGCAGGACAAATGTTTAGAGGAAACAAGCACTGCCTGCGAGCTGCATTTCGAACCCTAATTCATCCTTTGTGATTTCTTTCACAACCCAAACTACCAAGCAGCACCTAAATTTCACATTTTTGCACCTATCGCCGTGCACGTGTGCAATCTTACTGTTGATATGCCGGTGTAGACACCTGTCGTAATCTACGCCACTACCCTGCATTCTAGGACACTAAGGTTAACAGTGGTGCCGTTGATTGACGGACGCACTGGAAGTTCTTCCACAGCAGTCAAAAGGCCAGAGCGTGCTGCCAGAGCACAAGCAGAAAACCACTAACTTGACGGGCAAGCCGATTTCCCTGATGGCCTTGGCAGTGCCACCCGAAGCCACCAGTCTCAGCCCGGCCTGCTGTAGTTTCTTGGCCAGGTCCAGCAGTCCCGCCTTGTTGGACACACTGAGGATAGCTGCATGGGGAACACAGAATCAAATTTAGGGGTTTTATATGCCAAACTGACAGTGGGCATCTGGCACACCCCAGCGGGGAACTGGGCACTAATTTCAACCACCGGGGGATTCTTTGACGTGACACCGATTTGCAGATTAAGGTTTTGTGATAGTCCCAGCTGCTGCCCACCAAGTGCATGCAGGAAAGGAACAAAAGGGATGTCACTGGTAGGGTCAGGTGCGATACTTGGCTTTCATCTGGCTGGGAGATGCCAACAATGTCACCTCTGACAGATAACAGGAGGAAGAGGTGTTTGCTGCACACCCTGGACTTCAATTGCTGCATGTTTTTCCTAAATAAAGGAAGTTTATGCTAGACACTATCCAATTTCAGTGCAATTACTGAATTCAGGAGACGAGGAACTATATAAGATCGCTCCTAACCTTTTTAAAAGTGCTTGAGCTTTCTTCGAACATTCCCCCGCATACTGCGTCAGAAATGTTTGGAAAATGATGGGCGACGGGAGGGGCAAGGGGGATTTTTCTCCCCTTCCCCCGAACTGTTTACAGTAAAGATATCTGGGGGCAGGGCGTGGGGGGATAGGCCCTTTTTCTGACGCCTTTGCACTGTGTGGAGCAGAAATAAGTGTGCTAGCAAATGGTCGGACTATAGCTACCAAGAACATCTGGCAGCTACTATCTACTTTGACCAACAAAAGCTAAAATTTGTGAGAGGAATCCACTTTTGTCACCCTACACTGACCAATTTATAGTTTCGGATCATGTGGGATGTGAAACTATGAAATGTCGCGTCACGTCACAGCATCACATAAAGGTTTCACATGACACCGTGATGTCACGTGATACTGTATATATCACCTACATGTTACAGACCCAAAATCCCCTAGGGTTACCGTGCTGATGATTCAAGCAAACTATAGGGGGCATGCTGATCAGGCAAAACAACAGACGAAAGGAGGCCGGTTTTATCGTTTAGCAAGCGAAACACCTAGATTTCTTGCATAAAATCAGTGTTAGATATAAATGCAAGGTGCATTTTTGACAGTAAAAACCTTCTAGTTGAGTGTGACAGGTTGGAAGCATATATATAATCACAGAAAACTGTGCTTTCTTTCACCAGCTCGATTCAAGCATTTGGCTGAAGCTTGACTTGGTCTATTTATGAAGTACTAAACTTAGCCAGTGGTAGATACCGAAAATTTCCAAGCCTCGTCAAAAGATGACAAGCTATTGTAAAACGACTGATCAATGAAAAATGGCTTAGGTACTACTTCCAAGTCTGAGCGCATCATCGCAGAATTTCGCATTTGTCTTTTTCCTAAGATCTACCACTATATTCCTCAACTCAATGCGCAGCTAATAATCCCACCATCGTTTGTTTCCACACACACTGATCATCGTCACCAAGTCGGTGCCTGTTTTGCCACATATTCTTTTTTTGCCTCCTTCATTCCTAAAACTTCCAGTGATTGGAATCATTTACCTGCATCACTAACATCAATTGTTGACTACACTCTTTTATAGCGAAGCTGTGCATGACTAGGGTTCCATGCATTTTTGTTATCTGTGCACAAAAACAAAAGTCAGAAAATGCATCTAAAAGTGCTTCATTGTATGGAAATGCATATATGCCCCATCACCTCGATATGTATTTTGATAAGGAAAGACTTTGAAACGATTGATAAGCGAGAAGAACAATGGGCCTTCTCCTGCTTGAGCCGGGTGACGTCGCTGCTTTACATATTTAAAAGCAGCAGCTCTTGTATATGTAAAGCATTATATGCATAGATTTAACCTTAGCAAAAAATCTCACCAAAGTTGTACTGGAACCCATTAGTGTATATCATAGTGATCACCAAGCAATCATCACTACCATTTCAAAATGAAGTATATATACTGTAAATAAACATTTGGTGAAGTGTTTTTGTGTGTCTCTTGATTAATCATTTGTGACGGTGCTCTACAGCTTCGCTGGCCAATCGCCTTCACAGAGTGGAATGGCTCACAATTTGTTTTTTTCCCTACTGTTTGAATATCTATGTTGTTTCTATTGTGTTTCATTTTTGTATTTCTAACTTCCCACTCCCCTCTGTAATGGCCCCGTGCAAAATAAATAAATATTGTCCTCCGCAAGGTCGTCAAAGTGCGGATCAGGGTCCATGTTTAAATGAAACAATGAATAATCTCCGTAAATTGGTAAACTTTTGTAGCCAGGTAAAAGTGATTTTAAGGTAAAAACTACTTGTGACCACAGTCACAAATCACCCCCCCCCCCCCCAAAAAAAAAAATTAAAATTTGAAGTAATTTTATTTGATAAGTCCCCCTGAGAAAAAGGATTGGGGCAATTGCTGCTGGTTCTGATCAGGCCACCGTAACCCAGTTGAACAAGGACTGCATGGATTACAAGTCTACAGGGAATTTTCCTCTGTTAGGAAATGAAAACATATGATTGTAGCAATTCTTTTTTTTTTTCTTTCATTTTTGACCTAATTTTTGTTTATGTGACATTTTTAATCTGTCTTCGACAACAGGCGTGTTTCCTGAGACGATACAGAAAAAGAAGATCCTCAGCAACTATAGACTTTCTATCCTCTTGTTATACTCGTAAGGCTTGGAAAAAATCATACTGGCTTGTTTACTACAGCTCTCTGATAAATGTTATTTGCTGACATCCACACAATTTGGTTTTAAGAAATGCCGGTCAACTGAGTTAGCACTATTAGAACAAAAAGAATATATTTTAAAAAGTTTCAAGGGAAAGGTTTGTTTTAGGAGTATTCTCTTATTTGACATAAGCTTCTGATTCTATCAATCAATATTTTACTTCAAAACTCGAATTTCATGGTATCCGTGGGTTACCTTTAAAGCTAGCTTTTAAAATCCTACTTGCGAAATCATATCCAATATTCTTCTAATGCCAAATCTATTCACCCAGGTGTCCATTGGGGAAGTATTCTTGGTTCCTACCTATGTTTACAATGTCATTTATGTACATATTATGTACATATTATGTACATATTAAAAATATGTACATAAATGACATTGTAAACATAGGCTCTGCAAAATTCGTTGTATATGCTGATCACAGTAGCTTATTTTGTTCACCTAAAATTTGTGATCTTGTTACGATTGCTAATGCAACTTTGACCAAACTAGGAGCATGGGCAAGAGACAATTGCTTAAAAATTAATACTGATAAAACTAAAGCTATTATTTTTTGGATAAACAACTTTAAACAGAATTACCATGCTTGACTCTACCTCACTTGAAATCATTAGTAATTTTAAAAGTCTTGGAGTCATTTCTTTTGAACATGTGTCGTGGGACAGCCACATAACCGTAAAATACCGGGCAAGCGCCCACTCAAAAGTTGGAGATAATCGCGAAACAATGGGGGATGGGTGCTTGTCCGGTCATGAATTTTATGTATCAATGTACTCAGCACATTTTCTCAGATCTTACAAATTTGGGTATGGGTGCTTAGTGTGGTATGATGGGCGGATGCACGGTATTCTACGGTAATCACTTATTTGTCAAGCACTACAAAACTGACATTTTGTAACGGTAAAACATTCCCAGTCAATGAGAAAATATTATGTACAATTCTTTATTTTCGTTTTCTTACCTCAACTATTGCAACCTCGTCTGGGGTAATACAACATTTACGAATTTGCAAAAATTTCTGTTGCAGAAAAAAGTTATAAAAATATCTAATGTACCTTATAATTTTCATACAGATAGTCTGAGAAATTTAAGGTGCTAAAAATGCATAACCTCTACGAATAGATTATGCCAGAGTTTAAAACTAAAATTAAGAAAGCACTATAAATCCCTCTCAAACCTTCCGGTATTGACACCAAATCAACCCGTCTACTTAATTACACACATGGAGTAAGGGAGGGTCATACCTTGTCATACTGAATATGGGATTCCAATTCCACAATATACTATAACTCAACTGTTAAACTCCCTTATAGAAAAATAACTTTGCTTAGACACCGTCTTCTACAAGGCCTTGCATTCGTTTTTTCTGCACTAGCGACTTCAGAGACTCATCCCAACTTGTTGTGTATGCTTTGTGCGTGCTAGTGCTGTCAGATAAGGTGTACTCTTCCCGTGTTTTTCTGATTTCTTGTTTGGAATAACAGTGCACACATTTCATAACAATATTTTTATTCTATTTCGTTTTTTGCTGGAAAGTTAATGTATAGTGTTAAGGGGCTCGTCAAGCCTCGACTGAGGCTTTTACCCTTTGCTCCACCATTAAACATGGAAACAAACTCATTATTATGTCAAAAACTCTCAAAGGCATGAAGGCGAGATACGACCCGATTATACTTCAGCAAGGTATGTGGTGAAGGCGCGCGGAGTAAAGTAGTTCAGGTAGGCTTGTCATATTTTTAATATATTATCGATAGGGAACCTACAATCAATTCCTATGGATGTGTGCATGTGCAAATTTAAACTGATGCTGAACAAAACTTTAAACTCGTTTGTGCAATATTGATACTTTGCCCAACTTGCTTGCACCGACAAACTTTTTTTTGCGTGGTAGGTGATTTACGAAAATTAAAGGCGGGTGCAATGATGTCCGGACTTCGGTCTAAAATTTGTGGAAGTTGCCCTCTGAAACTTGTGAAGTAAAGGACAGAAAACCGATTTCGCTGCGTGTCTTAGTTGTTATGTAAAAAAAAGATAAATATTGGCATTTCTGGCACCCCTCAACTCACTCCCAGTCTTCAGGGTTACACCTGGTCCCCCCTAGTGACGTAAGTCGGGGTGTTGTGTAGCTTCCCGTGTGCTCTCTCGGAGGACGCTTTCTCTCCCTCTCTCTGCTGACATTAGCAGGCGTTATGCTGCAGCTTAGAGCCGAGCGAGGTCACGTAAGCTTCTCAACGTAGTTCCTTTGGCTGCCACTAGCGGCTGCAGGTGGGGGAAAAAGCTTGAATTTGGCTTTGCAATTATTCAGAGGAATCGCAAATTTTTTAATGAAGGAGATATTTTCCCTATCCTCCAGGACACGATAAACAACGTAAAAATGACGAGATGCAAATTCTTTTAATCATAAAATCGTTGCACCGCCCCTTTAAGTCTTTGCATAAAATAGTATTTGCCAGGCGTGAGAATGGGTTTTTGTGCATATCAACACGCTACCGTAATAAAATTCGATAATGTGCGTTATGACTAGGGTTCCATGCTTTTGGAGTTTATTTTTTGCCGAATTTGGAGGGTGTTTTTCGGAGTTTATTTCTTGTTGAAAATTCAGTTTATTTTACTTGGATCTGCAAGTCTCCAAAATTTTAATTTTCCTGTATTTCATACAGTCTAAAAATAAATAATATCTCAATGTAAAGTGTGATTAAAAAAACGTGCTTGTAACAAAAAGTAATTTTTCAGCTGGATTTGGCATTAGCACAGTTGCCATTGGCAGTACTAATCTGCCCAACAAAACTTGCAAATAAGTGCTGCTTCAATAAACATCGATACTCTAAAATTACTAAACATCTGGAGATAGTTTCAAGGAAACTTGTTTACATCCCAGCCTATTCCACCACGCTTACCCTATGGCTGCACATGGTGGAGCGGTAAAAGGCGCAGTACAGAAGCTTCAACTCCCCTTTTCCCCTTCTTTGAAACCTCTATGGTTCATAGCTTTCACTGCTACAGAAGCACAACCCTTCATCCCCTAAGAGGAACAAATGACTTTTGGCATGACCCAGAAGTACAAGGACCTAAACCTTGACGAGATAAACGTCAAGACGCATTTTGTCAACGTTCGGAGACTGGAAAGGAAACTGGCTGGAATTTTCTCAGGATCATTGACACTGCGTGCTCATTTTTTGCATTGGGACAGTGAAATCTGGAGTCTGTCACAATGCAGCATTTGACTCCCTGAAAGATTGAAGTAAAGGTTTTGTACGCACTGTACAAACATCATATGAATACAGCACAAGAAAAACACCTTAAGCCCCTTCCCCCAGCTTACATGCAAGGTAAACCAACCACAACAAGACAATCACTGATATTGTAGTGAGTGCGCAGGCGAGCTGGTGGAAATTAACCATTCTGATGTTAGCCTGAGACTGAGGCAGGAAAAGAGGAAGTTTCAAAGTAGAAGAAAAAGGAACAGTGTAGCTGTGTTAGAGACGTATCCTTGACTGTTCCTTTTTCTTCTACTTTGAAACTTCCTCTTTTCCTGCCTCAGTCTCAGGCTAACATCAGAATGGAAGACAATCACACCGTATTCAGCCAACAACCACACATTTAAAAGTTCTTTCTTCTCGGCGGTATCGACGAATGGAATAAGTTATCAGAAACAATCCTAAATAGTATGCCAGAGCAGTCTTTTGCCGAGGATTTCACTTCTATGCTTGAGCATTGTATTTATCTATACTTCTTTCCACAATAAAATTCACCAGTTTTGTCTAGTGCTACTTGTCGTATTGAACGTCGTACCAATGCCACCTTTCTTTTTTTGTTTTTTGTTTAATGTTTTAAATCACTGTTGAGCTTGTTATCACAAATGCTCACCTCTGTATGGGTCTTCAATGACATACAGTAGCGTTAAATGAAAATTTTAAAAACCCAAATTCACGAAAATGTTTTTGGCGAGTGTTTTTCATCCGAAAACAAAGAATTCTAGTTATTGACTTTAAAATTGGCAGATATGCTTAAAATTCATATAGGGTTTTGATATTCTTTTTGATTAACAAATACAAAAAAACTAAGGGAATATGCCACCGAAACAGACGGTTTCCGAGCATTCATTTGTTTTTTTCTTTTGCTGAGGTGACTTTGGCAGCAATTTTTAGTTTATGAATCTGTTCCCAGACCGTGGACTTTAACTACAAGTGTCGCATGAGAGCAGCTTTGTGTGATGGCGTTTTTATCTCGCAAATGAGAGAAATTGCACACCACTAAGATGTTGTCGCGGGCTTGTTCATCTTTCATTTTGTTGCGATACCAAAGAACCGCAATGATTTAGTTGATCTTAACAAACGGTATGTAAGCACTGCTTGGTTCCCTACGAGAACCAAGCAGTGAAAGCAGACGACAGAGGTAAAACGACCTCCGCTCAAAGCATCTTGGCATTGCCATCATACAGTTTTGATTTCGATGGAGTCTAATAAATATGCTACGCATTTAATATAAAGCTACAAAAACTATGCATTTTTTCTAGCTATTCAATGTTGTTTTGACATTTATTTTTTCCAGGAAACTAGTACACATTGTGCAAAACACAATCGTCGGTGATTTATCCAATTTTAACATGTCTTTCAAAATTAATGCAAAGTAACCTGAGGGCCCCAAGACAGTACCCTGAGGCACCCTGGAGTCAATGGGCACAGAGTCGGGTTGAAGAGTCCCAGTGGCATAGCCAAAATTTGATTTCGGCAAAATAGTAAAAGGCCGACAGAGCATAATTTTTTCACTCAATTCATGTGGTGAATTAAGACACGTGTATGAGTCTTTTAATTCATCCCACCATCTCGGAAGTTGTAAAAGCCGCGGATCAACAAATTCAAGGTCACTCGACGAGATATCGGCCGCTCTTCCAAGGGCACTACAGCAACTTGAAATGTGCGCGCTTTTCGCTCTTCCTCGTCCGCACCCACTGCACGCAGGGCACGCCCGCACCGAATAGTGCAGTCCTCTCGCTATGAAGGTTCTCGAAGGCAGTGGAGACCATCGCAACCGCTGAAAAGCGACGAGCGCGTGGAGGAGAGTCACATCGAAACTGCTCACCACCGGGTTGCTTCCCGAAAGCCTCCATCTCTTTACAGTCGTAGCGTATCAACAGGTAAATGGAATGCCATTTTCGATTAATTTTCAGGTTGGCAAACCTCAAGGGGAAGGCGTGACGGCGAAAAAAAAAAAAAAAAAGTGTGATAATACCCAGTGCTGCGTGCGCGCGTGCGAAGTTCAAATGCAAAGTTCTCAGTTTCTGCGAGCAAGCGAAATGTTACAGATGCCAAATAACGCGGATTGAGAAAAAACAGCAAGGTTCCCCTCACCGAGTTCGCCCGTTGCAGCCATGGTTCTTGTTCAACTAACTTAATCGGTCGGGATAAGACGACACACGACACGACGACACTTGGGAGGGGGAAAAATGCGATTTGGTTTGGGCGGTTGTTCGGGAGAGAGAGGAAAGTGGAAAGAGGGTGAAGCTTTTTAATGACATATATCCCTCGTGCACGCTGGTTGCGTGAAGTAAATAAAAGTTATAGTACTTTTTTAAACAATTTTTTTTTTGATAGGATGGAAGCACTAAACGTACAAATACACATTTGTAGACACTTTCTCTCGACGAACGCATCTGTCCGTTATCTCCAAGGCAAACGCCATTCTGGCGCCGTGGCTTAGTTGGTTAAAGCGCCTGTCTAGTAAACAGGAGATCGTGGGTTCGAATCCCACCGGTGCCTGTGATGTACCCACTTTTTGTTTTCTCAATAAATTTTGCATAGTTTGTATGTAAAGAACATAAGATCTTCTCGTATATAGTTTTTTTTTTTTATCTTTTTTTTTTAATGTCCGTTTGCGGAAATTTTTGCTGTTTAAACCTGCGACGGAAAGTAGGAGCTGAAAAACCGGTCCCCCGAGTGGCTAATCTTATCGCAGTGTCATCCCAGACTGGCGTGACAGGAGGGACTCTCCAGACGCTCGCTATCTCCTTTACGGCGGCCGTCTACTGATTAATACAGCGAATCGTGCATGCGCCGACGCTCGAAGGAGCAGTGACCAGCGGGCGGCCAGCGGCGAACAAGATGTTATTCTGTGCGCGTTTCTTCGCGACAGAGATAAAACAAAAAGAAAACGGATGGGATTGAACTGGTGACGTAGCTATCAGTCCTTATCCGATGGGCCCAATGAAGTATTCATGACCCGATATGGCGTTGGGGAAAGGGAAAGGGAAAAGGGGGGGGGGGGGGTAGATGTGCTAGTCATCCCAGGAAACGTACTCAGACTTCCAATGCCCCGAGCCAAGAAAGATGCCGCATGACCTTTATGTGACCCCTGTTCATATCATTTCCTGGTTGAAGAACGTTTTAGCTGATGCATGTGGCGTTGTACGGGATAAAAACTATACCTTGGCATATTTTTTGTACTTGTACCAGCCCCAGACACTATATAGTTTCATTCGATTTACCTGCACCGGTGTATAGGAAGGTGCAGGTAAATCGAACAAAGCTATTAATTTGCTCTCTCGTCTGGGCAAAATCTTGCTAAATGAAGTCTCACTCATGAACCCCTTTTGGACTTGAAACCTATCGACCCTGGGGTGTTCTGTTGCACTTTTTGGACTCCCAGGAGACTACGGGAGAAGGAAGCGACGTCAACGACACAGCAAACGCAGATTCGATGTTGACAGAAGAAAACGAAATCAACACCCAATCTGCGTTTGCTGTGTCGTTGACGTCACTTCCTTCTCCCTAGTCTCCTGGGAGTCCAAAAAGCGCAACATAGCACCCCTGGTGTTAGGGTGTCAGGGGTGCGCTCAGACATGCTTCATTCGATTTACCTGCATCGGTGCAGAAAAGTGCAGGGCAGTGTACTTCCAGTATGTGGGTTAAGATACGACAGCAAGCACACCGCCCTACTTTTTTGCACCGGTGCAACTGGTGCAGGTAAATCAAACGAAATATACAACACGAACGCCGCGCAAGCATTTGTCTGGCAGTCGGCATTAGTCAGCCTGTCGACTTCCATTGCTGGCACCTGGCCAGATATGGTTAGGCCGCAGCCATAGTCACGTTTGGTGTTAAAAGAAACCATAATGCGATTGCTGACAGCTAGTACGAGATATCTCTCAAAGTCGGGGTTGTACACTGATACCATTTGCCAAAATAGACTTCTAGCCAAAAGTTCGCTAATTATGTCACTGGATAAAAGCTCATCATTTTTTATGCACCTCGACAAAAAAGCTCAATGACTGAAATGTTGGTTTTAATGAACGCCAAGCAAGAAAATACACATAATTAATGAAGATCTTGGCAGCAGCTGCTAGTCGACATTTAACATTAGCTTCAATTTTGGATGACCATGATTTTAAAGCTGTACTTAGAAATTGCCTTGTAACAATTGGTATTGCCAGTTCAAAGGTCGTTGTTTCATCCCGAGTAGCCATAGTCAAACTTGAATAAAAAGCTAGCTGACCTACTCAAGCTGCGTCTAAAAGAGGAGCCAGTGGAGGGCCCTCGGCAACTGCGTCAACAATCCAGGTACATTGCACATCAGCTGTCTTGGCTCTAACGTTCTGATAAAATCTACAGCCCAATTTCCGCACTTTGGTGCCTAAATATGGTCACATCGTGTCAGATCTTGGGAAGACAAACTATGCGTATGAAGTATATGGATGATGTGGCTACTATCCATTCTCTACAAAGCAACGAGTGACAAAAGGCATCACTTAATTGTGTGGCGAAGAGGCATACTGCTGCATATGAATGGTGCTCCAGTTCGACAAGTTACAGCGGGCTGTTCCATTTTGTTTGGCATTATGTAAAGAAAGCTGACCAGTTTGTATCTTGCCCACAACCTCCTCATACACCACATAACTTATGCATGGGTGATGCAAACAAACCAAGAACACCCTTCAAGATGGCATCGACTGACCACAGTTCTCAAACAGATTTAGCTTTTTTTTTTCACTTGCCAGACTTTTTGAAAGGGGTCTATGCTGCATAATCACACGGTAATGTAGGAAAGCAGATGGGAAAGCGGAGAGGCTTGCAGACGATCAATGTGCTTTTAACGCCTCCTTGCAGCTCGTATTGCCAACGTGTCCCCGGTCGAGCAGCTGGAAATAATCTAGGCTCTCTACAGTGGTTTTTTGCACGCGCCATCTACCGCGCCTCACACTGCAGCAGGCTCCGAGAAGGTCGCATTCACATGGCCACTGCAGAAGATGGCACTAGCACTCGCTTACCGTGCATGACAAAGAGCTGCAAGGCCAGCAGTGTGCAGAGCTTTCGAAGTGTGCTCAAACTCCCTGTAATTTAGGCTGTCTACAGTGCTTTTCTGCACGCTCAGTCTACTGCATCTCACACTGCAGCAGGCTCAGAGAAGGTTGCACTCAAACGGCCACTGCAGAGGATGGCACTAGCGCTCACTCACTTACCGTGCATGACAAAGAGCTGCAAGGCCAGCTGTGTGCACAGAGCCTTCAGAAAGTGCTCCAGTGTCCCCAACCAAGCGAATAAGTCTGCAATCCTCTTCAAGTGTCGTGTGCGGTGATGCATGCAGCAATCTTTGGCCGTCCACTTTTGCTGACCTTTCAGACCATGTCCACGCTAACAGACCCCATTCTGTGTTATACCGCCTTTGCCATGCTAGTATGGCAAAGGCGGCACTTTTTTTCTGCGATTGAGCCACATAAAGGGCATGAACGGTAACGCCAGAGCTAGGAACCTGCGTCTCCCACAAGACTAGGCACGATGCTGCACAAAAGTATGCCTTAAAAACACCTAATCGCCTCCGAAGGTGAGGCAACAACGAAGTAATATGTTGCATAAATTATTTCACCCGGACTCACCGCAATGCAATATTCTTCCGCCTTAACACGATAAAACACAATCATGTTAAACTACCGTAAAACACCGTGGAAGCGCCCAAACTTAGAAATTCTGCAAATTATACATTGAGAACCTGGTGTAATCGGACAAGCGCCCGTGCCTAGGGTAATGCAGTTTTCACTGAAAGTGGGATGGGTGCTCACTCGGTATTTTATGATAATCAGATTAAGTTCTTGCTAGCATTTGACGGGAGTGTGCAATCGTCCGAATGTCCAGATATGAATTGCTGATACTAGACGCATGTTTTCGCTTATATCCTCTTTTTAGAGTTTTGACACTCCACTTGAATTTTTAATATTTGCACGCCACACACAAAGTATCCAGTCACCCCCAGCAGAGAAGAGCTTCAAGTTTGCAGGATTTCATGCGTAATCAGTGGGCATTAGGCATGTTTTCAGTCTCTGTGTACCTGCAGAGCCTACGACTGGCATGCGAGCTCCACTAGTCCATGAGGGAGTTGGGGTACAGCGTTTTTCTGCGCTGCCAGCACAACGAAAACCTAGATTTTTATCTCTCATACATTCAATAATCTCCCACTTTTTAGCAGGCCAAACAAGTCAGCTGTAGGTCATGCCACTGCAACTGTAAACATGTTTAAAATTTTATGTTTATACTATATGCTTTCAATTACTAGTACCTTTGGTGCAACACATTCTAGATCTGCATTACATTCAGTATAAATTTACTGCTATTAATTCTGTCAAAAGTATCACAAACAAAACAATACTCTGCCTTTAATACATACTGGCATTAGCTCGTGAAAAACAGCTGGGAAGGAGCAGGTCTACTAACATTCAAATGCAGATTTTTCACTACTGCACGTGGCAGCAGCCAAAAGGCTCTTCTGAGAATAGCGCATACCCCAAAGTGGCACACTTTCGCACAGCCCCGACTAACAAAAGACTCTAACGCAACAAATAATAAATTCCAACAGGTTTATTTTTTTTCGTCTTCCTAACATGAGTGATTGCAGCATGGGACGTAACACCACAAAACAATTCTGGCAATGTAAAAAAAACGTAAAAAAACACCTAGAAAAATTCTACCGCATCTTTTTTTTTTCTTTTTTTCTTTCGCCGCTTTTACTTTTCTGCGGGTCCGATTTTGAGAGAGTCCTTCCTCCAGAGAAGTATCCGTCCTTCCTCGGCGACGCCGGGAGGCGCCATTGTCGGGTGGGGCCCACTTGGGGGCGGGCGGGGGTCCGGACTAGGAGCGGTCGGGGTCGGACCCCCGCCCCGGCGGGGCCACGGAGGGAACCTCGTGTTTGAGCTTGGCTTGCATCTGGCCCGGCAGGGGGCGCCGGCCTCCGTCTTTGTACGAAGAGGTCTGAAGAAGCGTTTCCGTAGCAGCAGCGTGGGCCGTGTCTCAGCAGTGAGCTCGAAGGGGGGTGGGGGGGAGGCTGGGGGGGGCCTTGGAAGGTGGCACTTTTTTTGTGTTTTTCTTGCATATCGGGACGAGTCCGGGGGGTTGGGCACGATTAGCGCACTCGTGTGACCTCGCCTCGTCGGCCATTGCTTCTCCGGCGAAGCTGCTGCTAGCCTGCTGCACGTCTCGGAATGTGTAAAAACGCCAGGCATGGCCGAAAGCAAACGTGAACAGAGTCCCCCCCTTCCTTCGTCGTAGCGAGAAAGTCCCTCGACGGCCGTTCTCGCTCCGACGAGTGACCGAAAGGTCTTAACAAGGACGACAACGTCGTGACCAGAGAACACGAGTGAGGCCTACTCGCCACCACCGCAGTCGTCGTCGGTTTTCGTTTGCTCCGACACCTGCGACGAAACGCAACGGTGATGCGCCTCTCAAGAAAGCTACTTTCGTACGCCCTATACCATTAGGGAAACTTCGTACTAAATCCAACGAGAACTAAAAAAAAAAAAAAATCTTTTCACCCTTGCACAAACAGGCAAGAATCTCCCCTTTGACTTCCTTCTGCCAAACTGCCTTCCACAAAACACTCCCAACTCCTTCGCTGCCCGCAAATCCCGTCTTGGCACGCAGTCACGCACTTCTGCATCACGTTTCCAAGCCGACAATCACTTTTCAACGAGCATCCAACTGCAATAAATAGGCGCGCTTCTTTGTTTTCTAAAGTTCTGTTCAACAAATTAACTTAGTCTTTTCCCTCGGGTCAGAAAGAACCAAGGGTGGACACAAACAAACAAACACAAGTGGCGCATTCTCGCACAAAAGTGTCCCATCCTGCCTTTCGTGGGTCTTGGCACTGCAGCCTCGCGAGTCTTTCGACCGGCGGGACGGCCGCCGCTGCACCTTCCACAATCACTCGCCGCGTTTGGCACTGCACCGACCACTTGACACGAAACGCCGTTGCACTCCCAGACCGAGGGGACAGGGAGGGCGCCCCACGTGCACCGCGAGTGCAGCGGGGCCCCCGGGATTTCAGGGGCGGGTTGCCCCCTCGAGCGGGACTGCGGGGTCACGAGGACACGTTCGCGGGACTGTCCCCTCCACCCAAAAAGTGGCTGCGGAAAGGAAGGCGTCTCGAGGACTCCATCACAGAGTGCTCGGAGGAAGCGTCCGTCGAGCTGCGTTTTATGCTCAGTCGCCCGATTGTGCCAACCACCAGAGAAAGAGCACAGACGACAACGGCGCGTCTCGCTGGCCCGCTCTCGCCGAGGGCCGTTGTGCTGCGGAAGCCGAAACATTGTTGGGAAAGAAAAAAAGCTCCAACTCCAACTAAAAACAGATCTGTGCCGCGCGAACTGCCAAAAGCCGTGCCCAGATTCACAAACGTCGAGGAGGTTTCTAGCCTTTCGTTATGCACAGGAAAGAGAAAAAGGAGGGAGCAGAGAGTGTGACCCTTCGCACCCCTTCTTAAAGAAAGAAAACCCGAACACGTCAAGCGCGAGATCCCGCAGTCCCGCCCAAACGTGACCCCTCGGCAGCGGAAAAATGAGAAGGGCCGTCGTCAAGACGGAGGGGGCGACGGGGGGAGGCCCCGCCTTTCCCCTCCGGGGGGATGGGGGAAGGGGCTCGGGGGCCGGTGGGGCGGGAGCGAGGTTAGCTGGGGGGCTGGGGGCCGTGCAGGGGCCGCAGCTGAAACAGGGGGCTGCGCAGGGTGGCCAGTGCCCCCTGGGCGGCGGCGGGAGACTCGAACACCGCCAGGATGCGCTGGGGGGCCTGCTGCACCCCCCGAGGAGGCCCCAGCGGCTGCAGCCGGGCCCCCAGGGCCAGCAGGGGCTCCAACTGCCGCTCCAGCTCCGAGGGGTCCAGCCCTTCCCGCAGTCCGGTCACCTCCAGCACCTGCTGGGGGGCCCCTGCACACACGAGCGGGCAAGCTCGACTCGGAGGTCCAGGCGCGACCTGCCGCACGTCCACGGTTCCCAGAGACGAGAGAGTTTAAGCAAGCGAGACTGTTCACGCTCCATCATACTTGGCATTGGCCATCTTACGCTACAGTGTAAAAGCTTCCATGGTGCTCAGATGCCGTCGGGCCTACTTGCATATGCGCGTGGGCTACGTTTGCCATTTCCTTTGTACAAGAGCATGTGCGAATGAGATGCAAGATCAAGCCAGGTGCTCTCGCAGTGGCATGGGGCGTCTGGGTTGTAAAAGCTACGCTGGCCTCGATAACGTAGTGAAACAGTTGATGCCGAGCATACGGTTTTCCGCAAATGGCCCGTTTGACCCGCCAAAGCGCTCCACACACTAGTAGTTTCCACAAGCTCTGCCAATAGAAAGGACAAAAACCATTCATTGGCAACCGATGCATCCACTGGTTAGCTGCTAAAAGGAAGTAACACGAGGGGGGCCAATCAGGTGTCTCTGTTGCGTCCACGAGCGGACTTTGTGTCAACGACCCTACGGTGGAAGTCAACTTAGTTCCCCCATGAAATTAAAGCAAAGGTGCAAACAAGCTAAACCAGTATTTTTACAGCGAAGCTGTTAAGGGCTAGTTCCCCTAGGATCATGTCCGTCCTCAAATGACCTGATGACACAGAACTCTGGACTACTACAGCCATCTATGAGCAACAATGGCAACCAGACAACCGGCTTGCCAGTTGTCTGGTTGCCGCTGTCACTCATAGATTGCGGCAACCTTCTAAGCCTTTCCATTCTGGCTTGCCGACTCGCGGCCGGTCATTACTTTATCCCCACCATAATACAGCTTCGCTCGTCTTCCTTCCTCACCAAAGTGGAAAGGCCGAAAGTTTTTTTTTTTTTTTTTTTTTAGGGATTGTGGTATATTGAGGTCACCTACGTAGTATCCCAGAAAAGCTTCTATTCTTTGTCTATTGCGAGAATTGCCCCCTAAAAGGTTAAATTCTTTGTCGCTTGTGAGACTTTGCCCCCTTTGCCCGGGTGTCAGAGTTTGAACTCGTTTTACTTTGTTTGATTGTAGCCCGTTTGCCCGAGTTTCAAGGTCGTTTCGCTTTGTTCAAATGTCTCCAAGTCGACGAGTTGCTTTTTAACCTTTCGGATTCCCTTCTTTATGTATGCACCTGTTTAAGGGGAGACACTGCCCAGAAAAAAAAATTTCTGCAAAAAAAGTTGATTTTGAAAAATGACATCTTTACATCCACCAACATCTAGAGAGTATTCCCAAAAAGTTTCATTAATTTTCACTGTATAGTTAATTTTTTATAAATTATTTTCCGCCCACCAAAGCTATAGAAAAGGTAGGGTTTGGAGCACTTTGAACACATTTTTCTCCGTTCCACTTTTTGGTATAAATTCCATTTTAGTCAATCTATCGTTTGATAATGGCAAAACAGGGAAAGCGCATTCTTCCCTTATCCTGACTGAAATTTAATAAGGAGTGCGGCTATGGAACTTTTTTGTCACTTTACGGATGTCTTTTGTAAAAAATGTTGACATTTTGGCGAAGGCACAGAAGACCAAACAGTTGACCAATTTTGCAGAAGAGAAAATTTATAGAAATGAATTACTTTTTAGAAACAATGTTCCATAGCCGCACCCTCTAGGCATTCTGCTACATATCTAGCAAATAAAAATCTTTAATATCGCAATAGTTTTCTGACGATAGATTAACTAAACAACGTAGGCGTGTTGCTGATAGAAGCTACTCTTATTTCCTTCTCATTTAACCGACAGACCTGAAATTTTGTCATACACCCTCTAGCATGACCACCAGCCTACCCTGTAAATTTCGTTAATTTTAAAACAAGGGTTCAAAGTTGACCCCCCTAGGGAGTGTGCCCCCTTAAGGTTGCGAAGCGTGGAATAAACGTTAGCTATGTTTGGACATTTGTGTTGTGCTCTCCTCCTTGTCTCCGCTCCCCAGGGTTAAAATGTCTAGCTCCCCCGCTTGAAGAACCTTATACAGTAAAACCCGTTTAGAACGAACCCATGTACAGCGAATTATTGTCAATATCGGACTCACAAAAAATTTAAATAAAAATGCATGTACAGAGTGCTTTGTATAACAAACAACCTTTTGGCAATATCAAACTTTTTCCCCCCGGAAAGGCTTCCAAAAACACGCAAATATTCGTCTTCTAGCCTGTTCCTTTCACAAGAAAAAAAAAAAAAGTAGGAAAGAAAGAAAATTCTAAAGGCTCAAGTTGCGAATAAAATTGAGCGAAGAGAAGCTAATCAGAAGGGGGAGAAAGCAAAAAAAAAAATACTCTGCATGCACGCACAGCAAAAACAACAACAAAAAAACTTTTCATCCCAAAACCGTTGCCCACGAAAAGAAGCGATTCAAAAGAGGAGATAAGCTGAAAAAAAAAAAAGAAAAAAAAAACCACTTTCCAGCGCGTTGTTACAAGGCGGAAGCGAAGAGATGAGAAAGAAAAAGAAGTTCTCGCCTTACAACGAACGCATCATGAAAGTTCATTATGAATAGTTTTTGCTACATCGAATTACTTGCTATATAAAACTGATCGTGGCGTTTCCTGCTGTTCGTTATAAACGGGTTTGACTGTAATCCCAAACCGAGAAGCGCAAGCATACCAAGCTTGGCCTCACAATTCTTTTTTCATCCGCATTGGCAACGTTTGCTATGAACAAGCAGCACCGTCCCGTGGCAGAGACAATAAATAGAACACACACAAAAAAAACCTCCTAACAAAACCCGCATAAGTAAGAGAGGAAAACAAACATCGACACCTCGATTCCGTTAATTTGTTGTAGATACAGAACAGATTGACTGACCACAATAATTCTTACGTCGGTCGATTCCATCGTAAATTTTGAAGGTGGTCTCAAGTGCAAAACTTACATATTTGTAATTTACTCATCTAGTGTTAACACAGAAGTGTCAAAACAGCCAACTTCGACCAATCGCACAAATAAAAAGAAAAAATGAAAGACGTTTACAACTCCCTGTAATGCCGCATTAGAGCGCAGCTCTTGAGGAGGAGGAGCGGAGGGTATGGAGAGAAGGGTGTGCCCCAGAGCCGTATATTGGGAGAGTTTGGCCAGTGGGTGTGGCAACGAAGGCGCCGGAGAGGAGAAAAGTAAATGAAAGGGAGGAGAGCGCCGAAGGAGCGAGAGAGAAAGAAGGGAGCAGAGAGAAGACGACCACCATTTTTCAGCAACGCTGTCGGAGACTGGTCGGAGAAGAGCATTGCTGAGGCTACGCGTCGTCTGCTACAGGCCGACTTCTTTTTCGCCTGAATAAAAGTTTGTGGCCATACGCCAAAAAATCTTCATTTATTAGCTTTTTAACCCACCGAGGAATAACAGAATGTCCTTTTCTTGTCAGAGCCAGCGATATAAAAGGAAATAATCGAGATTTAGATGCCGATCCCATGCATTCCGCCGGGAGAATGAATGAAAATAGCGCCCCTCCCCACTCAGCTGCAAGCAGCCGGGAGTTCACGCGCATGCGCTCATGCCTCTCGCTCAGCGCCGCGTGCTGATTGGCTCACTCGGGAGGAGAGCGTTACGGCGGCGAGATCATAGACTGACCAAACTCTCCCCAGATACGGCTCTGGTATGCCCCTCCTCCTCCTCTGTACCCTTTCCTCCTTCTCCTCCATCCTCCCTCCGTCCCTCCTTTTCCTCCCCTCTTCCTCCCCTCCCCGCGTGAAGGCCATGACCTTCACGAGTGAAGGTCACATGAAGGTTGTGACCTACACTGTGAAGGTCGTGACGTCACTCGTGACGTCATTATAGGAAATGTTCTATAACGCAACGTGCGGTTACGCTGACAGCGACGCCGCTTAAGCCGGAAACAGGTGCCTAAAAGCTGGGCTCTAAAAAATATAACTAGAATTATGTTAGACAGCTGTCCAACTCAGTAAAGCGTCAATTTCTTTCAAATGAAATATACAAAAAGATCCGCAAGGCGGTTATCGCGAGTGGAATTCATTCCCCACGGGAGAGTGAGAACCCACCTGGCGCTGCCGGAGAACCGCCGTCACCCCTCGGGGGAGTGGGAGCGCCGCCCCTGGGGGCCCCTGCACCTCGCCTCCTGCCCCCCCTGGGGCCCCGCCCTCCCTGACTAGGGGGTCCCGGGGAGGGGGGCGAGCAGAGCCTCGGTGCCAGCTGCACCAGTTGCTGTGGGCGCAGGGGGAACGGGGGGCCCGCCGGGACAGGCGGCTGCTGCTGCAGAGGGTGGCCCAGCAGGCGGAGGTCTGTGCAGACGGGCAGGCGAGCATCCGGACGAGTTCAAATTTGTGAGGCCGAGCCGCGACAACCTCTTGCAGCCGCTTCCAAGTACGGCTGCGGCAGGTTGCGAATGCCCCCCCGCTGTTGGGCTCAATGGCAACGAGTGTGCGGGACCGTACTCACGCCAAATGGTTCATGCCCCAATTGGAACAGAAACGGCACGTGCACGAGCGTACGACCCGTGACAAAAAATAAGTCGCTTCCGAACGAGCGAATAACACAAATGAGAAGCACTCTCCTTTCATCTCGGAAAGCCGGTCTCAGCGCATGGTTTAGTCTGAGGGAGGCATGGCGCGTCCCATCCGGCACAAATGGCGCAGCTTCCTCGCAAATGAAGTCGCGGCTTGTGCGGCTCCATCTGGTGCCACTGGTGCGCACTCGGAAAAGAGGACAAAGGGGGGAAGAGGAGGCACGGTGCCAGGAGCCCGTCTCCGACTGCCACGTTTACAACACGCTCGAGAGTGGCCCCTCGATTTTCGCCCGACAACGTCTTAGACGAGCAGGGCCGTTGCGATCCTGGCGGTGGCATGGGATGGATGCGGCAGACGCCCGTTCAACCAAAGGTCGCTTTGCATCCGGACAGTCGACGGAAACCGCAACGGACGCCAGACGTTGGCAGCATTTCTACAATTGTCCGCTGGGATCGCAACACTTGACGGTGCGACGCCGCAACACTAATTGTTGCAGTTCGGGGACCGCTTCGGATGTGCGAGGGAGAACGCGCCAGTGGAAGAGACGTCGCGGGCGCCGCGGCGAGTGGCTCACCGGGCAGCAGGGAGAGCCCCCGATGGTAGAGGGCGGCCACGCCCGTGGGCTGCGCCACTTGCACCGGAAGGGGGTGGCGGGCCCCCCGTGCCGGGGGACACTGCAGCGCCGCCTCGTCCAGGGGGCCCCCACCTGCGCCACGACCTCGCTCAGGGACGGGCAGCTGCCAAACGCTTCCCATATCCTGGTTCCCTCGTTCGCGTGCGAGGAAGCCAGGAAACTCTGTCGGCAAGTTTTGGAATTGCGTACGGAAAGAAATGGTGTCCTCGCCACTGTGCACGAGCTGAGCCCAAATTTGTGCTTTGAACTGGCAACGACCATCTTCTTTGCATACGCTATTCTAACTCGCTACTTTTGTGCACACGATCCAGTACGCACGAGTCGCATTCAATACAAACAAACAACATGAAAGACGTTTACAACTTCCTGTAACGCCGATTTAGAGCACAGCCCTCGAGGAAGAGGAGTTGAGGGTATGCCCCTCCTCCTCATCCGCACCCTCTCCTCCTTCTTCATGCGCAAAATGCGTGTCGTCACGTGACGTTTCGGCGCGGTGCCGAAACGTCACCGCGGTGCATTATGGGACGTTTCCCATAATGCACCGCGCGGGTACGCTGACGGCAACGTAGCTCAAGCCGGAATCGGGCGCCTAAGAGCTGCACTCTAAAAAATATAGGGTTCGTTCAATTTCCGTGCACCTGCCTACGCTAGTACAGAAAAGTGTAGTGCAGAACAGAAATATAGGCTGCAATTGTAACACAAACTAGGCAGCCTACGCCGACTATAGATGGCGCGGGAGGTGTGGGCGAGTCGAACGAGCCTATTATTGAGTGCGATCGCCTCTGGAGACCAAACGCTGCAGCGTCCTCGTTTTCCTCGTTAAAATTATGTGGCGACATAATGCACACCCAAGTACTAAGAAAACTTGCAACCTCCAAATGCTCTCCATCTTTACTAACACCGTCGAACCACGATACAAAGAAGTCATACTTTGAGCCCGAGACTCGTTCAACCACAGAATTCATTGGATTGAAGTTTTAACTTTCTGGCGGCACAGTCTTTCTCGCAGTTTTCAAGATCCCTAGTATTGCTTCGCATCTTTTCAATGGGCATTTACAAATAATGTTCCTCTGCACCGACAATTATGGGAATAAAGTGTACACCGACCATCATTTCAAACTATACCTGATACACGAGAGCCATGTCTCGTCCCTGTACCAGAAAACAACTGGAGCAAGCTGCCACCCAGTTCAAAATATAGTTGAGTCGTTAGGTCACTCCGAGTCGCGCAGGTGACTGGGAGTGACGTAACACTTGCTGGCAACTATCATGTACGGTGAGAGCACATGCTCCCAGCATGCTCCATCGAAAGCTGATCAAATGAACACAAGAGCCTGTTTAGGATCGACATATCGTTTTAGGGACTCCTTAGGGTCTAGCCTTGTCCGTCCGGCGTCTGTGCTCACATCAATCTTGCTGGTGCTCGTGTAGGGCAAAAGAAAATGACAAAAAAGCAACCGCATCTCCACGTGGTGAATGATGTTGATTGGGGCGAAGCTCTGGTGGTGCTTGTCTGCGCAGACGCTGAGCCGCAGCATGCCGAGCCTTTCCTTCGTTTTTATCCACGTGCGACCCACGAGCATTTCTCGGCAAGGGTACGGTGTGCGAAGGTCAGTACACGAGACCTCTCTTGCTGAGGCGAGGCAAGCGGACACGACCGGTCGATCGCTCGCATCGCATTCTCATGTTTAAACAAATCTAAAATGTTACCTTGGACCAAAAAATGAGTTTTTTCTCGAGTTACAGCATTTCGTGCGTGAAATAAAAATTGTGACTGTATCTTGGTATTGTTGCAAACGCAAGATGCTTTGGGTTTTCCATCGCGGCAGAAAAATGCTATTCTAAAAATCTCTCGCGTAGCATGCGCTAACGCAAGTGCTAAATTTAGCACTAGCGCGTGGTAAAATTGAGTATGTTATTCTAAAACTCCTTAAAACTATGCCCATTTTTTGTGGCTTCTTATAAACTGCAAATACGTTGACTGAAAAAAAAAAAAAAAACAGTTGCACAGTTACGTGACTTTTGGTAACTTTCTTCTTTTCTATATTTCTTCTTCCCCCCCCAGTGCAGTTTCGGTTCTTAGCAATTTCATTTTTTGACTTTATTCAAAATATATGTGATGCAATAGCAAAATATTGATTGGGTAACCTTCTGACACCATAACAGATTGCCTGGAAAAACATGAACAACATTTTTTGGGGGATGTCAGTGTCCCTCTAAGATATTCGTTTAGAATGCGTTTCACTTAACACGGGCTTACTGGCTCCAGTGGGAGCCAAGGATACTCACACGCAGCACCACTGAGCATGAAACTCCTTTGTTGCGGTGGAATTTCAAGGACAAAAGCCAGCTTTTCTTAATCTATCCTTTGCAAAGCTTGATGATGCAGCTAAGGGGTCACAGTACCCCACTAGTGACATTATTTGAATGCCGTTCATAGATTGAACCAGAGCATTGCGTGAGCACTCGATTTGGGCTCGTGATAATCGATAGCTCAACAAGCATTCGGGTAGTGGCCCATATTTAATCGCCGCAATGATGACAATAGCCGAATCATATTAACGGCTGGAACTAGGCGTGTGTCCTGTGCTTTGCCGAACCAAGCACATGGCTATGATCAAGATGGGCCACAAATAATCAGCTGCAGATCACGTGGCTGCTTGTTCTGGACGCAAGTTGAAAAGGTGAACGCTGCTCGTTCTTCTTAAATTTTTTCTGCAACCTCTCTCCTGTGTGGTGAAAAACGAACAGGATTTCATTGGTCATTAATGCCAGGGACTCGCCCTATGCGGGATTTGCACAAAGTGCAAACATTGTTGCATTGCCCCTTAAGGGGCCCTGCAATCCTATTTAAGCGTCTACCTTCTTTGCGGTTTACACGTCTCTTGTGGTTCAGGCAACCCAACGGGCACGGAGAGAGTAACTAAATATCAGTGTGCCATATTTTCACCGGACAACGCGGAAGCCTCCTTCACCTACGAGGGCGCCCAGTGGTACCGAACGCGCGCGGCATGTGACGACATTGTGACGTTGGTTCTGGCCAGCTCCTACGTTACGACTGGTCAGAGCTGCTAAAAGCTTTTTTTTTAATCAAAATACGAAACATAAGTGGTGCAAATCGTTTTAATTTTTTATGAAAGTAGTTTTTGTTCAGAACTTTATATCAGAAAAGAAACAAACGCAGTTTATAAACTACGGAAACAAGAAATGACCCGTCGAAATACCCGCCACCAAGCGGTGGAAAAGTCGGCGCATACTAGAAAGGGGTAGTGGGATCAGGCGCCAACGAGCGTCGAGCATAGAAAGGCCTCGGATGTACGCGACAGCACTGCGGTCGTATGGGCTCGAGGATCCGACCGGTTCCGAGTGTTCCAAAGGCCTTTGGCAACCAGCTTTGGCTTGCGGTTTGGCCGCTTGGCGGTATGGCAGCGCGAAGTGGCTCCCATTCTGAACTGATCTTTACCCCGTGTTTGCTGTCGTTTGTGGCCAATGAAGTGTCATGCTGAATCAGTGTTTAATCGCGCAGCAAATCTAATACGAGCCGCCCTGGCCGCCCGCTTCATAGAGCCTATCCAACACGTGCTTTAGTGGCGCCCTCTTGAGCCGTCGACACGGAATGCGGCAGCCGTGAGCGCTTGCTGAGCTCACTACCCCTCCTCTATTTCACGGCCACTCAAGTCACGATCAAGGAGGTCATGAAGGAGGTTATTTGTTGCTTGTTTTTGTAATTTTAATTTGCCTATAATTTTTAAAATAAAGCAACATTTGAGAGAAGAAAAGTTTCATTAACTCCCTAAGTGCCTTGGACGAGCTGAGCTCGTTGGCCACTTTCTGGCTAAAAATGCCGTGGACAAGCTCAGCTCGTCCAGTGGTCTTTTCGGTCGCCCTCAATTCCACGGACGAGCTCGGCTCATCCGAGTAGTTTTGGGGCACTGATCATAGATGGCAGCACTTGTATTAGTTGGCAAATATTTTTTTCGCCCCCGCTGATTTTTGCGTAATAAACTTCTCAAATTTTATGTGTAATACTAGAGGAATAACAATTGAAAACAAAAAAATAAAATATGGCACTTTTAGGTTACTTTTGGAAAAAAAAATTTGGCACTTAATGGGTTAAGTTACTACGTTCAGTGTGCTCAGGTTCGGTGCAAATTAAAAACCAGTCAAAAAGTCGTTGCAGGGCCCCCTTAAACAGTAACCCACCATTGTTGGCTTTGAAGTTGTTACATCCCAGCACAAGGTCTCGGGCTTTGGTTGTATTGCCCCAAAGCACAGCTCCGCTCGAAGGCAAATTCTCAGCCGGAATACCCAGTTTTCTCTCGCACGAGCGACGTGCCACATTTGCTTTCATGGTTGTTTTTCCCTTCTCAAATACAGCTATCTCAAACTTCCAATAGACCTATCGCTAAATTACCCAAGCATTGAGGAGAATGCTGGGGATGTTTGTTTGTTTATTTTATTTTTAACACAATTGTCAAGCGGGTTGGTACAAAAGGCGAATACAGTATAGACCACTTACAACGTAACCGCTTATAGTGCAGGACCGGGTATAACGCGGCTTTTTTAAAACCACTGGTTCGCCTCCCATAGAACTCCATGTAATTAAATACCGCTTAAAATGCAGGCGCGCGAAGGGAAATACCGGTTATAGTGCGGTTTCTGGAACAGCTCGCCGACCGACCGGCGGAGCGAGCACGCTTCCCTGTGAGACACTAGATAATGGCGCGAGCCGCAAGCGGCACTCGCGGGGCAAGGAGGTTGCTCAAAGAAGTGGGGACGAGCGAAGAGAGAGGCTTCAGTTGCCATAGCGGCAGAGGGACGCACGCACGTATCGTTCACGTGCGTGCATCCCTGCTAACTATACCTCCGCTGCGTTGGAAAATGATCTCTATGGTTGGAAACAACCGCAACGACAGACCAATCGCAGATCGAGGAGAAGTGTGCGCGTGTGTTGCATGCCGGTCGCGGGCCGGCTCTTCTTCTATCCGCAAACATGGCGTCGTTGGAGATCGTTGACGTAGACGGTGTGGTAGAAGCTCATCGTTCCGCGTAAAAGTGCTATCCTTGACTGTGAATTTTTGTTGTGTGTCGCTATGATAACCCAGCACGTATTAGAAGGGAAGATCCACCCACTTGTGCGGCGACGTTGTGGCGGCACTCTCAAGACGACAGAAACGCCCGTGTCGTTGTGTTTGTTTATTTCGACTACAGTGGTGCTTTCTAAGCATTTGAGTTTTCGAACATTGCCCGGATTTCTTATTTGGAGCATTTCATGCCTGTGCTAAAGTTGAAGGTATTACTGGCGCATACCCTATAAGAGATGCAAATTTTCACGCGTTTTCATCACCGGAGAAAAGTGATTAGGGTTAGCAATCCTGAACGCTCGCAACGTCCGTCCGCAACCCGCGACACCGTTAAAAGGCTGCGCCAGGCAAAAGTCACTCATTTCTTTCAAAATGTGTGACACACTTGAGAGAGAAGTGTACTAGTCTGGTGAAATAAAGACTTTCCTCAAACTAAGCTTTACTTTTCATCTAACATAAAATAAATTCTTTTACAAAGGTAAGTTGTCTCATGGCATGTATTTTGGCCTGAAAAATTTATGTTTTGGTTATAGCGCAGTACCGCATATAGTGCGGATTTTCGCGACTCCCACGACATACATTATATGCGATCTACACTGTACAATCACCTGACTGGGTCCCAACCCCTGTAACAACACTCAACAGCAGGGCACAAATCGAAAGAGAAATATGAAATAAAAAGCCAGCTCACAGCACAAGTCAAGAAAAAACTTATTTCATCCACCCAAAAACTTTTCAGCGTAAGAAAAATAAATAAATAAAAAACACTGATTAATAACACAAGTCACTAGGTACGGTATGTACACAAGCAACATTAAAATATTCCCTTATGTATTTTTTTAAATGAAACATGGAGATTTCCTGGGCCATCTCATACACACAATAATGTTTGTTTAGGATATCTGTAATCTGGTAGGATAATTTTTGAGTACCATAATTAGTTCTCATTTTTGGTTTTGGAAACTGCTGGTGCCTCAGGTTGCAATTTGTTTGCTTGGGTAGGTATGTCTCGTGAAAGATGTCAGGATCAATGTTAGTTTGGGTATGAATTGAAATCGCCACCTTTAGACAAAAAAGGTTATCTACTGGAAGTATTTGATGTTTATTGAAACTATCGGAAGTTGATTGAAACGGGGCAAATTATCAATTAGCCAAACCGCACGTTTTTGTAATGTAAGTTATTGCTTAATATTATTTCCCGTGGTTGTCCCCCACACCAATAAACAGTAATAAAGCCTCGAGTGAATCATAGATGTATAGATTTGTCGTTTCAACCAGTTTGGAAGAAGTTGTCTGCACCTAAAAAGTAAACCAATGGATCTAGAAATCTCCTTTCGGAGATCGTTTACTTGGGCAAATACAAATTTTCGTGGAAACGAACACCAAGAAATTTATAAGATTCTACACGTTCCATAATGGAGTTTTGAAAGGATATATTAATTCTGTTAGTAATGGGTTTGTTTTTGCTCTAAAAATGATATACTTAGTTTTCGACGTATTTAGTTCTAGCTGACTTGCAACTAACCACAAGTGAAGTTGGTCCAACCAAGTGTCTGTCTGTGTGTCTGAAGTATATAAGCAATTACCGGCAAAAAATACATTTCTGTCATCTGCATATAAAGTTATGTCCGGTGTTCCTGGGATGTTTATTATGTCGTTAACATAAAGGAGGAAAAGTGAAGGCCCTAAAATTAATCCCTGCGGTACACCATACTGAATTTTCGCTAGAGAAGAGCGCGCGTCATGGAGGACCGTATGTAGGTCTACGCACCATATGTGCTTGCCTCCCGCGTATAGAAGATCCGAAGTAACCAAAATAAGGCGTTGAAGAGTGCTCGTGTGAGGTACCATTTGATTTAAGCTCTTCCTTTAGAGCAGTTACTGCTGCAGACGCCAGAACGTGCAAAATGTAAACCTACAGTGTGTCCACGAAAAAAATTTACGGCGTATTTTTCGCCGCAAAAATGAACTACACATGGCCGAGCGCTCATTTTCTGGCAAATGTAGCGCTAGCAGTCCCAACCAGATGCCAAAGTTTCGGAACTAACCATTAACTCAGTAAAAAGTTATAGGCAATTTTCTGAAAATTTCAACGAGAAAATGGAGCCCGTTTTAGGTAAATGGCGCCATTCAGCTGCATGTAATACAAGAGGTATCGGCCGTCATTTTCGCATTAAAAATTTCACAAAATCGGTTATAACTTTTGAATAAGAGAATGGTTAATTCTGAAACTCTGGCATCTGGTTCGGACATCTAGGGCTACCTTTGGGCAGGGAATGAGGGTTCAATGACGCATAGGTTATTCTTTGTTTCAAAAAGTCCCGTAAATTTTTTTGGGGGACACACATTATGTTTCCGGCGTTTTCCTGCATGCTGGGGTAATTTAGCCATAGATCTGCTTAGGGAACAACACAAACAGATTGTTTCCCATTGTTGAAATCACAAAAACTGCAAGATGTTTACAAATCACTGTAATGTAAAACTAGACTACAGCTTTTGAGGAGGGGGAGGGGAGGGTATGGCCCTCCTCTTCCTCTGTACCCTCCTCTCCTCCTCCCCCTCTCCCCTGCTCCTCTCCTCCCTTTTCTCCCCCCCCTTCTCTTCCCCCTTCATCCTTCCACCCCTCCTCCTGCCACTGAATTTGTTCACGGGTGACGTGACACGAAGTTGTGGCATCATTTTCCACGATTTAGCGGGCACACTTAACCCGCCAAAGTTAGAGGGGAAATTTTCACGCTAAGTTTAGTGGGGAAATTTCCCCGCTAACTTTAGCAGAAAAATTTCCCCACTAAATTTAGCGGGGAAAAATTTAGAGGGGGAAATGTCCCATAATGCAACGCGCGGTTACGCCAACGTTGACAGCAACGCCGCTCAACCCGGAAACGGGCGCCTAAGAGCTGCATTCTAAAAAATGTCAACTGTGAGAGGCCCTTCAAATATGTTCATACATGCGATGAAAAGGAGAATCGTTGCCGCGAGCAATTGGTGCCTTCACAATGCCTTCTTTGCCAAATGCTCTTCAGCAGAAACACAGAGAGTCGCCTCGCTTAGATGTCCAATGCAACCGAAGCACCCACTGATATGCAGTTCCTACCCTACTACACAGAGGAAGGGACTGGGATGCCACCAAAAGTATCCAGCAGCTGCGTTCTATTGCCGACGCCGTCTCTCGCGGCCTCGCTACGATCTGATCAAGATCAGCACGAGCGAGCAAGGTCAGTGCCGGGTCCCCACACAAAGCACCCTATATTCCGGGCGAAGAAAGAAGCCGAGAGCGCAGAGTTGCGCAACTCACCAAAGGGTGCCTCCGAGGGTGCCCTATGGACGTCCGCCGTGTCTGCCACCGTGAAGGGGGTGTGGTGGTGGTGGTGGTGGCCCAGCAGGCTGACCGGCTTGGGAGCCACCGCCATCAGGGTGGGCCCCTGGCCGGGGGGCAGCTGGGCGGGCAGCACCAGGGGGCCCCCCCGCACCCCGCCCCCCACCCCGGCCCCCAGGGGCGGGCCCGGGCGCAGCACCTGCGCAACACCCGGGCGTTGAAGCACAACTACGCGAGTCTTGCCCTTCCAATTAACGTTGTCGTGGCGCAGAAGAGCTCGGTACGCATTTTAAGCATTGACGGCACAAACGACGTTGTGCGTAGCGTGCCCCACCAAAAGTAGCGTTCTGGCAGGAGTGGAACGCGAGGCTTGCGTGTCTCGCACACCGCAGCTTCGAGCCTGCTGTTTGGCATTGGCCCATTTGTTCCCAAGATTGTGCTCGCCCTCCCCACCACACTCGCCAAACACCTCCCAGACAACGTGGTGCTGGACTTCCCACGGATAAGCCTGAGCAGTGCCCAGTTTAAACGCGAGTCCCACGACAACTTTCGACTGGGCGTTCCATCGGCAAGGACACCAGTTACAGCCAATTGCAGCACTTGTGTCATCCCGTCAATTCTTGCTCGACTTTCTTCAGTTACAGGAAGCAAATTTATCTATTCATTTCAAATGCCCTCAAGGCCATGGGGGCATTTCAAAAAAGAATGGGAGAAACAAAAAAAGAAACAAAAAAAAGCAAGTTTTAAGAATGCAAGAATTATATGTTACTAAATTGACATCATTAAGGCGAATATATAAGCGACGCCATTAAATACAGTTATCACCGACGCTGGACAGTGGTTCCAGGGAGGCATAGTTTGGGTATGAATTGTGAAAAATTGTAGTTTTACACGATGGTGTGCCTATCTTGTGTTGTTGTAGAAGAACTTGTTGATCTAGACGTGGTGACAAGCAGAATGGGAGATATTAGTAGCTTTTACGCAAAGGAGGACTATGATAAATTTTGTGAAATAAACACAAACAAGATCTACGTGATGTGAGGTTAGGCAGGTTCAAACTACATTTCATACATGTTACGCTGGAGATGATAGTATGGAACAAACATCTGTTTTGAATTGCTTCAACTGCATGTGTTAATACAGTAAAACCTCGTCATAACAAAATGGGATATAACAAACTAATGGATATAACAAAGCAATTATAATTCCCCTTGCTTGCTAATAGTGGGAAGAAATGGACATTGGCTATAACAAACTAATGGTTATAACGAAAGAATTACGACCGCTCCTTCAACTTTGTTATAACGAGGTTTTACTGTATGTCAGATTGGGGTCCCAAATGGAGGAGGCATATTGCCGCGAGCGCAGCTGGCCAAGTAGGCAGTGCGCCCGTGGCCTAAAAGTTATCGAGCTTGCCTCCCACACAAAAAAATGTTCAGCCTTTCCACTCTCGTGAAGAAGGAGGACCAGCGGAGCTGTACTCAATACACTGCCGCAACGCGCACGTGCCCGTTTCCCGTTTCTTCTCGTCCGACACGCCGCAGATCGTGGATACGTCTCCTGCAAACCAGAATCCCATGAAGCGCATGCGGCGCACGTTGCACCAAACGGGTAATCCACGAAATCCCTCCGGACCCTCGCCCCGTCGCGCCCGGGAACTGTTTAGCCGGCGTGGAGTGCAGTCGTCGCCAAGCCTCGTGTTTGTGCTTGACCTCCGCGGCACGATCATCGTCTGTGGCGTTGGCCCGCCGGCACCATTTACGTCGCTGGTTCTGTTCTCGGCGGAGGCTTTCCAGGCGAGTGATGTGCTCTTCTTTGGCAAGGGAAACTGAAGCGCTCGGCGCAGTGAAAGTCGAGGCGACAATGGCTTTGGGGCGGTTGCAGCCCCATTCGCACTGCTGCGTACGTCGCCGCTCCTTCCGCAGCGTCTTCTTTCCCCGAAAGGGCGCGCGGCCGACCCATAGTAAGTCCGAACCGAAACTGATAAGAGCATAGGAAACAGCGCGCAAAACAGACGAGGACGAAGAAACACACGGGACGAGCGCTGCACTCGTTACGCGTGTTTCTTCTTTGTCGTCGTCTGTTTTTCGCGCTGTTTCCTACGATGAATTCCCGCCAACGTGCCCAACTATCCATTCTTCTACGATAGCTGTGGAGTTCCTGTATAGGCTTCCTACGGGAGCCAGAGTTGCACGTCTGTTTTCCACGTTCCGCAGCGCCGCTATTCGCCACGATCCGATCACGTGAGGAGCCGGATCAGGTGCCGTGCAGGAAGGCAGACGTTGCATGCGCCCTGCCGTATGTACCTGCTTTTGAGCGCGCCACGCCGCTATTCGCCGAATTCAATCACGTGAGGAGCAGGATCAACATGCTGTGCAGGAAAGATGGCGCTGTGGGGATGAACGCGCAACTCTGGCTCCCGTAGGGAGCCTATACAGGAACTCTAGATAGCTGGAAACATTGCCGCCATCTACGAGCGACAGCGGCAAACAGACTGGTTGTGTGCTTGCCACCGTCGCTTATAGATGGCGGTAGCTGTCCAGGTAGGTTTGTGTCGACGGGCGTTTGATACCGGACACGATCCTGGGGAACCTAGCCCTTAACAGCTCCGCTGTAAAAGCCGAGGTTCGATGCCTGGCCGCAGACACACCTTTCTGTTGTTTCTGCAATGTCGCGTTCTGGTAAATTCGAGAACCCTGTTACTTATTCCAAGTTACAATGTTCTGTGCGCGAAACCTTCGATGCCGATTGTTCCACAAGCCCCGTGTGGCGAGCCGGAGTCAGTCTCGCACCCTCGCTCGATCTTGCTGTTGACATTAGATAAAGTTCTAGCAATCTCATGATGCTTCCAACATCAATACCAGAAGCAGATAAATCATTAATCAATAATCATTTCTGCGCTGGTTATGAGACAGTGTTGTCCCTTCTGATCCTGGTCTCCAGGTTTCTCATTATCAATAAACTTTTTGCCAACGAACTAGCAAATATTTTTCTAATTAATATTTTTTACGAAGCATGCTACAACAACAGGGAGCAAAATTTGCATTGGACGTGCACACAAAAAAGGCCCGTCACTCGGAAGGTTAAGGCGGCAATGTAGCGGGACCTCCGGCATCGCCGCTGCTCACCTGGAAGGCAGCGAGCCCCAGCGGTGCCATCTGTTGCTGCTGGTGGGAACCCCCCGAGCACAGCGTGTAGCCCATCGGGGGGCCGCCCTGGGGCTGCTGGTGAGGCTGCTGTTGCTGCTGCTGTTGCTGCTGGTGGTGGTGCACCGGGTGGTGGCTGGTGACCGGCAGCATGGTGGCAGGGAGGACGCCCGGAGGGGTCTGGGGGCGCAGCGCCACGTAGCGCAGCGACAGGCTGCAGGCAGGCAAGAGGTGAAGGCGAGGTGGGCATGAGCGTCCGATCGTTACCGGTGCCGGTCGGACTCTAGCGGGATCTACTACAGCCGCTGGTAAGAACAAAGGGAAGAGCTTGGGTTCTCCCGTCTCTGGTGCAAGCTTCCCAACTTAGACAACAGTAAGGCTCGAGGTTGTGGTAAAAGCACGGCAGGGCACAGAGCAGGTGGTGCAGGCGTTTCAAAGACGCGCCCCACTCACTCCGTCAGTCCCCATAGAGCTTCTCGAACGGTCAAAGTACCGTCCGAGGCAACGCGTTTGTAGCTTCGGCTTCGCTCACATTCGTGGTGAACGGAACGTCGGCTGCACAAGTGCCCAGGTTTTGTTATCTTTCCTTTATGTTTGGGACTATAGAATTCTCTATTACTGCGTGCTTTTGCAACACTTTGGCGTATTTAATGCGCCGAGAAACCGAGGGAGAGGAGATGACGAGACCGTGCAGGAACGTCGGAATGTAATTCTAGTGAATAGTAAGTAGGCCTAAAGCCTTTGTCTCCACTGCACTCGTCGAATGTGCGAAAATACAAGAGCCAAATGCCGAATGCTGGCGTTCTTTGTTCTAATGCGTTTGATGAGACAAAAGCGGCTAGCGTTAGGACTACGCACTAATCATTGGAGCCAGAGCTTGGCGTCCCGACCTCCCCTCTCGTCTCCTCCTCTCCCCTCGGTGCATCGCATTTAAATGCAATAAAATGGCGAGAAAGAAATCAATCCAAAAAGGTTGTCTTCAGTAAGTATTTTTGTTTCCTGGGGGCACGTGCAATGGCGGTAAAATAAAGAGAGATTCATTTTGTTCAGAGCACGATCCAACATTTCCTCTAAGCCACTCAGCATAGAAACCTAGCCCATCCCTTTCCAAACTGGGAGCACTACCGAGTTTGCATGATTCTAACGCACACCTTTTTCCGCCGAAATCGGTGCCCAAAACTATGCGCGCGTTACAATCAAAACCAAAAACCGAAATTCAAATGAAAAATGCAATGTCTGGTATAAGGTGGCTAGCCTCATCGCCATCGTGACCGTTTGTGGACATTCGCCATTTTGGTATCCGTATCCCGCGTATTCTCTCGCGTCTACGGACCTGTGTTTACCGTTTTAGGATGGAAAAACAAAAGAAATTCCACTAGGAATCTTTATTGAAACGAAAGGCCATCACGCTGGCGGGAAACGATAACAAAGCAGCGCTGCGTGGCCTCGCAATCCCAGCGACCGGACGAGCTTGCAATGCGTTTGGAAGACTACACTCCCAGAGGAGACGGTCGCGCTTTAGACAAAAGCAGGGATCACCTTTGTGGACAGCGAAGAATAATCATCGGACTCTGACAACGGCGACTAGTGCACGGCATTTATTTTTGCATTGACGCGCGTTTCTTAAAATCTGTTCTATGAAGTATCTGTTCAAACTTCGCTAATTCACCTGCACAGTAGAATCGACAGCAATTCACTTTTTGAATCTCTCGAACCTAAATCTGCCTGTGCATCAGAATCGTGCAAACACGGTACAGTATAGACCACTTACAACGTAACCGCTTACAGTGCAGGACCGGGTATAACGCGGCTTTTTTAAACCACCGGTTCGCTTCCCATAGAACTCTATGTAATTACATACCGCTTAAAATGCAGGCGCGCGAAGGGAAATACCGGTTATAGTGCGGTTTCTGGAACAGCCCGCTGACCGCTTCGACAACCGGAGCAGTGAGCACGCTTCCCTGTGCGACACAAGATAACGGCGCTGACGGCGCGAGCCGCAAGCGGCACTCGCGGGGCAAGGAGGTTGCTCGAAGCGGGGAGAAGCGAAGAGAGAGGCTTCAGTTGCCATAGCGACGGAAGGACGCACGCACGTGTTGTTCACGTGCGTGCGTCCCTCCGCTGCGTTGGAAAACAACCGCAACGACAGACCAATCGCAGGTCGAGGAAAAGTGTTTGCGCGCGTTGCATGCCGATTGTGGGCTGGCTTCTTCTATCCGCAAACATGGCGTCGGTTGTGATCGTCGTCATAGACGGCGTGGTGGAAGCTCATCGTTCCGCGTAAAAGCACTATCCTTGGCTGTGAATTTTCGTTGTGTGTCGTTATGATAACCCAGCACATACTAGAAGGGAAGATCTACCTACTTGTGCGGCGATGTCGTGGCGGCACTCTCAAGACAGCAGAAACGCCCGTGTCGTCGTGTTTGTTTACTTCGACTACAGTGGTGCTTTCTAAGCATTTGTGTCCTCGAACATCGCCCGGATTTCTTATTTGGCGCATTTCATGCGTGTGCTCAAGTTGAAGGTACAGTGTAGACCGCATATAACGTATGTCGCGGGAGTCGCGAAAATCCGCACTATAAGCGGTACCGCGCTATAACCAAAACATCAATTTTTCAGGCCAAAATACATGCCATCAGACAACTTAACTTTGTAAAAGAATTTATTTCTATGTTAGATGCAAAATAAAGCTTAGTTTGAGGAAAGTCTTTATTTCACCAGACTAGTACACTTCTCTCTCAAGTATGTCACACATTTTGAAAGAAATGAGTGACTTTTGCCTGTCGCAGCCTTTTAACGGCGTCGCGGGCTGCGGACGGACGTTGCGAGCGTTCGGGAATGCTAACCCTAATAACTTTTCTCCGGCGATGAAAACGCGTGAAAATTCGCATCCTTTATACGGTATGCGCCAGTAATACCTTCAACTTGAGCACAGGCACGAAATGCTCCAAATAAGAAATCCGGGCGATGTTCGCAAACACAAATGCTTAGAAAGCACCACTGTAGTCGAAGTAAACAAACACGACGACACGGGCGTTTCTGCCGTCTTGAGAGTGCCGCCACAACATTGCCGCACGAATAGGTGGATCTTCTCTTCTAGTACGTGCTGGGTTATCATAGCGACACACAACGAAAATTTACAGTCAAGGATAGCGCTTTTACGCAGAACGATGAACTTCCACCACGCCGTCTACGACGACGATCACAACCGACGCCATGCTCGTGGATAGAAGCAGCTGGCCCGCGACCGGCATGCAACGCGCGCGAACACTTCTCCTCAACCTGCGATTGGTCTCTCGTTGCGGCAGTTTCCAACACAGCGGAGGGACGCACGCACGCACGCGCGTGAACGACACGTGCATGCGTCCCTCCGTCGCTTTGGCAACTGAAGCCTCCCTTTTCGCTTTTCCCCGCTTTTTCGAGCAACCTCCTTGCCCCGCGAGTGCCGCTCGCGGCTAGCGCCGTTATCTAGTGTCCGCGTGGTCGGCGGGCTGTTCGAGAAACCGCACTATAACCGGTATTTCCTTCGCGCGCCTTCATGTTAAGCGGTATGTAATTACATGGAGTTCTATGGGAGGCGAACCGGTGGTTTAAAAAAGCTGCGTTATACCCGGTCCTGCACTATAAGCGGTTACGTTGTAAGTGGTCTATACTGTATTACTGGAGCGTACCGTATGAAGGATGCGAATTTTCACGCGTTTTTATCTCCGGAGAAAAGTGATCAGGGTTAGCAAGCCTGAACGCTTGCAACGTCCGTCCGCAGCCCGCAACGCCGTTAAAAGGCTGCGCCAGGCAAAAGCCGCTCATTTCTTTCAAAATGTGTGACACACTTGAGACAGAACTGTACTAGTCTGGTGAAATAAAGACTTTCCTCAAACTAAGCTTCATTTTTCATCTAACATAAAATAAATTCTTTTACAAAGGTAAGTTGTCTCGTGGCATGTATTTTGGCCTGAAAAATTTATGTTTTGGTTATAGCGCGGTACCGCTTATAGTGTGGATTTTCACGACTCCCGCGACATACGTTATATGCGGTCTACACTGTAATTTGAGTGACTGGGTGATATTTGCGTGTTTTTCCCCTACAGATGTTTGAGCTAAATAAAACTTCCAGCCTTTCCACTCTGGTGAAGGAAGAGCAGCGGAGCTCTAGCTTCTGTTCTCGGCGGTGGCTTTCCAGGCGAGCGATCTGCTCTTCTTTCGCAAGGGAACCTGAAGCGCTCGACGCAGTGGAACTTTAGGCGATAGCGGCTTTGCGGCGGTTGCGGAACCATTCGCGCTGCTGCGCACATCACCACTCGTTTCCTCTGAAAAAAGGTTGCCGCCATCTGTGAGCAACGGCGGCAAATAGTTGTCTGGTTACAGCCATTGCTCATAGATGGCAATAGCTGTGCAGAGTTCGGTGTCATTTCTTTGCTGGTGGACACGATCCTGGGAAAACTAGCCCTTAAAGGGGTACTCCGCCGATTTTTGAGCTACCTCAACTAACTATATTTTCTGACTCCCAGGCCTTTACCCTTTCTGGAATGCTATTTAATATCGTGAAATTCATAATAGTTATTGCGAAATCGGCAAATGAAAATGATGCAAAAACAGACATTCAAATATACCCGCCCTTTTCAGGGCCGTGACGTCAGTGGAAGTTCAGCTTGCCAGTCGGGCGAGCAGTCTAAAAAATAGAATATGCCAATTATTTGTTCCGTGCTGGAGCGCGGGGACTGGAGCGAGTTTCCAAGGCATTCATTTGACACCATAAAACTGCTTCAAATCAGTTGGGAACAAATTCTACAGTCCAAAGAGTGAACCCCTGCACTTCCAATGACGTCACTTTTTCATTGTTGCCAGTAGAGACTTTCAGTTTGAAAAACACGGTGAGGACCAAAATTGTAAATTGAATAACTTTGTGAAAAAAAATTATTTTGACCTAATATTTGGGATACTATTTTGGCGATGTTGTTTGGCGAGTTTAGCAAAATTTCAAGCAAATCGGGGACCATGAAGAAATCGGCGGAGTACCTCTTTAACAGCTCTGCTGTAAAAACAAGACGAGCCATATTTTGGAGAGGGCAATCCTCTGGGAAAAAATGATACGTGTATTTACGCTTCTAAATTCCGTCCGGGGCTGAAAATACCCATCCATCGTTGGCCTTACGCTCGGCATAACACGGCAATAAAGTTCTACGGTTATTGGCACAATCATCCGACTGATCTGGATTCTTCGAGGGTAACACTCCCATTAATACTGCTTCCCTAGATCGGTTCGACGGCCACTCTCGTAGCTTCGCAAGCTCCTCCGAGGCTCGACGAGGAGCACAACTTAGCAGGTTAAGCGTTAAAAGAGACACACGGAAGAAATGGCCGACAAACCAAACATCCGAGCGGCCGCCGGTGGTGAAAAGCGTGGCAGCCAGGACCAGGAAATGCCCGGGGCAATTCTCACCTGGGGGCCTGAGCGGTGGGTGCGGAGGGGCTCGCGGCCACCAGGTACATGGGCACGAGGTGCTGCTGGGCAGGCGGGCCCTGCTGGGCCAGGGGTGGTGGGGTGGGCGGGGCCTCCTGGGGCACGCCCCCGTAGGCCCCGCCCCCGAGAAAGGCCGCCATGCCGCCGTCCCCTGCCCCGTTGTTCAGCTGGGGCGGGGCCTGCTGCGGAGGCTGCAGCGGGGAGTAGTAGCCCAGAACCGGGAACGGGGCGCCACCTGCCACCAGGCCTGCACGGCGGGCAAAACGTGAGCCGAGGGGAGCGCCGCACCTCCCGGTTTTTCCACCGAGTCTACCCGACAAGTTTCGAGAGACGAGGCCTTCGACCGTTTGCGACGGTGACAGCGTAGGGTTTAATAATAACTTCCCAACATTTTTAGCCCGAGCCTATGTTTCGGAGCAGCAGTGTAAAAATAAGGAAACAAATCTAAGCAACAGTAACTGTTCAAAGGAACGCAGGACTTGTTCCAGGTATGCCAACATCCCGATATTGCAGTCTAAGCTCGTTATAACGGACCTTGATTTTGACCAAGATTTCGGTCTGTTGTAAGAGGAGTATGCTTGATGCAGATATGAAGTTGAGTCAATAGTACATGGGGGAAAACCAACCGAACTTCACAAATCGGTATGTTATATCTAGGGTTCAGAGTTTTCGGTTTAAACCGATAAACACTGATAAAAGTATGCCGAATCCATCTTCAAAAATTTGGTTTTAACCGAAAAAGGTCAGTTTGTAGGTTCGGCGTTCTCTGTTTAAACCGATAAAAGCATGTCTAATCCGTTTTCTAGGATTCGGTTTTAACTGAAAAAGGTCAGTATTTTAGGGCCGCGTCGAGGTAGGTGGGGGAGGGAGAGACAGAGAGAGGGCTTTGCGAGGTTCGACAATCTGTGACATCTTCGTGATTGCCCCCTTTTGAGGTTCAACATGCAATAAAAGAGGTCGTGGATGGGCTTTCGCGGGACATCTGTGTCCTTTCTGTGATCGGGCTTAGTGTGTCAAGTTCCCGGTCCTAAAAAAAAAAAAGTTTGGATGTGGGTTAGTATAAGGTTTTTCGCTTCATGCACTTCAGGGGACATCGAGGAAAGCCGTCAATACCTTTCTTAACACGCTCTCTCAAACTTCCCTACGATTAAAACCATAAATACGATGGATCTTTTTTTTTTTGCCATACCGCTGGTTTTTGTACGGTCATCACCTCAGACAGTGACGTTGTCAGAATGGGAAGAAAAAATAAGCGCACTGAAGATTATACTTGCGAATTCCACGATTTTGAGCTGTGTCCAGACGGAAGTTGTGGCGAAGACCACGTATGTATATGTGTCGTTATCCTTTGAGTAATCGCAAATATCACAGCTACAAGGATCATCTCATCTGGTGTCCTATGGTGTTTCTTTTATATTTACCGAAACACAACGGTAAACTGTTTTGGGAATAAATATACACCGAAAAAAGCCGAAAACTGAATTTCAAAATAAACACCGAAAAAAGTACGCCGAATTTCGAAAAAATAAAAACCGAAAACGCGGAACCCTAGTTATATCCAAATGTCTGCTGTAACCAGGTCTGTTGTATTGAGATTAGACTGTACTTGGCCTTCACTTTATTTTGATTATCTGGATGCGCAGGTAGGTACTAATTCAGTGTCACAGCATAGTTCTTGTCGCCTCACTTAATTTTCGAGATGCCCTTCGTCTCTTTTGGCACATCAATCAAATAATCCAAACCCCCTCCAAAAAAGTGCCGATGTTGTGCTTGCACAAACAGTGTCAGAAAGTGTAAATGATTGCATGTACAGTAAACTCTCAATTGAGCGCAAGTCAGTTTAACGAATATTTCAGAATAACAAACTTAAAAAAAAAACTAAAAAAAGAACGGTGGTTTTCCTAGGCACTCTATGCAAAAATGTTTCAGCTGAACGAAAAAGGAATTTCGAAATAGAGAATATTTCAGTTCAACGAAATTGATCGGTGGACCCAGGATTATTTTTGCAATCAGTTCAACGAAGTTTTCTGCTCTGAAGTGCTGGCGTAGCTAATGTCCGCCGCCTCTGCAGGGACGGCGTATCATCGCTGGCATTTACAGTGCCGCCGAGGCAAAGTGGCGGTGCGGTAGACGAAAACAAACTACATAGTGCGTCTGTTTTTGGTTTTTTTTGTCGGTTTCGTTCGGCCATTTTAGTTTTGGGTAACAACGGCAGGACGGTAGTTTGTGCAAAACGGAAGCGGTTGTCTCTATCAAACGAGCTCAAAATCCTTCATCGTCTGGACAACGGTCAACAACAGAAGTGCGGGGGTGCACAACTCAAAAATGACGCCGGTCAAAAAAATTTTATTGTGAACTGCGTGGGTTTTCAATATCTGGCAGGCAGGTTTTCAATATCTGGCATCATTGCACTGGCTGCCGTCTCGAGCACATCTCACAGTGTCATGTCTGTGGGCCGCATGCTGTGCACTCCTGCAGTAGTGAGAGCAAACGGGGGCTGAATTGCTTCCCACACGAAAAAGCGGACGCACCCTGTGGGTTGTGGTGGGCCGGCTGGGCGGTCACCTCGGCCACCGAAGAGACGTATCCGTGAGCGGGGCCGGAGGCACCTCCGCCCAAGGGTGCCGCAGGCTGCACGTAGTACACTGGGCCCTGCACACGGGGGAGGAGGCCCCACTCAATTAGGCGGCACGCAATCGTCTGCCTCAGAGGCACGCACGTGGCTTCAATTCAAACAAAAACGAGGAAGGAACGACCTTTCGTGCATAGAGGATAAAAGGTACGAGCCTACTCTAAGCTGTGAAAACGTGGCAAAAGCGCGGCAGCAGCCTTCCCACGTGCAACCTGGAGCCACTGAGTGAGCTACGTTTGGAACAGGGCCTGCCATCTTGCCCTCAAGCGCAGGCCCTTCTCAGGCAGCCAAGCCTAAAAACCTGGTAAAGGGTAATGCACATAGCGGGGAGTGCTCGGCACATGACTATGCATCGAGAAATGGCTCGCACCTTCGCTTCACTTAGGAGCTGGCCCAAAACAATTTGAAATCTCGGAGAGCTTGGAGCAGGCAAAATATTGCTTTTGAGCGGCACTGACATTTCTGGAGCAAGCCTGTCACTTGAAAACGAAAATGTGATTGTGCAAGCATACTACTTATTATCTTTTGTAGTAAGAATAGATGAGACACAAGAATACACAGCCTTCTTTAGATGCGAGGGTCAGGTCAAAGCAAGTTCAATTTACGATGGGTATATTATCGGTTGGCAACAAGGCAGGAGGAGGGGGGGGGGGGGGCCTACCTTGTTGCCAACCGATAATACTGGGCAATAAAGGCGTTCAGGTAGTGAACAAGAGTGAATAGCACTGACAGAATAAGACAAAATGGAGGGTTACAGACAGAATAAGACGGCAGAGAGGTTAACCTGGGGCACAATGTAAAATATATATACATATTAGTGCGAAGGGTGAGGTTGCTTTGTACGTAACACCAACTCAATCCATGGCTCAGTCTTGCACTGCAAAAGGCAGTACGTTATTTGCTTTGCAAAAAATAAGCTATGTCTTGTAAAATCTTAGTTTAAACATGAGCAGAAACCAAAACTGAAACTCAGGCACCATCAAGCGACATTGCCCCGGGCTGCCAGAAACACAGCTACCACTGGGGACGAGCAGTCACGTGATCCTCTATGTGACGACGGACGACAACAGGCTACCATTGGGGCGGGTGTGCGCATGGTGCAAGTGTCGTCTGCACTGCAGTCTTCAGCACAATTTGGTGTATACGATACCTCACAACGTCTGCACATCTGCGGCATCCGTCTGTGCACTAGTGTGAACGAAACTCCGAAAGACAATAATCACGGCCGGCGAGACGGCGTGATATTGACGGCGGTTGGAACTTGGGACACGGGAGACGGCTACAGGCGCATTATGCCAATCACTTGAACACCTCTGAGCCAAAGCAATAGGCCGACATTGAAAGGAGAAGCTGCCGACGTCACCCGTTACACTTGGCCGGAGAAGTAAAAATAATAGAAAAGTAGCAATGTTGTTAGCTTATGTCGGCTTTGTAAGCACCGTAGCCTCGACTGCGCCGTTGACTGTGCCTCAAGTCGCCCGCTAGAGTTGCCCTTTGAGTGCACAGAGTCTCTCAGGGCTCCAAAGAGGATGGTCACTTACGTACATACTACGAAGTACCACGATAAGTCACAAGATAGGAGGTTGTGCACGCTGCTAGAGCCACCTTCATTTCTCTTTGTACTGCCAGGACCAGGTTATCTCCAGGCCGGGAATATAACGGGGAGGGTATGGCCAATGCCAAACGATGGAAAGGACGGTCGGAAATCTAGAACCGACGGTGACTCGGGCTAAACTTTTCCAACCTGCCTCCCCAGTGTTTGGCTGCCAAGTGCTGGGAACGATTAATGCGGTCGCAGACAAGGACCCATTTGAACGGCTCCATACTTTCGTCCCTTCGTGTTGCCGCACCTTTGCATCCAAGCACCGGGACACGAGCACCGACGAGAGTATTGGATTGCACCAAGGATTCGCAGCAGGCCTACATGTGAACCGTGGAAGCGGGCCAGAAAAAGACCTAGCGGAAGACTTTTACGTAGAGGCGTCGGTACCCGACTCGGGAAACTGCACGCCCCTCTTTGCATACGATACACAAAACCTTTTTAGAAATGCGAGGAGTGGAACAATATTTTAATGGCTCTAATATCCCTTAAAATCATTCGAGAAGCTGCACAATCTTTTGCCTTGCAGAGGACCACTTAGCGGGTCTTGCGAACAAAACCTGCCAGACAAGGAGGCCGTAATGCTGGATATGCCACCCACCGAAGGCCAGCACTGGAACAGAGTCGACACGTTCGGCCAGGACTCCCCTTCTCGGTGGTTGAATACCAGTAGTAGCCCAACGAGGTAGAGGTGCGAAGAGCGATAAACTGGCAGCTGAAAGTGACTCCCACCCGGCCGCCGCCATATTGCACATTTTTGACCACTAGACATGCGACCTTATCTAGATTTTAACAAAGTACTGCACCGAGATAATTGCTGTTTGATCTTTAATAACAGTACCGACGAGATAAGTTGTGTTTCATTTGTTTTAAGTCCAAAATGTGCTTTTACAACTAAAAATTCGGGCAGCTTTGCAATGCCGTCAGCCGCGGTGCTGTATTTTGGGTTTTCATCGGAGCTAGACACTGATCTCTGGGGCCCTCAGTATCGAAAAATAGTTCATCACGTTTTTTACAACAATCTCAATACAAATCTCTGCTCAGTTTTGCGTAAATTCCTCAGGATTTGGTACGGTCATGTGTCTGGTGGTCAAAATTGTACAGCATGGCCGCAGCCAGCGGGGGGGGGTCACTTTTGCCTGGTGAATGGGATTATCTCTCTAAGCCCCTCATTGTCGTATCCAAACGTCGACTTTGGCCTCCTGGCATAGACAATCCAGGAGGTGCCACTCCAAAGCACACCACGCGGTCCGAAAGGAGGAGAGCTTACCCCTTTCTGGCTGCTCGTCGGGCATTAAAGGGCCCATGAAAGGAAATTTCGGCTGGAATAAATCAGTTTATATTGGGATTTTACTAATACCACATTGTTCAGTAGGCCAAAAGAAAAAAAGGTAGAAAGTCAAAAGCCTGACTTTCGGTACGAAAATTTGAAAGGCTATTTCGTACCTCCTTCCCTTCGTAAGCTCTGTGCCTTTTCATTGTGATACATACGCGGTCCCCACAGCGCGTGAAGGCCTGTCCAAACAGGATACGACAAAACTCACGACTCCGGCAAATCGTGCCGCGCTCCACTTCCGGCCGTCGGGGGGAAATTTCTCTCCGTCAAAGCTCCCGGGGAGAAACTTCCCCCGTCAAATCTCCCCCTCGCTTCCTCCACGGCGGCCTTGCTCTGCTCATCACGTGGGTCCGGAGAGCCACTCACAAGCTCTGTTGGCTGTCGGTCAATCGCTCAAGGCCTCCGCTCACAATACGGAACCGCGTCGGACGCCATCACGACGAAAGTGAATCTCGACAAAGAAAGCAGATCCGAGGCGGGCGAAACGCACCCTTCGACGCAGGATTGAAGCCGGACCTCCTTGGCCTTCGAGCCGAGGCGACGGCAGTACGCGAGGGCGTTGGCGAGGTGAGCCAGACGCAGGTAGCATGTGACGTCAGAGAAAAGTGGAGGAGGCGAGGAGAGAAGTCGTGATCGTAAAAATTTTCACGACTCCAGCAAAAATTTTCACGACTCCAGCAAAAATTTTCACGACTCCGACAAATCGTAAAAATAGAAGCGTCCGCTTCGATTTTCACGATTTGTCGGAGTCGTCCGTTTTGTAGTGTCCTGTTTGGACACCCCTTCACCGGGCCCAAACGCACGTCACACAACACCGGATCTCACTTATTCCCTTCACCCCTAAGCTACATGCTTGCCAGACCAATCAGCCGCCTCCCTTTCATCACCCGATCTCATTCTCTGCGCGTGGGTATCCGTGAGAGAGCGTGATCATGTGGCAAGAGTGTGGCTTGCCCAACGAGCACATTTCCAGAGCGCTGTCAGCTTCAAGGTGAATGAAGTGGGGAAAGCAACTTTTGTCTGAATTTTGAGCGATGGGCTAATCTTCTAGGGGGACAATGGCTGTGTCCGGGTACACAAATGAGAGTCTGAACAAGAGGTGACTACCCCCTTTCCGTCTTGAACTGTTTCATAGAATGAGAGATTTATGAGTTGGGGAGGAAAGCTAAACAGGAAAAAGTTGGAAAAGCGTTTCATGACTTTTTAAAAAATCACTTCTAATTGGTTTGCTCCGACGGCAGCCCTGCCTGAGGGACCTCGTCCCTTCCCCGGGGATGTCCTCCTCTCCCAGCCCGTAGCAATGGCGGGCCCTAGCAACGGCGGGCCCTAGCAACGACGACCCCTTGCAACGGTGGACCCTAGCAACGGCGACCTTTATCAACTGCGGCCCCTAGCAACGGCGGCCCCTAGTAACGGCGACCCCTAGCAACGGCAGCCCTTAGCAACGGCGGCCCTAGCAACAGCGGCCCTAGCAACGCAGGCCCCTAGCAACGGCGGCCCCTAGCAACGGCGGCCCCTAGCAACAGTGGCTTCTAGCAAAGGCGGCCCTTAGCAACGGCGGCCCTAACAACGGCAACCCCTAGCAACGGCGGCTTCTAGCAAGGGCGGCCCTTAGCAACGGCGGCCCCTAGCAACGACGGCTTCTAGCAATGGCAGGCCCTAACAGCAGGCCCTAGCAACGGCGGCCCCCTGCAAAGGCGGCCCCTAGCAACGGCGGCCCCTAGCAACGGCGGCCCCTAGCAACGGCGGCCCCTAGCAACGGCGGGCCCTAGCGACGGCGGGCACTAGCGACGGCGGGCACTAGCGACGGCGGGCCCTAGCGACGGTGGGCCCTAGCGACGGCGGCCCCTAGCGACGGCGGCCCCTAGCGACGGCGGCCCCTAGCAACGGCAGCCCCTAGCAACAACAGCCCCTAGCAACGGCGACCCTAACAACGGCGGGCCCTAACAACGGCGGACCCTAACAACGGCGGGCCCTAGCAACGGCGGGCCCTAGCAACGGCGGGCCCTAGCAACGGCGGGTCCTAACAACGGCGGCCCCTAGCAACGGCGGCCCCCAGCAACGGCGGCCCCCAGCAACGGCGGCCCCTAGCAACGGCGGGCCCCAGCAACGGCGGGCCCTAGCAACGGCGGCCCCTAGCAACGGCAGCCCCTAGCAACGACGACCCGGAGCACGGCCTTAGAAGGGAGAGTGACGGGGAGTACGCACGGAGTCCAAGCTGCCTTCTCGGAGCTCGTGCTGCTGCTGATGCTGCTGGTGATGCTGTTGGTGGTGGTGGACCGAGGCCGGCTGCGGGGGTGGCATGCAGGGCAGGTACACCAGCTGGGGCGACGTTTGCTGGGGGCCCACCATGGGCCCCGTCCGGGGGGGCGCCAGCTGGTAGGGCACCCCAGGGTGGGCCCCCTGGGGGGGACCCAGGGGGCTCAGCAAGAGGGCCCCCCGGGAGCGAAACACCGCCTCCGGAGACACCATCGACAGGCCTTGGGACACTGCAGGGAGGAGGGAGGACGGGGCCGAGTGAGTATCACTCGTGCCGCCGAGAGTGCAACAGCCCTCGGCGTTGAGGCAACATTCGGCGGTCGACCGTTCCACCCTCCCGACGAGACCCATCCTAACGTCGTCCCTTTCTGAGCGTCGGCGAGTCGCAAACACGACGGCGCCTCCGTACTCGTTGAAACGAGATACCGCAACTTCGACCCAAGATATAGTCGAACCAAAACTGCAGGAGCCGCATCTGCACTTGCAGCCCGCACGTGTATCATTTTCAATAGTCAGTAACAAGTTAAGAATGCGGTCGGAGCTCTGCCTCCAGCACGAGCTTTCCAGCTAAGGTAACTTTTTGGTGCTCGTGCAACTTAAGTGCGACGAGAATCTACGGCATTCTTGACCTGCGGCCAGCTATGGTGCGCTTCGTCATATTTTAATGCGATGTTTTACGTTCCGGTGGTTCTGCTCTCGCCGTTGTCCCCCCTCTTTCGTGGAAGGAGAAAAAAAAAAATTATGGGCCACTGGAGAAAAGCCGACCTTCAAATCCTTTCTCGCACCTCAAACATGCTTCTTTCAAGAGGGTGCAATGTGGCACGAGCAGAGTATGTGCACGTGCCACTCGAACCCAGATGGCCCGAGTCTGTTTGGCCTCCGACAGGACCCGTGTTTAAGAGGTTTCTTTGCACGTAATGCGCGCACTTACGCCGAAAAACAGGCACGTGCAGCAGACTTTCGGTAATTCAGCTAGCTCATTCGACGAGCGAGTGTAGTGCCGTCAGTTGTACACGGAATGATACAAACAATACTCGCACATTAATCCAAAGGTTAAACTATCGAACGCGGAGTAATTCTAAAGTTTGTTTCGCGATCACAGTTACTGCGCAATTAAAAACAAAAGGGACGAAAATGTAATTTTTCTTGCATGCAAACACAAAATTAAAAAAAAAAAAAATATTCGAGCTTGTTTTTTTAAGTTGACGCGGCCTTTGCAGGACATGGGCCGAAGCCCCTACAAACTTGAAATTGTGGAGAGTCAACCGTGCTCGCTTATTTAGGACCCGGTGCTCAGGAGCGCAACTGCACAAAGCGGAATGCACAGACGGGAAGAGAGAAAGCCCGGACCCACCTGTGCCCTGGTTGAGGAGCAGGCCCGGCCCGTGGGGGCCGCCCATGGAGGAGGGGTCCATGCCCAGGGTGGGGGCCAGGGGCCACAGGGCCCCGGGGGGCACCTGGAGCGGCCCCAGGGGCAGGGCCCCTTCCCTCGCTCCGGGGCTCCCGCTCCAGGGAACCTGCGGATGGGAGACATGCCCTCTCAGCGCGGGGGGACTTGCCGGGACAGGGGAACCCTCCCAAGGGATTCCGACGTGGCACTAATATGTGCCCAGATTTTTATCGAGAAGTGAGAAGGAATGCTTGCGGCATAAAGTCTGACACTCTTCCGCGCATGAACCACCAATAGAGAATCGACTGCAATGGGGTGCCCTCCCTTTTTTTCTCAGTTGTACGCAACATGGGGATTTAAGGCTTATTCGCACGATGCATCTTTTTAACATGCCACGGTTAAGCGAAACCGAGGTTTTGCGAAATCAGCCTGTTCAAACGTGGAGTTTGACACGCAAAACCTGCAACGTATTGGCTCACGAGAATTTCGCCAAACCTTGTCATCTGCACCGCAAATATTGAGAGTTTCACATCAAGAGGATATGAAGTATGCACAGTGCGAAGCGACAGCCTCCATAAACTTCGTCACATTCAGCTCACCGGGTTTACTAGTCCTGCCAAACCCGGGAAAGACCGCGAACGTCGAAGAACAGGCGGATGATCTCGAACTATTTCGGACATTTTTGTACCATTAAAAGAAGTTTATCCCCAGTCATCGTGTTTACATGCGGTGCTTGCAGTCGTCGTGACTGTTGATGAATCTGCACCGTGCCACCAACCCCTACTGCTAACACATATCGCACGTACGCACCGCTTTTCGCTCGCTGCCATGTTTGCTTTTCTCTTTTCGGCTTTGGCTCGGATACAAAATGGGCCAAAAATCACGCTCCTCCAAAAGCTCACTCCGCCTCAAAGGTCAGACATCATAGCGAAGTGGAGTGGCCATTGGCAGCGCCCGCATTTCTCCTTCAGGTGACCGACATGCCTCGGTGAGGTTTCAGCGAAATACAGTCGAACATACTTATAACGAAACCGGGAACAAAGAAATATCGGATATAGCGAACAAATTTTCATGTCACGCTCCTCCTGGTATACTTTCAATGTAATTTCAGCCCACTTTTAACGAACAAACTCGAAGCGGTGCTGCAGATTTAATAAAAAAAGTTTGATAAACCCGCGAAATAATTTCACGAGAATAGGCAGAAACTAATGTACAAACGCTTCAGCATAAATTTCTAAAAAAATGTTTCGTCCTAAATTGCAGCGTCCTTTGGCGCCAGGCTACTTCCCGCATAAAATTCACAGCGCTCTGTGCTCGCCAGGTTCGGATTCGCTGCAACGCACATCCCAGCGACCACCCATCTCGCAAAGTTGGGCGTCGGGTGCAACAGGCAGAAAAACAAGGCGGGCAAAGAACAAAACGCACACGGGAAGGAAAAGGAACGGAATCCGGGTTCAGTCGCATTGAATCCAAAAGTAATCCGGTATGGTCAGAATTCTGCGAACTAACACTGAAATTGGAGCAAAGGAAATGAGAGGCCACTAGTTTTTTTGCGAAAGCGTTAACTGTCATACGGAGCGAGCCTACGTCATCGGCTTCAAACGGCCCCTCAAATCCTTTCTCCAAGTGCAACCAGCTCCCAGCTATGAAACCACGTGAAAAGCCTGACAACGGAACCTTCGACGAGGCTCCCATTGGCCGCTGCGTGTCAGTTTCAACGACCGCTCACCCTTTATTCCTTTATTCAAAGATTACCCCGCATTGCCCGGAGGCGTTATTGCAGGGGGGTTACAGTTTTGAAAAAAATACATCTTCATGGCGCTGCGTGTCCGTCAGCGCGCTGTTAATAATGAGTGTCCAAGGTGAGCAAGCCCAAGAGAGCATGCGCGCTGACCAGCGACGAAAAGTATGCAGCAGACAAAATAAGAGAGCAGACAAGCCGCTTGCATGCGTTTGCATTCACAACTCATAAGAAGTGCTTAGGTGTACCTCGAGACTTTTTGTGTGGAGTGTCTTTCCCTTCCATCGTGCGACACGGAATGTTCAGTTGCCTTTTTTAAGTCGACAACAGACTCAACTAGCTTTTCTTGACATCAACCCGGCCCGCTTCATTGCATCTTTTGACTACTGACCCTGACCGTCCACGGAGCTGCTTGGCCACGTCGGATCCCCGTCCACCGGCCGTAAAACGCAAGGTCCTTTTCTTGAAAGTGAAGCGTGCGACCCTTGAAGAGGTCCGACAGAATGTAAAGAAGTCCAACATTGCCCGGAAGTATGAGATCGCACCATCAACGCTGTAAACAATTGTCAAAAATGGCGACAGGATTGACAGAGTCCTCAACCACGATGCTGCCAGTGGAGATAGGAACAAGATCCGGAAGAGCTACTCTATGAGTGGTCCCTCGACGCCCGCGTGAAAGCTGTTTAGCGGACCAATTCTTCTGGGGAAAGCTCAGGACCTGAGGTTTGCCTCGAAACACAATGATATCAATCCTGGAACCGGCTGGCCGCAAAGATTTAAGAATTGCCACGGCATTGTCTGCAAGAATGCTGCTTCCGTCAGCGACGCATACCTTCAAGCATGGATTGGGGGGAACCTCCAGAGAATTTTGACACCTATGCAGATAGAGATATTTACAATGCAGTCGAGACCGGGTTGTTTCATCAGCTGTTGTCTGCGAAGACGCTTGCAGCTAAAAGCGACAAATGCATCGGTGCCAAGCTCAACGAAGAATGCGCCATGCTGTTGGTCTTTGCCAATGCCAACGGATTCGACAAGCGGGAGCTGCTCGTTATCGGGAAGGCCAAGAAACCCCGTGGCTTCTCAGACGTGCTATCCTTCCCCGTCAAGTACATCGACAACAAGAAACCGTGATTGGTTGATTGAGTTCGACAGGGACACGGTCAAGCAGAAGAGGAAGGTGCTGTTATTGCTTGATAACTGCTTGAAATGGTGCCAAAAGTGCGTCGTCAGAGAGCGCGCCGCCTTCAGAGGTTCGCTATCACCGGGACCACAGCCAACGCCACGATCCGAGTGAGCCAATGAAATGCCGCCAAAAGCGTGTGTTCAGAGAGCGTGCTGTCTTTGGAGGTTTGCCATCACGTTTATATCTGCGCTTGGGCTTCCGCCTTCAAGTTGTATTAGGAATAATGTAAGGGACCCTGTGAATTTTTACTACTGACGACGAGATTACTGCAACGGAGGATATGACAAACGAAGCACCGGCCCACTGCGCTGCCGATGTGGAAGCAGAGCCTACAAGCGAGAGCGACAACGACGGCGGTCCTGCCACCAAGTCAGTGTCTGCTGGAGCAGCTGGATCGGCGGTTGATGCGTTCCGAGCATACTTTGTTGGCACATCCGTCGGACACAACCTTTTTACACCGAAGCTGTTATGCACTAGAATCTGGGAAAAAATGTGTCCGCGGATGTTGACAGAAAACTCCCCATTGGTCGTGGCAAGTATCAATAAATAAAAATAAAAAGAGGGGGAAACCAGCGTGAGTCAGCCTTCCTTGGCATTATTAGGTAGTGAGGTCCTGATTCCTTGTTATCGTATTTGCACGAATATAACGAGAGTTTTTTTTCTAAATTACGTGCTCCAAAACGCACCTCGCGTTATATTTGGAATTGAGTTCAGCCCCGAGGCGCACGATTCTGGAGGAAGCCAGAGGAGAAAGCCATCCCTCCGGCCTAATGCAAAATATCCGGTGGGAAAAGAAGTGGGGATGTGGAAGGGAACTTATTAGCTACGGGCCACGTGAAGGGGCAAACAGAAAACATAAGAAAAAAAACATTTTTATCGCTCTTGTGTTTGTACAACGCGCGCACGCTGTAGAAAGCAGAAAGTCAGCGCTCACGCGCGCGCCATGCGGGAATGAGGGCACTGGCCAATTCGAGCCAAGCCAAGCCGGGCCAAGTCAAGTCAACACAAGCTAAGCCAAGCCAAGACCACCAACCGCATTTACACAATCGTGCAACACAAAGCATTTGTTTATGCAGAAGGACCAGAACTCGGTTGGGTTGTCATCGTCATCATCAAGAAGTGTGATCGTGTATCGGATTCAGCAGTCTTTTTTCTGCCTGCGCATTGTTTAGTTTCTGCTCCTGAGTGATCTGGTGTTTCTGTGTTGGTGCTTCTGCTCCGTGCCTTGTTTGGATTGTGGGCTGCCGGCGAGCTCGCACGGAAGAAAAAGGAACTACCAGACAAGCAGGTGCCGTGCTGCCGCTTATCTGCGTAGTCGTCAAGTGGATTGTAAACGGAAGGACCTGAGCAGTGAAGATGAGTGCAGTCAAAACATAAACTGACATTTCTACTATTTCCATTGACCTTTCACATCTGCTACGTCCCCGAGTGCGAGAAATTGACGCAGCCTCGGTTCGCATTATAATTGTAATAATATTTTTTTTTTCCTTTTTGAGGGCATCAAAACCTGCCCTTGCGTTATATTCATGGTCGCGTTATATTCGTGCAAATACAGTATCTCTAGGCATCGTCCTCGAAGTCATCTTAGAAGTCGTCCTTGAGGTCGTCCGAGAGGTCGCCCTAGGCATCGCCCTCGAGGTCGTTCTAGAAGTTGTCCTTGAGGTTGTCCCGTAGGCATCGTCCTCGAGGTCGTCCTAGAACTTGTTCTATAAGTCGTCCGAAAGGTCGTCCTAGAAGTTGTCCCAGTAGTTGTCCTCGGGGTCATCCTAGGAGATGTCCGAGAGGTTGTCCTAAGTGTCGTCCTCTAGGCGTTGTCCTAGAAGTCGTCCTTGAGGTTGTCTTAGACAACGTCCTCTAGGCATCGTCCTAGACGTCATAAAAATAACAGCTTCGCTGCTCCTCCATCTTCACGTGGAGTGGAAGGGCTCTAGAATTTTTTCCCAGCTGGACACAATCGCAGCACAAATCATTAAAACGTCTGACTCGCCGTGCGCAGTCAAGCATCGACACCTACTTCTGTCTGCAATTAAACCTGAAACTTGCCGTACGCTGTTTTGTTTGCTTTTGTCTGGATGCGTTTCAAGTTCACAGATTTTCCGAGTGTAGCATTAGGAATATACAATTCATTTGTGACGTACCTCGTCACTGGTTGCTTCGGTCGTGTTCACACGCAAGAAATCTCTCAAACACTTTATTCTCT